ATGTCAACGCTGCGGCAGGAGATGGGGGAAGAACTGCGCTACAAGCTGCAGCAGGTGGAGGTCATCTTACAGTAGTCGAGAGGCTACTTCATGAGAAGGCTGATGTCAACGCTGCGGCAGGAGTTGGGGGAAGAACTGCGCTACAAGCTGCAGCAGAGGGAGGCCATAAAGCAATTGTCAGCCTTCTTCGTCAAGCGTGGACCTGATGATACCCCTCCAGTCCAGTTTTTTTATGTTGTACACTTTGTTCAGTTGAATAGTGTTCCAGACGGAATACTTCATAAGGCACAGTTGATTATATTCCATATAGAAACATTGTTTCAAACGGTCTTTCAAGTTGAGTTCTGAAACTGTGCATATATTGTAGCCAACAGAGCATGCAGTCGTTAAAATCCGCACTGCCCACATACAACAGGTATAGGTCGTCACTGATTCCGATCCCCGACAATCCTGGAGTCGATGGCGACCGCTGGCACAGCCCCACAGACGCTTGCAAGGCTCCACGGCTGATCGCAAGCTTGACATTGGCTTTGTGGACGATCCGAACGCCGGCGCGAACTGGAAGTGTTCCTTACATCAACAGATTACGGAGGAAGGTGTTTCCCGATGGCTGGAGGTGGAGGGCTCCAAATCCAAACCTGTACTCTGATATGAAGGTGATACTTTGGGCAGCATGGGAGGACTTGAAGGAATTAGAGGGATAGGAGATGTACCATTCACCATACTTGATCGCTTGCGCGCTTGCCTTCAGTCCCTGGTACTGTCTATAGCATCTCATGGTGGAGGCGATGTCCAGCAGCATATCGTTGAAGGTATGGTCGCGAGAACAAGAAGCAGGGGTCGTCGTGGTGTGTACAGCTTGCCACAGGGTTTGGATTGCCCCAGGCTCAAAGGGCTTCTAAGTTAAGGCTACAACAACAGCCACTCTAAATAAGAAAACTGTTCAAACAAACTCTATCTTCCATTAAAATCTTAGAGGGTTAGAAGTACTTCTGTTTCCAGCTCAGATAGCCAAATTCAGCGCAATCCTCCTCTCCTCAACCGTTACATTGATCAGTATATGCATGCCAGTATTCAGCCTCTTTGCGTAGTCACAGTCTCCCTGGTACAGAAGATGTAATGGCCTACGGCCTTAACCGGAGCCACTCTAGTAGAAGTTGGGATAACTCATGTACGGCTGTCTATATACGTAGCTCAGCCCACCCTAGATAGCCAATTCAGCGCAGTCCTCCTCCTCTCATCAGACCGTTACGGAAGACCTTTGTTTGTAGGTCGAATTACCCAGCTCCAGATGGTGAGGATGAGATTGATAACGAAAACCACTGTTGCGCAGAGGGCAAATCCAAGGGCTCCGGATTGCCACCCATCGAGACGGCAAAGAGAGGTCTTGCTGTTCTTCTCTGGGTCATGTGTCCGAACGATAGGGGTATCCGAGTGGAGGCTTTTGCATTTTGAACGCGATCGTTGACTCCATGGTGAGGTCGTGATCAAGGAATTGAACATGATAATAACAACCCTTGTGGCTAGGAAATTTGGCCACAGTGCCTGTTGTTGATGCCCGGGTACCTCACCCCAAATAACAAGTGACTCGACACTGGTATTTGAAGTCTGCGAAACCTGAGGCATATTCGCTGACGTAATCTGGTTCTCTGGCTTCTTCTGGCGCTTACATATGATGACGAAGTGTTTGGGGATTGTTCGTTTTCGGAATATCTGGTCGAGGCACCAGTCGTAAGGCAAATGTATGCTTGAAGCTTTTGCGGTCAATCATTGACTGGCTATACATGGTGGAAGAGGCAAGTGAGCCTTATATGGGCTGCGCACGTTCGAGATCAGCCATTCTCCTACTCCATCTTGATAACGATCTTCCCATGGAACTCTCCCGACTCCAGTCGATCGTATGCATCCTTGGCGTTCGCGAACTCGAATGGCCGATCTACAAGCAACGGGTCAAAATGAACCTTCTTCTCCTCCAGATAGCGATTCATGTCTTCGAAGTCACTTCTGCTGCCCACGGCGATACCCCTAACAACAGTCAGTTAAACCTGGAAACACAACAAGCACGAGACTCACTTCACTTTGGCCGCTTTATACATCAGGCGCATGATATCTCCCGGCGCCCAATCAGCATTAAATCCCGCCAAGAAGCCAACCATCGAGATGGTGCCACCTCTCGCGCACAAGAAGCTGATGTCGTCCATAAGAGACTTGGGGCCGGTGTTGTTGACGACAAAGTGAACTCCTCGCCCCTTCGTGAGACGTTGGACTTCAGCGCCTTGATCAGCCATGGTCTTGTAGTTGAGACCTTGGATCTCAGGGCTGAGCTTCTTGATGGCTGCAAGCTTCTTGTCTGATGAGGACGTGATGATGGGTCGTATACCGGCAGACAAGCAGAGAATGAGCGAGAACATGCTCACGCCTCCAGTACCTATATCAGGTATCAGCAGATGACGGATGAGTTTGGCACGGGGTGGTTCACCTTGGAGCAGAGCATATGCACCCTTGGGCACGTTTTGCAGTCCGTCAAGAGAGTTCCATGCTGTGAGACCAGCGCAAGGGAGTGTTGATGCCTGGGTTGAAGTCAGCAGCATAAGACTTCCGGGGTTCCTTGAAGCTTACCTCTTCCCAAGAAAGATGGTCGGGTATCTTCACTAAATGCTGCTCATCAAACACAGCATACTCCCTTAACACACCCGGGCAATTCGACCCTATAGCCAGACTCGGTCCATCGTCCACTTTCTCTCCAGCCAGCTTCCCGATGCCAGTAATTGGGCAAACACGATCCCCAACAGCGAAGCGAGAGACCGCAGATCCAGTCGCGACAACTTCCGCTGCTGCGTCTGAACATGGAACGCCTTGATCTTCGAGCCCGATGGGGTATGTCCCAATTATCATAGCTATCTCACGGTAATTGAGCGAGATGGCGTGGATTTTGATGACTACGTCATTGGGGCTGAGGGTGGGAGGGAGAGTCTCGTCGTAGGTACGATAGATGGTAAGAGGGTTCTCTTTGGAACCTTTGAGGCCGCTGCGACGCCAGGCGGAGTATTTCGGTGGGTAGTCCATGCTGGGAGGATCAAGGGGGTTGGAACAATTGCGGACTGCGAAGCGATGCAGTTGCAATTGAAGGGGCAGAGACGAATCCTTATAGGATATCGGCTACATCTTCAATACCGTGTCCGTCACATCTAGTCCGAACACAAAGAAAACACATCACCGACACCGACCAGAGGTTCCGAAATGATTTCAAAGCATGAAACTAGGCTGGAGACTTGGAGGTTATTCGCGAGGCAGCTCATGGCGCTAATGCAACATGCTTATAGCGCGTAAAGTGGGGCTTCCCTATGAGCAGATCATTGGTCACTACTACTTGATCAGTGTAAGGAGAAGAATATGTTTAATTTGAGCAAGTTAGGCACTTCAAAGTAAATTATAGCCCATACATGTAAACTCCCGCAACCATTCATTACTGCTCATTGACCAAAGAACTCCAACAACGCATCCGCCAACCTCACTTCAGCCTCCAAAGCGAAACTGTGACCGCACTCTTCGAAAATGTAGCTTTGTGCCAAATTGTCGCTGCCATCTCCATCTATGGCTTGACCAGATAACCGAAGAACTCCGGAGACCCAATTGTCATGACTGGCATGGCCGGCTTGTTCGGCCCAAGCTCACGATTGATTTGACCTAAGACACGTCAATTCTGACAGGTTCAAATGCCAAAGGGCATGTCCATTTACCGTTCACCAAGCCAGCTCTGTACGTTTGCAGAATTCCTCTCAAGCAACTAGGACCCTCCGCTAATCCAGTCCACTCAGCAATCGCTTGTCGACTCAGAGCAATTGGATTATAGCACTCGGCCTCCATGAAGTACGTCCAAAACTCTTCTCCATGGCCAGTATTCAGTATGATAGCAAAACCTATCGTTTAGAAGCAGGGGATGTGCCAGGTCCATACTCCACCTGCTCGTACTGTAACATAACGTTGGACTTATTGTGTTGTGATGCGTTATCGAGACCATATCCAGAGAGAAGCATCTCGCGAAAGGAAAGCGTAAGTACGCGATCGCGGTACTCAGCTGCGAGGACGTAGGCGAACTCTGCGTCGCCTGTATTGGTCATTCATATACGTTCAAGAACGAGTTGTGACTGTAAGACTTACGGTCGAGGTTTGATAGAATCCGGTGTTTGGGTTATCGCTTGCGGGCCGTCGACATTTATAAGTTGTACCTGCATGACGACTCCCAAAACCCCGCAAAAGGTTACTTGATGGCGTCATGGGCGGAAATAATGAATTTCGGTTGGCTCCTTTAGGTTGGAGCGGAGCGGAAAGTGCAAACCCCTGACTTTCGTTCCATGGATCAAAAGCGGGGACATTGGCACCCGTCCTGACTAATGGTGAGCTCAACTTGGTTATCTTCCTATTTTTGTCAGCAGATAAGCAGAGGAAAAGCATGGTGGACAGATGAAGGAAGGCGTGAGTGGACCCAACATGAACCTCAAGGAACGTATGCAACATCCTGTCCACGTTGCAGGATTGATCACTGAATTTTCAATTCAATCTATCCACTCTACCCTAGTGCACGGTCAAGTTTTGCAGCGAGGATGGAGCATATTGCAAAATTTCGTATGGCACAGTGGCGGGGGAAAGACCAAAAGGTTGACTGCTCGTTCTTGCCCACACCAGCTCACCTACAAGTGCTTTCATCCTCCTGCAGCTTCAAACACAACTCAAGAAACTCTTTCCGCAAGGGCTCAGCACCATTCCATTTCCACCTTCTAGTCTCCACTCCCGTCTCCATATAAGAAAGGTGCAACTCGTTAAGCGGCCCATTCACTGCCGCTAGTTCGCGTTGAGGAATCCATCGAATATTCGCGTCAAACGGAAACTGCTGTATGAGCTTTGCGTGTGCGCCTAGCGTCCTCCAAGCATTTTCCGTAGAGTGTTCGGTCTTGCGGCGAAAGAGAGTGCGATACCATGGGTTCGGGAACGTAGCGTCCGAGCAGAATGTATTTGCGTCGAGTAGGGACACACCAGTGTCTATCGATCTGTAAGTGTTGACCATCGTGTAGGGATTTGGCACTTACTCGTCGTATGTGCAGATAAGATCCATGATGTATGCCATACAATGCTCATTGGAGCCCAGCTTTGTTAGCGGCTCAATGATGATCTTGAACGATGGTTCCAGCACCTTGGTGGTATGTTCCTTTCCAGTTGCCCTTACAAATTCACCTATGCAAGGTTTTGAGGCGCATAGAAAGGTCCACCAACCCACTAATCTCTTCATCCGAGAGTATAGTAACGCGCTCGTGAGCGCTCAACGGACGTACGGTTCGACTAAGTTCGTGAGCAATCTTTTTGAGGTCGGCATTGAAGGTGAAAGCAATGATCTCAATGAGAAACATCTTTAACTTCGACAGCGGAGTCTCCGCTTGTGTTTGCCTGGGCCTGTTAATGCTACAGGATGCGCTGTAGGTGACAGATGTATCCATAGATGGGTTTGAACAAATACAGTGAGGTCTGTATAAGATTCAGAGTATGAAGGAGGCGGTTCATGAGGCCCAGGAAGACCTGTAAACGGCAAAGTGCAAGAATCTGGACGACGATACTCGTAGACAGGTGGCGAGCCTGTATACATTGACCGTGTTTTGATTTTCATCATAAGCATTCCCTCCGATGTGTTCCTTGCTAATATTTTGATAGGCTAGTTGTGGCACCTGGTGCTGAGCAGTGTGCTGTGTCCCTGTGGGTTGTGAAGAACGGATGGCGTCTGTAGGTGACAAAGTATGCACATGTCATCGTGTACGTCCTTCCCATCAATATATTCCCTAAATGTCGTGTGCTGGGACCCGTCCCTCTTCTTCGATAATTAGTGTTGCAAGGTTGGTAGCGTGCCTTCGCTACTACCATGGCTGATCCAGACCCACGGCTACAAGAACAGGTCAGTAACAAATACGCTACAACGCTCTCAATCTACGATCAGATGCGAGAGTCACCCCTCTTGACCCACCATGGAGGTATTAGGGTGTCAGTCGCACTTGAGGTTCATCGAAATGTGCATAGTTATGCTCAACCGTTACTCTTCTTGCCACTGCGCCGCATAAAGAAACGCAAAAGTCTTCGCCTCCAAGACCTCTCCTTTGACCTCTGTCCACCCATTCTTGCTGCTTCCATAGCTGTTTCGCGCGCTTTGTCGTCCATTTCCTCTTGTTCTGTTTCAACATCGATAGCCTCATCGCTGTTTTGCTGACTGGCCAGCTTTCCAGTCTTCCGTTCGATCGCTGTTCTAAGACGTGTAGTGTCGACGGACCGATCCCGCAGGTACTCACGGAGCTCGGTGCTATCAAAGTCTGCTCCAAACTGAACAAACTCCTCAAGAATTGCGTCAACTTCAGGAACTTTGTAGTCGACATCTCGAAACGCAACCAGGAGTAGTTTATCCCACATTGACCGTTCTGTCTCCGATATTTTGTAGTTTGCGTCGGCGCCATGCTCAAAAAGAATACGAACTAGGCGTGGGTTCAGTCTTGTCGACACAAGGCCGCACTCGGGTTGAGAATGATCCTTCATTACAACCATGAGGAGACACTTTGATGTGAACTTGCGTTGCACATCAGTGGGTAAGTTCTTCAGGCCTTGTTAAAGATACTTGAAAAGCCCGCAGTAGACAGCAGCGCTCATGAGAGACCTCACGTCCGACACATCTGGATCTATGGATACTGCTCTTCCGGGTATCGGAGGCGAGATGATGTGCTGCGCGAACCTTGTAGTCATCGTGCCAGACACTTGTGCAGTTGCCAGACTTGCATACAGCTCATCAAGGACTTCGAGAAGTCTTCCTTTCATAACAGCATCGATTTCAGAACCTCTGGAGGCAAACAGTGCTGCGTGCAAGATGTTATCCCAATGCTGTTCTAGTGTCGCAGTGGAATTATCCTTCGTCTTGAGTCTCACGATGTGTATATTTGTCAACCTCAGGTCGCATATGAAGGGCTTTGGAACTGCCGCACGGATTCTACCCCAAACTTCGGTACGCGCAAGATAGTCTTTGACGGTACGATGAAGCAGACTTATCTCAACCTCATACTGCAGTTTATGATCGTCGGATGTACTTGCTTCAAGCAGACCTTTGGTGCAGGCATTGATACGTCTACTCAGCAACGCGGCTTTCGAGTTTTTTGTTGTGAAGTCATGATCTCCCGCGGTGCATCGATTGCAAAGTTCGGTTCATCTTCATCGGCAAAGTACATGTCGAGTAGTGTCAGTGGTCGCAATGAAGCGCGGTGAATCTGGAACAGTTGTGACGCTCGTTGTTTGTGCCACGGATCTGAGCTTCCGAGAATCCTGTCGAAAAGTTAGTCGAGGTCCGTCGGAAGGCTCTCAAGGCGTTCCTGTAACTCAACGGCTTTTTTCCCGTCAGAAAGGCCCTCGATGAGAGACTTGGTCACGAGATTAACCCAAAGGAAGACGCCGTCAGATTTATCGCAGACGTCTCGAATCAGCCGGGCCGAGTATCCCGGGTTACTTTGCTCGTAGTCCAAGAAGGCTGCGCTCTTCGTTAGATCCGTCGTAACGAATTGTTTGATATCGCTGGAAGTAAGCAGCTCGACCCGAAGATGGGGACCATGCTCGAAGGCGCCTCGGAACTGGTTCCATGGACGACTCGACACACATGCTTTGACTCCAGGGATCGCAAGTTTCTTGACGAAGTCGATGAGTTCTCGAGATTCTCCTCTGAACTCGTCCATGCCATCGATGAACACCACTATCTTGTGTGTCCTTGTGATTTGAACTAGCAAGGTTTTGAGAGCTCCCATGAGCTCGTTCCACGCCCACGTCCAGTCTTGCTTCCCGGATGTCCAATCCTCTTTTCCAAAAATGTAATCACCAAACAGGATCCCATCTAAGGCTCTGTGAGACAGTAAAACAGGAACGAGCTCCGGCACCTGCACCAAGATTTGGTACAACAAAGATCTAGCAAGGCCTTCGTATGACATCTGCATTTCAGTACCTGAGTTCCAGAAGAAGAACGATGCAGTTAACAGAGGCTTGGGGCCACTTCAAGCCTTCAAGAGCTCGTCTGTCCTGGGATGGTCGAGTATGAACCGCATCAACGTTGATTTGCCGGCGTCAGCTTTGCCGGTAATCCAATATAGGGAATATGTATCGTCTCGTAGCCAGTGCGCAAAGTTTACCCATTGGTTAGGATCGACTGGCGGTAGGAAAAGCCACCCAAAGGTCCTCGGGTGAGCGAGACTTACCGCCTTATAATTTGTTGTCTGAAAAGTTGCAGATCTCGATTGAGCGCCTCAATCTTGCCTGCATCCCAGACTGTGCGTAACGCGATAACAAAACTGACCCAGGCCCTCGTTTCGGGCTTTGTCGCTTCTGCAAGCGGTCCAGTGCGTCGAGTTAGGCGGTCCCCTAGATTGTTGCATTTTCTGCCTAGCTCCAAGGTCGAAACATTAGTCGCGGATAATGGCTGTCCGACTGGGTGGTGCAATGACTCCCGAATTTCATCGTTGAGCTTTGTTAGATTCCCGGTGATGGTCCGCAAGTGGGAGTTGGGTTCACTGTCGTGACCAGGATCGGCGTTATAGATAGTCCATGCCCCTGAAACAATCTTCGTTGTGAAGTCAAGAAATTGGCAAAGAGCTGTTGCTACACTGAGAGCAGAAAATGTCTCCATATCGCATCAGCGGATCTTTGTGCAGAGTAGGGAAAATGCAGGTTCGAGTGCAATCAGGCTGGAGATAAATGCTCGCGTATGCAGACGGGGCTGACGGGTGGGACGACACGATCGCATAGCTGTAGGGACGGACAAAGCCATCTATACGTATCGCACGCGTGTACCTTTTAGGTATTGAGCTCGTCTCATTCGTGGAGCTCCCCATTCAACGAGGCTGAGCGATGATGGCTGCAAAGTTTGTGGTAGAAACCCATTGCTTGGTGGTAAGCAAATGGTGTCAATGGTAAGCAGGCAAAACGAGGAAGCGGCAACTGACACACGCTCTTGTCCAACCTGCGCGCACAATGTGCAGAAAACGAGTCTACGCAATAAGACGCACGTCGAAAATGTAGCAAATATTGCATTTCGCTAAGCAAAAGTGATGATCGTATTGCCGTCCAGATATTGCAACCAATTCACATCCAGCCATAAAAAAACAGCCTTTGACGCTTCAGATTACTGCACTATCGCTGCTAAGAAAACATGCTCGGGCAAAGTATACGAGATTATCGTGCTACTGCACTGAATCGAGCCAAAAACGCCAGTGTCTTTGTTGACACGGAGGAAACCCAGGGGTACTATGTACGCCCACGTGGCCCTTTGAACCAGAACGCCGTGCCCAATATCAATTAATACTGGATTAAAGCGCTATACGTAGAAGGGGCCGGCCGTTGCTATCGTGGGTATCATTCGTCGTGACATCGTAAGGGAGGATTATCCAGAAGATGTATCCAAAGTGTGTATCCAACTGTCGCTCGAAGAAGGGTAAGATAGTGAGGGCGGCCTGGTAGGTGATATGGGATGGAAGAGATAAGCGCCAATGTTAGGCAAGGGGGTATCATATAGGCTTTGTGACACGTCTGAGTAGGGATGGTTCACCTTCGACAACTTCATCAACCTGGCTGTCTTGAAATGTCACTAGGAGCCAGCCTTTTGTTGGGGGGGGGGGGGGCGGCTACAACTGAATGACAACGCTCAAGCCTTGGTTGACTCGGAGTCGAGGGTTCACCATGTGCTCATCTGTGGTACAAGCTTAGAATCGAACAGTGTTGCTACGAGCGAGACCAGGCCTCGACAGCTTCTTGGGTGAGCCATTGGGTGCGACAGCAGATGGTCTCGCGCCAATCTTCTCGAACCCTTGAAGCAGATCGATACCAGGCTCAGACTCGTCGCTGTGCAACAGGTGGAAGATGTCATCATCATCCTTGCTGTGCTGCTGTGTGGAAGGGGCGCTGAAAGTCTGGGGAGGAGATAGGCCGGGCAAGCTGTTCTCCTTGCTCGGCCCGGGGAGGGAAAGACCCAGGCCTGCCAATGGGGCAGATGTCGAAGGCTTCAGCTGGGGTGCCTTGAGTGGTGATATGCCCTTGATCGGCGACAGGTTAGGGATGTTGAGGAATGAAGACGCCATCTTCCAGTTAGGAGTAGGCGAATTCGTCATGTTGCCCTTGGAGCCGGTGATGTCAGCTAGGACACCACTGGTGGTAACAGCACGTTCCATACGTGGGCGTTGCTTGCCAACACTACGCTTGAGCGGGCTTTCGTTATAGCCGAGGTCGCCGAAAATGTCGAACGTGTTCTCAAAGCCTTCGCCGACAAGGTTGACATGCTCTTCATTAGGGATCGACACAGCCGGGCTCCAGCCTTTGGAATCCAAGAAGGATGTGTCGACCCACATGGCTAGGCTCTTGTCTGGCGAGCCACCGACGAGCTCGCGCATCTTGTTCCTGTGGTTGCGCAGGTTGGTGTTTGGCGATGCGGAGGCGGGAGGCAGAGCGGGTCGTTTGAAGACAATAGCAGGGGTGAGGGGGTTGCCATTGAGCTTCTCGCTTGAACGGAAGGGCGACGAGATGGGTTGGGCAGCACCAGGCTGCTTCATGTAGGGCCTTGCCTTGGACGGGGAGTCGTATGAGGAGCCACGTATCCGGGCAATTTCCTCTTCAGCACGTCCCCTCTTGATGGATGGTCGATCGAGATCAGCCTCGGAAGTGAGAAGTGGTCCAAGCGGGTTGCCCTTGATCGCAGATGACTCAATGGAGGAGTAGTAGCCGCTGTCACCAAGGCCGTTGAACTTGCGCCTACGTCCACCTGATCGGCTGTTGGAGGGGAAGCGAGGTGCGCGCGGTGGGGTGTCCTCACGCACAGAGCGCGACCGTGAGACAGGCGGTGGTGGAGATGATTGGATGTCAGCTGGTGGTGGTGAGGATGGCATTGCGCGCGGCGGTGGCATGTTCATTGAGTCATGACCGTCGTGTGCAGCAGGGTCTGAGCATGGAATGGTGGCATCCGAGTCTGGCAGTTCATTTTCCTCTGGCTCTGGGAATCTGCTTGAATCAAAGCCTTTGGTGGAGCTCATCGGGGGAAAGCTAGCAAACGTTGCCGTGGAAGGGCGAGGCAGGTCGCTGGGATATGCTGGAATAAAACCGTCAGGGTTAGTGGAACGGCGTGTGGGCTTGACCTTGTGGTACTGCTTCTCGAAGCCGGCGTTGATGACCCAGTAGTGACCTTTTCCAGGATCATCCTTCGGTCGCTCCTGCTTAGAGAAAGATTTGCTAAGGCTGAGGTTGTGACGAATGCTGTTCTGCCACCCTGTCTCTTGCGAGTTGCGGTAGAATACAAATGTGTCTGAGATCCACTTGTAGATCTGCGCCAATGTGAGACGTCGACTCGGCGCGCGAAGAATGGCCATTCCGATGAGCATGGCATAGCTGTACGACGGCTTGTTGCCATCATCCTCAACAGATGGCATCTCATCTGGTTCAGGGAGAGGTCCTTCGGATTCTTCGATCTTGACCTCCTTGGCGACCTTCTGCTTCTTGCTGCGGTCGCGCAGCGGTGCTGCGTCTACCAGGGCGCGTTTGTTGTTGGATGTTTGTTTAGCCGGTGGCTCGGCGGCTGACATGGCAGTCATCCTGGGCTCCGGGTAGGTGTACGCGTTCTCCTTGTCCATTTGGGACGATGGCAGACCAGACCAGCACTGAATGGGGGCCATGATCTGTGGTTGCGCGGGCTGTCGCGCCTTCTTCATAGGCGCGTCGGTGCGGAAGCGTTGCTCCCTGGGTGGAGGGAGGTTGACGTCCTTCTTGCCAAGGACGTTGCGTGGGGGGGAGCTGGAGACGTGTCGCCCTTTTCGCGGCGACGGCTCGGTCTGGAGGGAGTCTGGCGGGGCGAGGAGCGTGTGGGAGTCGTTTGACACGTCCACGATGCTCACAAAGGCGTCGAGGTAGCGCGGGTCGTACGCGGCGGCCTGGTGGTGGTCCTGGGGTAGTACGGGATCCTGAAAAATCTGCATGGACGGCTGTCGGCGCGCTGCTGCCATTACATGCGAGGCGGCCGACGTCCTTGGAGACCTTGTATAGTCTCTCCAGACGCTTTGACGCGTGAAGTCGCGTAGAGTTTTGCAGAATGGGGCAGTCCAGGCTACGGAGCACGGTCGGCGAATGAAGTGGTACAGGAGATTGCGATGACGATGGCCGTGCGGGCCGTTGGTGAAGTTGAGCTGGTCTGGGCGGTGAATGCAGACAGGAAGGTGCTGTCTGTCATGCGACGTGGAGGATTGGGAGTTGGGTAGTGCTTGGGAGCAGCGGTGAGCGCAGGAGCGAGGTCGAGGCGGTGGGCTGCTATCTTACCTGTGCGGAGAGCGATATGAAGCAGCCGAGCGACTCGCTTGCCGGCGCTAGCAGGCAACCAGTGACGACAGATCAATGGGCAATGGTCTGATCGACGATGGCGGGCTGGGCGTGCTTGTGCAAGCAATTGTGCGCGTTGTGATGTTGTGTTTACACAGGGCACGTTGGGGAAGGTGCGATGGGCGAACGTGGGGGGAGAGGGAAGCTGCAATCAACAAACGGGGTACAAGCTACCAACAAGTAAGACGCAGCGAGAGGGGAGAGCGGCAGCAGCAGAGAGCGCCTTGGAATCAGCTGCAGTTGTTCCTGCCTTGGCGGGCCCGGATACTGCAGCAAGGAAGGAGCGACTGTGCAAGGGGGTCTGGCCAATCATAATACCACCTCAACGCGTTCCACTGATCGATCGCGCGTCATTCTTGTGGAATCGCCAGGAATAACCTCGCGCCAGCGCGCCCGCTAGCCAGCTGTTTGCTCACAGACGCTCGACAAAGGCGCCTGTCATTCGCAGCCCAAGCCAGCAAGTGCCAGCACGTTTTTTTCCTTTTGCAAGCAGAATCAACGGCCGTCGCAGCAGTAGTCTAGGAGCTGCAAGACGGTGGTGGAGAAGCGCCTGCACAACGCACCGCGACGCTATCTCGCGAACGACAGCCGGCAGCCAACGACCAGCGCAGGTCAAAGGGGTTGTGTTGCACAGCCTATAGTATGGCATTTCTTATCCACTGAGAGCCTGGGGCGGATGAACCTTGACAAGGCACGACGCGGGAAATCCTGGCTGCAGCTCCCAGCTCCACCAACCAGCACGACCACGCCTCTCTGCGGTCTAGACGGAGGATCAGGGCAATCACCGGAAATCACCAAATGTATCTCGGCGTTTTATAACAATGCGATCTCTCGCTGCCCTTAGAAGCTCGGGAGATGCGCGAGCATCGCGATCGAAGCAATCTTGAACCCACTTTGAGGCTTTAACACCTGCCAGTAATCAAAACGTGCGAACGTGCGTCCAAATGTCCGCAAGGCTGTCGACCAGCGTGATCAAGGCACCCGCCTTGATTACCTACAGCAGCACCTAGTGGATGACCTGTTCATGCGAGGGCAGACTGGTCGGCCAATCTTCTACCAACGCTCACACCATTGGCCCTTGGCTTACAGCACTAACCACCATAACCGTATCTCACATCACCGTCCGCTTTCCTTGCGAATCCCATTCTCGTACATTAGCAGCGCCCGCAGTGTAGGACTTTATTAGCGAACTCGGAGTAGCCGTTCGTACCGTTTACGTGCGCAAGCCACTAACCACTGTTAATTCCTAAGCGAAACCTTTGACGATCTCAATTCGGAGTGGACTCCGTCGAATGTCCAAGGCTCGCAGGAACCTGGAATCTTGCTGCGGCTCGGGATATCGATGCATCCGACGTGGGGCATTGAAGATCCTCGAATCCTTATTGCGAGTTCAATGCATCTTCGCTCAAGCCTCAACAGTGTCAATGCAGAGCGCGCGGCTGTCTCGAGGTAGAAGAGCCGCTGTCAGGACGTTGCGGCGCCGAAGACAGGTCAGAGTGGACTCGTCACCTATCTCAATCTCCGCGTGAGCAAGCTGAGAATGAGAATGCTCACGTGTCTTCCGTGATCTTCAACAAAACGACTGTTCCCATGGCAACACAATCGAAGTCTCCGACGATGATGCAGTCAGCACCATCATGATCCACTGTTCCCTTGCTCGCATTTGCGCCATGCTGGTCTCAAAGGACAGATCTACGCCACTATTGATGCGAACACCAGGATGCCGAGATGTCCACCAACGCCGACATGGCATCTCTCAACCTCTTCATCCTTTTGTCCGCTTTGGTGCTGAAACCAGAAATAGCACGTGTGACCACGATAGGGCAATCCTTCACGATCGTCTCCACGATCGCCAAAGCCGCAAATCTCCGAACCCATCTGCAATGACTTTTGAGCTAGGGATGTCTACTTCCGTCATCAGATCAAAGGAACAACCCTCTGAGAACATCCAAAGAAGTTCGGAAAGTATTCAGTCCTATGCTTGGGTTGGCCTATCTGAACACTTAAGCCACCAAGTTCTTCTTTCAGCTACCAAGACTTCAGGCAACTTGACCTGTGCTTTCAATACTCTAGACATGCATTCGATAGGGTAAGTGGTCAGGTATTTGATATGCAAAGCGTACAATTTCTACAAACCTAATTGTCCAGCAAAAGCCGTGAATTATGTCTAGAAGCGAATATAAGCCAAACCACAAATCCAGAACATAAAGGAGTGACATGGACAAACTCAACCCCCAAGCAATGCATCTACAAAACACCATGCATTACACATTCCCTCTCCCATCGTCTTCCCACCTCAACCCATCTACCACCCAATCTTCACCATCCTCTTCGCAACCAACTCACTAGTAGTCATCGGCGCCACCTCCTCGAAATCGACGCTCATCCGTCCGCACGGCCCGTTGCTGAAACTGATCGCGACATCCTCAGGGAACCCACTCTGGCCGCGAATCATGCCCAGGTACAAGCTCTTGCTACCAGCCGAGCAAGTCCCCGCTCCAGGCGCATCGAAGGTTCCAGTGCTGGCCGGCTCGGAAATGGGCAGGGTGCTCATGCCGCCCTTGGAGGAGCTGGAGATGGGTGTCGCGCTGGGGACCAGTGTCGAGAAGCCTGATGGAATGAGACCTGTGGCTGTGGGGAAGAGTGCAGCCGTGTCGTTGCCGGTGGGATACGGGGCGCCGGACGCAGTCGGGTAGGGCAGGCTTGTGTTCGAGGAAGGCAGGGGGAAGGGAGGGATGGAGCTCGAGGCTGGCAGCGAAGGGACTGAGGGTGCTGCCTGGGCGAGTTGCAAGTGGCAGGCCCGAATGGAAGGTGTGTAGAAGGAGCCAGCGCAGAACGCCATGTTCTGGCATGCGATGCAGCAGTTGATGGCTGAAGTGGTGTTGACGACCAGGCTGTTGGCGATAGAGAAGCCCTCAGGGGAGTTGAAGACGATGCGGTCGAAGTAGATTGGCTGGTTGTCGAAGCCTAGGACATTGTTCACTGGAGTGTATTAGTTGTGATTCGGGCGCTAGTGAAGTGTAGTGTGGTGTGCTGGGACTACTTACCAACATTGTTGGGTTGACAGGCCGCGTACTCAGTAGGCTGAGCCTGAACGTCGATGATTGTCTCAGTGACGCTGACTGTTGAAGTGCTAACAGCAGTAGCAGTGGCAGGGACCAAGACTTCCGTCTTAGGAAGGCCGGTGACGATAGTGGTCTCGGTGCTGTTGATGTTGATACTGACACGGCACTCAACAAATGTGGGAAAGACGCGGTTGAGGCTTTGAGCGTCGCCGTTTGGTAGGACGATGAACTCTCCGGTGTTTTCGGCCGGAGTCTTAGGAAGGCGTTTGACTTTCTGAAGGTGCTCGGCGCGGGGCTCGATCAATGCACGTCTGTGACGGCCGATTGCGGTTGGGATAGGCGTTGGAGTTCCTCGGTTGATGAGCGGAAAGAATCCAACTGGTGCAGAGATTGTGGTCGCAGCCGGTACGGAAGTCACGGTCGTGGTTAGTGTGGAAGTGACATTGACGACATTGATGAACGTGGTTGCCAAAGGAGTGACAGTGATTGTCGCTTGGACGGTGCTTGTGATGGCAAAGCTATTAGTTGTAGTCGTTGTAAAGAAAGCTGTTTCGATATTGACTCCGGTACGTGCAGCAAACATGCCATAGCTAGTTGTGCATCGAATTACTGTCTCAGTAACCTCTTGACATTCTGCAGTGGACACAGCTGCAAGAACAGCAAGGAAGAATGGGAGGAGCATCTTGGATGAATGCTCAAAAAGAACGAAGGACTGAAAGAGCTAACGAAAGAAGCGAGAGTGGGCTGCTGGATGGCTAGCTGGTGTGGATGTTGAGGCTGCTATATACTCGTCGTAGTGGCAGCTTATGTGGCGTTAAGGGAGCTCATCTTGCTGTAAATTACGCCAAATAGATGAAGACTCAACAGTCTAATGGAGCTAACGGCTGCAAGTCAACTCATCAGGTCTGTTCCTGAGCTGGGTTGAGGCAAAGGCACACAAGGTATCGAAACATGTCGTATGGATGCCTCGTTTGGTGGAGATTCGAGGCCTGGGCAGCCTTGTCGGTGCTCTTCGTTGTCATGGTGTATTGTCGGCCTCGCACAGTAGCTATTCAGAGCACTTCGATAGTTCCAGTGACTCTCGGATGTCCCTTGAGGATTCACCTTACGCATCCAACACCACCAAGACAGTTACGATTTGGACCCGACGGATGGACGCGACCGTACCGGTGCAGAGGAAGCGCACTTGCGGATCTGGACCCTGGGCAATCGGATGAGGTAGCGAAGGGATGAGGTAGCGAAGGGATGTGGTAGCGAAGGGATGTGGTAGCGAAGGGATGTTGTAGTACACAGCCTCGATGTAGGTGCTGCTTTTCCACGCTCATTGGACTGTGGTCGCACCAATGTATGCGTGACATTGAGGACGATGGATGCCTCGGCTTCCACGGAAAGACCTTTCGACGAACTGTTGCGAGGAAAATGAGCCATTTGGAACAGAGGGGTATTGCGTAAAAAGCAAACAAGAAGGAAAACATCAACTCTTACCAGATATTGAACTTCAATCTGACAAAACGTAGTGCAAAAAACCGTTTTGAAGCCGATTGTGGTGGCGCAACCGTTTATGCGTTCCATGTTACGCATCTAGCTCTTGGAGCCTCCCTTGCCTCCACGCATGTAATGTCTTGCGAAAAGTTTTCAGCCACATCGGCGTTCAGCCTCGCATTTTCTATGGTGAGATATCTACGTTAAATCTATCGAAAAGCGCGGTACCGCAGTATTTGTAAAGGTCGCTCGGTCTAGAGTGAAATCGAGTATGCAACGCCGTCATCCAGAAACGCCGGGTATCATGCAACAGACTGCAGAGGAGGAAAGAGAGGCGTCTTGAAGAACTACTCTTGCTGACGACGCGTTGGTCTAGCGCGGTCAGTATAAGTTGTCGCCTAGCCAGGCTCAGTTCGTGGCTTAAGCCCTGCGAGAGCCAATTCTGAGACCAGGAACACCTTTCAAGCCCATCTTGCCAACTGTGCTTTTCTCGATGAGGGGTGGTTCTGGGCAACCCATAGCCTTTGCATACTCGTTTGCAAGACGTACAAGTTCGGCCGGGCTCAGCTTCAACTTCTTCAAGAATGTCTTGTTGTATCCAAGGAACGCTTGATAGGCTTTGGCTTTAGCCTCCTCCTCCACGTTGGTAAATGCCCGGTCGACGGTTCGCTGATGTTTGGGCACCTGCGAGACGATGTCGACAGGGTAAGGGTTGAGTGGCAGAGTCTTGTTGATCTTGGGGAAGAAGGATTCTTGCTCGGAAAGAATGATGACAGCGCGTCCGTCCTTGCCAGCGCGGGCGGTACGACCGACTCGGTGGATGTACTGCTCGGTACTAGACGGAAGGCCGACTTGAACGACAAGGCCAACGTTGGGGAAATCCATACCACGGCCGACCACGTCAGAAGCTACCAGGATACCGCTTGTGGCATCCTTGAACTGTTGCGTGGTCTTGGTTCGAGCAGGTTGCGACATTCGGCTGTGCAGCTCAAAGAGTCTGAACTGAGGCAATGCATTCTTGTATAGGTCGTAGAACAAGCCTACGCCGTTGGCAGTCGTGCCAAACACGATCACCTTGAAGTCGGAGGGGTTCTTGTTATATTCTTCCTCGATCAAGGCCAGAAGGGCAGCGAAAGTCTGGGTGACCGTAGGGACAGTGATGAAGAATTGTGGGACGCGCTCGTGGGTTGGGACCTCGTTGGGGTCCACTGTAGAAAGTGTGGTGTAACCAGGAAACAGTACACACTTGGCAACGTCCATAACATCTGGGTTCATGGTGGCGGAGAAGCACATGCCCTGCCATCCGTCGCTCTTCGGTGGGATGCGACGAAGAATCTTCTTGACTGCTGGTGCGAAACCGGCGTCGAGCATCTGGTCGGCCTCATCGAGAACGACAGTCTTAACATGGGTGAACCTTTCGCGAACCTCCTCCTCGCCAAGGATATCGTCGAGTCGGCCAGGCGTAGCAACAAGGATGGTAGGGTTGCCGTTCATGAAAGCCTTGAGGTTTGAAGCACGAGAAGTGCCACCGAAAGCGGTATGGGTTTCCATCTTTCGTGGCAGGCAAGCAGTGACACCGTTGGCTTCCTTCGCAATCTGCAGCGCCAACTCACGGGTAGGGCAGATAATCAGAATGCCAACCTTGCCTTTGGGGGGCGCGTTTCCGGAAAGGAGGTTCTGGATAGCGGGCAGCAAGAACGCAACGGTCTTGCCAGTGCCGGTTTTCGCTTGCACGATGCAGTCAGATGTGATGTTTGGTAGCTCGGTGAGAACCTTCTGCTGCACAGGCGACATGAACTCAAAGCCCATCTTGTCAAGACTGTTCAACAGCGCCTTATCCAGTGTGCCCGCCATCTCAGAAAATCGCTTCGCCTCAGCATTGCCGGTGGACGTGCTATACATCGCCTTGACATCGACAGGACCGGTAGCGCCCGCCTCCTGCTTTGTAACATCTTCGACCTTTGGGCGCTTCTGCTGCTGGGCGACGGTCGAGTGAGGGTTGGCTGCGTTGTTGGGAGTAGCGCCGCTGGGCCTGGGCCGGTGCCACTTGCGCTTTGGTGGTGGAGGCATGTTGGTGGAGATGTGCCTGTGGTTGTAGGTAAAGTGAAGTGTGCTGTAGAGGCGTAAAGTATTAGTTGAAAGAGAAAGATGTGCTGCAAGACCAGAAGGAGCGAACAGAGAACGTGGAATAGACTTCATTGCTTTCACAACCTAGTACATACACAAAAGCAGCCCTATGTAGGGACAAAGAACGAGTATGAGAGAATGGGTCTTACTGCAGAGACTGCGTCGCGTCTCAGAGGCAACAATAAAAAAGTTCCAAGCGCCGGCGGTGAAATGACGCCGGCCGCTGATGTCAGCATCGCGCTAACCCCTGGAGGACAACAGAGGAAGGAGCACCTCTTACACCAAGCAAGACATCTCCACCTTCAATTGTACTCTAGGAATAAACTGTACACGCGTCGTGAAAGTGCCTGAACTAAAAAGAAGTCCGACTGGGGTCATACCACTTCGACAGGATTGCGATATTCGCACCAGTCTGCAGTCATGCCTGCTGCTAAGAGGAAGTCACCAAAGTCATGGACCGAGATCGCTGAGAAAGCCCAAAGTCATCGAGATGTTACAATAGCCAGTCTGTCTCCATCGGCACCCAAAGTGCCCCCAGATCTGCCGAAGAACGTCTTGCACATACCCGAGCAATTACTAGACCAGTCTGTTCTATTGATTACGAACCTGCCTTTTGAAGAGCTACTTCTGTGTCTCTCAACCGGTCAGCTGTCCGCTGTTCAAGTCACAACTGCTTACCTGCAACGTGCTGCCGTTGCTCAAGGTCTGTCGAACTGCCTGACAGAGCTCCTACCCTCTCTTGCACTAGATCGTGCAAAACAACTCGATGCTTACTTTCAAACACACCAGCGTCCAATTGGCCCACTGCACGGTCTACCTATCAGCTTGAAGGAGCATCTTGGTCTCCAAGGTCTGCGGTGTACGACTGGCTACGTATCGCACTGGGACACCATCGCGAAAGAGGATGCGCACATCATCCAGGTACTCCGAGATGCAGGCGCGGTCTTCCACTGCAGGACAACTATACCACAGACGATGATGCATTTGGAGACAGACTCGAACCTTTACGGCGTCACGACAAACCCCTACAACAGCAATCTGACATCAGGAGGCAGCTCAGGCGGCGAAGGTGCACTAGTCGCTCTTCGTGGCTCTTGTCTGGGCATTGGTTCGGACGTAGGCGGTTCAATTCGAAGTCCAGCCGCTAATTGTGGCGTCTACGGTTTGAAACCAACAGCTTTTCGACTGCCGACTGATGGCTGGGGGTACATGATGGCGGGCGCCGATACCGTCGAGACTGTGCTGGGCCCTCTCTCGACTTCGTTGCAAGGATTAAAAAATTTCATGAAGACTATCATCGACTCAGAACCTTGGCTTGCGGAGCCTGCGCTGATACCGATGCCCTGGCGAACGTACTCTGTCCCTACTGACAGGCCACTGCGGATAGGCGTGCTATGGCATGACAGGATTGTGTGGCCGCATCCACCGATCACTCGCGCCCTGAAGCTGGTCACGGACGAACTCAAAGAGCACAACATCGAGGTCGTCGACTTCGCGCCCCATCTACACGATGAAGCCTGGGCGATCTTAGCATCGCTCTACTACCCCGATGGCGGAGAAGCCGACTCTGAAGACATTGCGTCCTCTGGCGAACCATGGCGACCGCTGTCCAAATGGATTATCAAAGACAACCCGTGCGTTAAGAAGCTTTCAGTCGGCGAGCTGGCGTACTGGCTTGAAGAGCGTGAAGCATATCGCAAGGAGTACGCGCTGCACTGGAAGAAGCACGGTATTGACGCGTTGCTATGCCCTGTAGGCCCTGGTGTCGCGCCAAAGCACAATACGGCGAAGTACTGGAGCTATACAAGTCAGTGGAATTTGCTCGATTATCCTGGGCTTGTGTTTCCTGTGTGTAAGGTCGATATGGCGAAGGATAAGTGGACTGGTGACGAGCAGCTACTTGGTGAGCTTGACAAGGAGAACAGGAGTCTCTGGGACGCCGAAGAGTTTCATGATGCACCTGTTGGACTTCAGCTCGTGGGCAGACGATTCGAGGATGAAAAGATCGTGGGCATTCTTGAATATCTCACTGACAAGATTGGTCTACCACAACAGGTGTTCTTCTGACATCTCAAGAAACGTTTCCCACGACTCTGATTACCTGTCGATTTCTGCTCACGAAATTGATGTGGGAAACAATTGTATACGCATCATACACGATCAAAGAACTCAAGGTCCTTCGAACTATTCTACAGTCTACTGAACGAACCACATTTACAACATCCAAACCATTCATAACATGCCAATGCAAACTTCCGCTAACACTCACAGGAGCGTATCATTAATCGTTAAACGAAAGTTAGGATCGTTTACCACCCGGGGCTTGTAGAACTGAAATCGCACCAGATACGTCGATGTCATACTTGCTCCAGCACCCGCATTCAATCCAGTACCTGCGCTCATTGAAGCACCCGTACTTGGTCGTATTCTGAAGGAGAAGCAAAGATGATCTTGAAACACCTTAGTGTTTTTGTACAAATACTGTATAGCGTTGGCCTTGGTCAGCCAGCCGCCGTCAGGGTCTTGGATTGGCATTCGATCCCGATTCACTATAAGGACGATCTCAAGCCTACCAGGATGGATAGGTTCTGATGTATAAGATGCCGAGTTGCGCAGTCTGGCCAGCGTAGCTCTCAAGAAGCGCCAGAGGTGGCACAAATCCCCAGCTCGAAGGGCGATTAGAGCGGCGCCGGACGTGTCGAGGGCGTATTGCTTGAACCTGGTTGCTCGCTGACCAAGAATGGGGTGGGCCAATTCACTCTCATGAAGCCTGGCGAAGATCTCGCGACATTTCTAAGGGTCGAGAAAGTGGTGGGCTGATACATGGACAGTTGATGGGCCCACTTTATCATATTTGCGCCACTTCGGGTCATTATTGTCCTCGGGATCAAGCTCCCCTGCCTCCATACTACGGTGGAGTCGCTTCAGCTTTACCGCCCCCTCGAATATGTACAAGAGTCGAGGCAATTGTCTGATGTTCTCGAAGTCCATCACGATCTGCGCAGGCTCTGTTCGATCTCTTATCCAGCAGTAGCTTCGTTTCAGCCCGCGTTCGTCGACTGAACTGTACGCCCGCAGAGTCCAAATCATGCGTTCGTCAGGTTCCAATTGGAGATCCAGAAATTGGCACACGCTTAGTTCTTGTACTTGCTAGCTCATAAATCTTTAAATTAAGCTCGATTGGCAACATGTTGAGACTCGAGCCAGCAGGCAACTGTACGGGCACTGGGAGGAATAGTGGTATGACGGGTTCTGACCCTCGTCTAACAATTTATCGCCTTTTCATTCCGATTGGGGACCTTCTCCTCTTCCTGTTATCTTCTGCGGCTGTTATATGACCTTCTCTTTTGTGTAGTTTGGGCGAGCGATTCTTTCGCGCCGCGGACGACTCGAGGTGGCGGTTGGTACCATGATGTGCTAGGCGCTGTGCTGAGTGTCTGGCAATGGTATCTTGCTGTTTGTGTTGCGAGGGAAGTGTAAACGTAGGGCGCTGAATTTATCTTGCCCAACATGTATTGCGGCGTTACTACCGTTAGCAAGGCTTTTATCATCAATGACAAAGGAGGTATATCCAGAAAGCAACAATGCTGGGTCTGAAACGCTCGTGCTCGATGCCCTTTGTTTGAATGAAGGCTATGGTCTATGCCAAACTTCCTCAACATAGAATAACTTGGTGTATCCAACGATCCTGGCAATGCGTATGATGAGGTGGATTACGGAGGTCAGGTCAGCCTCAGTCGTGGCAGATGGAGACCTAACATAAAGAGTGTTCTTACAAACCCAACTGGTACTAAGCCTTCCTGGTTGCCTCGACATGGCATGCTGCGAATGTTGGGGATATGCGTGTCTAGACGTTGGGGTCGATGCTACACTCCTGCCCCGCTGAGCATGCGGTATTTCCATTAAGACAAGTGCCTTCACCTCCAAAAGAGCCAATGCACTGGAACGATGGGAATGGGCCACGACCTGCGCCCTTTCAGTGCATAAGCCCACTACGCTTCCTTGTTGTAAGGCGTCCTTGAGTCGAATAAGATAAGAGCTTCTGCATAGAGTGTTCATCGTTGACAAGAAATGGATGACTTGAATGCTTGCGAGTGCGCGCTGATGGTCACTGCTAGTAATGCGTTGCTCCTACCTGAGTCACTCCGCGACTGCGTTATGTGCTGCAAGACTCGAACACGCAGGTATCACCGTCCCCTTAGCCTGATAGCAAGTCTCATACAACATCGGTGCATCAAATAGTTGTTCGAATTTACTGGAGGACTCGAAGAGATACAGAGCTGCATCAACTGCTGTCGAAAATACTGAGAACGCCTAGTTGGCTTTTCTGAGATTGACGTGACGAATAAAGTCTCCCTCAAATGCAGAATCGTCATAAAACAGCAGGGAAATAGCAAAAATGAAATCGAATTGGAAGATTCAGGGGTATCGAACGCCACATACAGTAGTAATTGGAACACCAAATAACCCTGTTAAGGCCCACCACCTAGCCAGCTTTTCTCCCATACGAGTCTGTAGCGCGTGGTTGACAGCATAGTGACGCCCCCAGCGCCGCGAGAATATGCTCAGCCATGTGTAGCTCTGGGCTGGTAACAATATACCGGTTTTGACCATGCTATTTGCGTGGAGATGCGGGTGCTCAGTAATTGACTTTGCGCGGAGCTCCGCTGCGCTCAAATGCGAGCAGTTGGCCGTCGATGACCAAAATAGCCGGCTCAGTGGCTCTCTCCCATCGAAAAATTCCGCGTTAAGAGCATCCGCATCGATCGCTGAATCGCGAACGAAGCGCATGTATGACTTGAGTGCACGCATTACGTCGTTTGCGCGGCAGTCCGAGAGTTGTTTGTTCTCTCTCCAGAGCAGTGATGAGTGATAGGGATGAGAAACTTGTCGGAGGTTGCCTAGGTCTCCTAGTATCCAATGTGCATCGTCAGCCACAAATATATTGCTGGATTTGATGTCATCGTGGCAGTAGCCAGCTTCATGCAGATTCCCCAGGGTATGGAGCAGGCGTTCGAAGGTTGGACGGTGGTGCGCGTCGATGTCTCGATAGGGTTGTTTTTGCTTGCGCGCTTCGATGGCCAAGTCTTTCAGATTCCCACCCTTTAGCAATGGTGTTACGAGGTGCCACTCAGCCTGACTCGCAGAAGATACTGCCATGAAATATGCTTGGACTGGCAGAAAGCCATGAAAAGAGGAAGTCGCATTGTGCTCGGAACCTCCAAAGTACAAAGACGCTGGAACCTCAGTCGGCCACACCTTGTCTGTTACGCCTGGCGCACAGTTGCGGAAGGGACTTCGTCCGGGCGTGAATGTCTTAATCACTGAGTCCTGGTATACAAACGTCTTTCCTTCCCGACCTTCGCCTAAGTTTCTCCATGCTGCCCGATTTGCAACGAGGCGGTCTTGAAAATGTGCGCTTTCTTCGTCTGGCATCCATGTCTGTTCCTTCGTGAACTGTAGAAGTTCAGTTGGCGAATACTTGGCCGCAAGCGCCTTTCGGTAGATGAAGAAGAGGTGGTACTGTTTGAATAGTACAAAGATGAACAGGACAAGTGCGAGTCGATACCGCAAGTGACAGAAGGATCGTTGCGGTATCGATACCCTGAAAGAGCGACCCATCTGTACTGTTTCGTAGGATGCTGTACAAGTTACTGCCTACCTCCACGCTGTTGCACACAGGACGGTAACCCAATCAATCAATCCACGCTGTTGCGCCGTCGACGGCTCTTAAGCAAGCTGAAAATCACCACCAGATTCTGGAGAAAGAGGATCTGAGACTGCACCCTTGAGCCGTCTCTTCAACCGGCTTTGGCATTTCTTTCAACTTGCGCGCAAACAAGCTTTCATGGAGTCCATAGTTTGCCAGTGGCCCCTGAGCGCGTTCAGAGCTGGGTAAATGTGATGCCGACGTCAGTGGCTACAGCCATTTATAGGCTGAGGCGGTGCTCATGTTTGCTGTCAAACGCTGGAAACAAGGAAGTGGTAGGCTCTTAGTGTCTTGGAGGTCTCGAATGCCGGCCACAGCCTCGGATTGGTGCTCACAGCGCCAGCGCATCGAGAGCTCAAACACGTAGGTATATCCTCTTTCCTGTCATTGTGGAAACGTGAATTTCATCATGTTGTATGCGGTTTAACGATTTTGCCGACGTAGTGCCTGTCAGATGCCGTGCAGGAACGAAGGATTGGAGCCACGCGGTTGAGTACGTGCGCCTTCCTTCGCGTTGTTGCGCGCCCCACTCTCGGGGAACAGCTCCACCGCACCCGCTCGGCTTTTCCTTGCTGACAGGCAGCGATACCCCTCAACGCCCTCGTACTTGTAGGGTGTTTGTATGCGAATATTTGTAAGCGATGAGGACTGTCACTGATGAAGCCTAATAGGCTGTTCCCATAATCATGACTACCAAGGCTCAATCGCCGCAGAACAGGACGCAGTTAATCTCGCACTTCGATGGCTTCAAGTAAGGACTTCAGCTACGACGCATGTTACGTGGCTGATGGTATCAGGGCTCGTGACGAGCACAGTGCCGGCTGATCCAGTGTCTGGGACAGACCTGTGGGATTGCGGAAGACTTCGGCTCTTGTGAGCTTCCTGTGGACTCACCCGCTCGGTGTTGAACTCGGCGCAAGCACACACCCACTGAAGGCCTTCCTCCCTGTAAGATGAATTTCGCAGGACCAGCTCCATATCTGGTTATTCAACAACATGCAAACATCGGAAGATGACTGACATGATGTGGCAATGCTGGCGCTGAACGGCATTGAAGCGTGGGACCTGGAACGACAAATGCGAAGATCGAGTCCCAACTCGCTAAGCCATCGGATGACAATTTGGTAAAGGAGAAGGCGATCCGAGCCTGCGGCTGAAAAAGTCGTGCTTGGTGTCTTCTTCCGACGGGGCTGGGAGAGTCAGATAAGTGCTAGCTTTGAAGGCTTCGACATCATCTATGATTACACAGTGAGCTCTGCACTATCATACCATACGCACAGCGTTGACGAAAACCAGTTTCTCTGCGCCTTGCTACCGTCGATGCGACATGACTGGGCGCGGCGGTCACCGTTGCTCTCACCCGTCACTCTGACCTTCTGCGTTGACATCTCTATGCAGGGACTACGCACGGAAAGTTAAAACACGTTCCCCGGACCCATGTCATTTGTTCTAGGTTGAGCACGTCGGCGCTCGCTAATATAGAATACTTACCTCATCCGTCTAGTGAAACTCGTGCGCCTCCATTATATCCGTGCAGTCCCCGCCACAGCAGACCAATTCGGCAAACTTTCTTTGCATCGCAATTTTCTCGTTCGCTCAACTGAGGCAAAAGATCAACCGGGGACATCAGAAGGGGAACTGAGCCTTGCGCTAGAAGTGGTCCTTCAAAGGAGAGCGGCACGTACAGAGTCATGTCACTTGGATTTTAGTATAACCAAGTCCTATGGGCTCCTGTCCAAAACCTAATACTTCTAGTTTCCAGTTTCTCCTCGCCGACCTGCTTTTAAAAAATGAGACACTATTATTTTGCATAGTCGTTCACCCACAGTTTTTCTGATACTCCACATTTGGCCGGTTTCAATTCCGCAGATCTTTATTCGCTTGTTCGCTTGATACGAACGCGCCAAAGAATCAACTACACGAGCATGCAAGACCGAGGCGGGCAGGTTACGGGCGTTGCCATAACGTTCCTCGTCTTGACATGGGTGACCGTTGGGTTGCGATGCTATGTGAGGTTAGTTGCCGCTATCCCGCAAAGTTTCCAATGTTCGAGCTATAGGCTAACGCGAACCTCAGAACAGTAATTGTTAAAGGCTTTGGACTGGACGACAAAGTAATGGTCGTTACACTGGCCTTTTTCACAGCATACCTTGCATGCCAACTCGGCGGCGCGGTACATGGAACCGGTCAGCACCGTGAGAATATCACGGATGAGGCTGCGCAAACTGCGCTCCGTTACTGGTTCTTCTGCGAAGTGTTATACACAATCACAACGTCGATCTTCAAGATTGCCATTGGACTCTTCTTGCTACGCATTACGATTGTCCGAGTCCACATCTGGATCATCCGGATCATTATGGCCGTCGCAACATTCGTCGGAGTCGCGTATACACTGCTTGTAGTATTTCAGTGTAAACCGATCTCCTATTGGTGGGATCTGAATCCCAATCACACAGGCACATGCCTCTCCGCATCGCTGGTCATGAACTTTACATATGTTGTCTCGGCGTTGAACTCATTAGCGGACTGGACTTTCGGTCTCCTACCCATTTTTGTCGTAAAAGACTTACAGATGAAGCGCCGCGTGAAGGTCATCGTCAGCGCGATTATCGGCTTAGCAGCCATGTAAGTCTCCAACCTGGACCACTCAGTTAATGGTGACTAACATCTACATCAGTGGCTCAACCGCAACAATCATCCGCCTTCCCTATACCTCGACCCTCAAACCCTACAAAGGCGATTTCCTCTACCGCACAACTGACTTCGCAATTTGGACCACCGTGGAAGTCGGAGTCGGGATAACCGCCGGCTGCATCGCCACCCTAAAACCCCTCTTCAAAGCTGCACTGGGCTCCACAAGCCAAAACTCCGGTATGCCGTGGTCCAAAACACCAAAAGGTTTCCAATCGAAAACCGGCGGCTCGACATTCGGCACGCAGCAAGCGCTCGACGACCTGCGCCCCGCCGCCGAGCGTACGATACGCACAACAACAGTCACGGGTGGGAGGGGGAGTAGCAGCGATGAGGAGAACTTTCTAGATACCGGGTTGCTGGAGGAGAGATGGGAGGGGATACGGAAGGGCGTTACGACGACAGTGACGACGGAGGTAGCGCCTGAGAAATCCGACAAGCAGAGGGGAGGGTATACGTACGGTACGTCGAAGACGAATAAGAGGAGGAGTTTTAGTCTAGGGCAAGATAGTAACAGCACATTAGATGATGCGGAGAGGAGTAAACCCGTTGGCACGTTTAATCCGTTCCAGTAAATCTGGAGACGGAGCTGTGTCAGAAAATAGATGATGCATTCTTACAATATCGTGCTCGAAGACTGCGAGACTACAGTCCTGTCAAGTGAATGACCAGAGGGGCATGCGCCTTCTCAATGACTGCCCAAGCAGTTCGTATAGAAATTGAAAGTCAGGTAGGGCGAGAGTGATGCGGAAAGCATGAGACGGTAGGCACGATATGGATAACAGCACACGGAAGCCACCACGCACAAAGTACAACACGGAAAGAAATGATGTGGAAGGCACAATTACATGATTGCAACGCAACGTTGAATGGTGGAGATGTTTTGACTATTAGAAGCTCTATAGAAGTGTAATCAGCATAGTGCAACTGACCGTTCATCCCACTTTCATGAAGCCAAGGAAAGTGCTTGAGTGTATGATCTTATTGTATTCTAACTATGCAAACGGCGCTCAACGCCCTTATGCTACTAATATGCAGGTCAATGCCGCTAATATCAAAGGTGTGCCGTAGCCAATCTGGTATCATTTCCAACGCCCAATATCTCAATAACTCAAATCGCAGTAGAGCCTTAAGGCATACCCCACTGTCCACCGACAACATCCAAAGCGCCCTCTACGGCTTCTTCGAGTGCTTCTACTCTATGCCTGAGCACACGGTTCTCCTCACGTTCCTTGCTCAATCGACCCCAAACAGAAGCTTGCGAGCCGCCTTCACAGTTAGCGCAGCCCCAGCTTTGGACGCTGACTGATCCGCCTCTGGGCTTGTCGTATGTGCCACCGCGCTGTAAACTTTGTACTTTCTTGTGCTTCGTTGGTGTAACGTCGGCTTCAACCTCGAGGATGGAGGACCGGTCGGTGCCTGTTGGGCTGAGGCAGTTTCTGGAGAAAAGGCTGGCGACATCGGTGTCGGCATCAGACTCAAAGCCAGAGTCGACGCTGAGCTCCGAGTTCGAGACGCGGTTACGGCGGCGTGGTGTGTCCTGGCAACTGCACTGAGGCTGGCTCCTGATGAGGGCAAGGCTCCTCTTGCGCGCAGCCTCCTCTTCTTGTCTGGCATGACGCTCGAATGCCAGATCCTCCATCAGTGTCCGCATCTGCTCGTCTTGCTCGGTCGCCCTCGCTGCCATAGTCTCGAGCTGCATCTTCAAATGACGCGCTCTTGTCTCTGCCTCGTCCAACTCGTCGTCTTGTGCGCTTTGTTCTGATTGTGCGTCAACCAGTGCAGTGGACAACTGACGATATGACTTCTGGTAACGAGACAGAAGGGCTTCGGCGTTTGCGAGGAGGTCGTTGAAGGATGATGGTGCCAGAGGATCGGCGGAACCATGAGGGAAGAGAGCTTGCGAGATGTTCAAGTTCAACAGCTCGTCGTCGGCGTTGTGGTATGCTGGTGCTGGGGTATGCGAGGGCACTGCCGCATTCTTCTGTGTGGATAGTAGCCAAGCAAACCTGCTACTAGCAGGCGATGGATACTGTGACTTCGTCGGTGTCGTCATCTGTTCAGACCGAGCTGGGGTTTCGGACGTCGCCCGGGTGTGTGTCGGCTTACGGTTGAAGATGTTCATGGTGTTGTGTGCCTCCTCCTCTTCTTCAGCCTCGGATTCAGAATCGGAAGAATAGTACTCCGAAGGGACTTCTGAACCCGACTCTGAGACTGTGTCTTCGTCCTGCTGCTGAATACCAAGCTTGACAGGTGCAGAAGATCCGTTGAACCAGCTCTTGGTCGAATCAATTGCGCTCCTCGAAGGTAGAAAGCTAGCCAGCGACTTGGTTGGCGAATGCGATCGAATCGATGCTGCGGAAGTATGTTGTTGTAATGTGGATGTTGCGCGGTTGAGGAAAGTCTGGCTATTGTTGAGGAGCGTGCCTGTCAAGGTGCGCTGGTGGCTGCTGCGGCCTGCACGGGGATAGTCTTCGAGTGGGGAAGGTGAGTCGCTGTGTGGATCGTAGGCAGTCGCGTTTGAGGTCAAGACAGAAGGTGGCGGTTGAATGGAGGCAGAAAGGTCGATGTTGTCCAAGTTGTTCAGCTCATCGTCGGCGAGCGGCGCCGTGAATTGCCTCAGTGGAGATGTTGGAGCCCTTAGTCCTCCCCGCGCAGGAAAGTGGGCTGCACGTGAGGCCTGAGGAGGAGGTTGAAGCTCGAGCTCGGGAGAGGCTTGACGAAACATAGTTTTCTGGTTGATTTAGGGTGCACGGATTCCTATTTCGAACACCAGTTCCTCGATCCGTTGACGAGCGAACAGATGGAATGACTGTCTTGAAACGCAGTGTTGTTGTTGAGAATGGGGTATCCCGGTCGACGGCCACGCTATCGATAGTGGGACCTACAGAAGCGCGAAAGTAAACAGGCGGTCAAGGAGGGTACAAAGGTTGGATAAAAGGAGGTTTGGTGAGCGATTGTGCAACGAGGTGCTGCAGATGTTTGGAGATCAGGTTCAAGACTGGGTGTCGCACGAGGGAAAAGGTGCTGTCATGTCTCTGAGATTAACAACGTGGTTGGCAGGTGGCTGGCAGACCAGGTTTTGAGGCTGGACCACTGAAGCGCGTCATCTCTGTTCACCGCAACATGCATCCCATCGCTAAAAAGCACCAATAGCCCCATGATGTTGGTTTCTAGACAAGACCATCTTTAGAATGAGGCGTCCCGCTCCAGGAACCTGCAGTAGTTCTCTGCAAGAGTTTTGCGCCGTCGTTGCGCATGCAAAACTCGTCAGTCCGTAGCCTGCGAGGCTGTCTAAATAAAGCTCACAGAATTCGCACAACCTCAACACCGAAACGTCCAACGTCACTGAACTTTGCAGTCGCTGACGTTCAGGCCACCGATCCTGTTCATTTGCTTTGGATCAGATGTGCGTCTTCTGACGTTCCCCATCGATCAGCTCCGTCCTCAGCCAGCATGAGCCAGGGCGCTTTTTCGCGGAGGAAGATGTGCCTCTTGACGATTGGTGGTTCGCACTTCAGACTTTCTAGGTCCAGGGAACTCATTGTCAACGACACCTCGTCTTCACAGAAGGAGTAGACCATCGTAATGGGAGCACCGCACCTCGAGCAAAAGGACCGCTCTGCACTGTCCGAGATCTTCAGAATTTTACGGGTAGACTCCTCCGTGAAGACCAGCGCATTCTTCGATACGCCCGTGAACGGAATATAGGCAGATCCAGATAGTTGTTGACAGGCACGACAATGGCAGAGGACAATATCCTTGGGTCGTGCAGTCGATGTGTACTGGACACCGCCGCATCTGCAGCCACCCTTGAAGATGATGCCATCGCCAACGGTCTTCGGTACGTATCTCGAGCCGTCAGCAGCTTTGAGGAGTGTCAGCATTTAGGGACGATGGTATCGGGGTCGTGGTTTAAGCTTACGTTTACGCGCCACTCCAAGGAACACAGAGTCAACTTCTTCAACCTTTCCATCGATTGCCAACTTTTCCCACTCCTCTTTGTAGACATCCTGCGCTTTTCTCCTGATGTCGTTGTTTGCGAATGTCCTTGCAACGTCTTTCACAATGACGTTCTCAACGAAGAAGTCGTCCCACTGCTCCATGTCGTATGATCGCCGTCCGTATCCAGCTTGGTTTTCCACGGTGACCACTTTCTCGACCTCTAGGCCAGCAGATTCGAGGATGTCCTTCAAAGAGGATTCCGATTTGCTCCAGGACCTATTGTAAGGCATCGGCAAGTCCAAGCGTCGAGCAACCCTTTCGAGGACCATACCAGCAACCAGGTTTCTTGGATGCGTGGCGTCCAACGCGATAATACCTCCAGGCTTTAGAAATTGCGACCAGTGCTCGATCGCAGCCTTTGGATCTGGAAATAGGACAAGAGCAGAGGCAACAGTGATGACATCGAATGTGCTCTCCTTCAGGGCTCCCAGCTCTTCCAGATGTAGCACATCTCCTTCCAAGAAGGTCACATGCGAGTACTTATCACCGGCTTTTCTTTGCTTGAACTGGGCGACTCCAAGCATCGATGGAGTGACATCGACGCCGATCACCTGCCCAGATGGTCCGACAGCATCTGCCTCGAGGAAGGAAAGAAGGCCAGTACCGCATGCGAGATCTAGTATCTGTTGACCAGGCTCGATATCGACGTAGGAGATGAAGCGGCTGGTGAAGTCATCATGCCAGGTACCGTCGTAATTCAACGCTCTTGATTTGTAGAACTCGATGGCACTGTCTGCTTGTCGTTTGCTAGCCATGATGAAGGATAGGTCTTATCCTTAGGAATGCTTGAACTAGCGACTGTCGATGCTTTGAATTGAGCTGAATGGGGAAACGGCCCGACTGGGTTGAGAAAGTGTAACTCGAGTGTACGCTCGTACCTCCTTCGACGCTCGAATGCAACCTTTGGGATGAGTTTCTTTACTCTTGACAGCGCAGAGGGCCCTTGGATTGTGTAAGTTCTTACATCGTGTATGAGTGAGGGGTGCCGAAGACGACGGCTCGCACTAGTGCCCGTATTGGTAAGCTCGACTGATTAATCTGCCCATGTGTCTCTACGGCTGCTCGTTCTTCCATCTTCCTCTTCCACAAACTTTGCGAAATTTGCACAAAGTAATAACATAGTCCGAAAAGCGATGACAGTGTACGTGCCGTTATGCACCGACGTACAACGCGTTCCACAATCGAAATGCATCTTCCAGCAAGGACGGTCTCGTCGTACATGTCCCAATTGCGCAGCATCTTGGGTCTCTGACATAGAAGGGCTATGAAACTTTAGAGGACACCGAGTGGCCTCGAGAAAGCGTCTTGAATCCCGCAAATTGACGTTTTATTCGAATTGACCCGTTCCTGCGATGGCCAGGCTCGTTGCTGGTCTTCGATATGATATGCACACAGCCTCAACGTAGACGACCACTCGTAGCAGCTAGAGACATTGCTCTACATTCTTCGACTGAGTACAGTAGTTTTCTGTACACCTGTGCCGATTGATGGACAGGCTAAAGTCAATGACTTGAGACGGCGGCTCTACTACACCCCGCACCCTGATCTACAAAGCAACGGCACAGCAATTGTCCAACGACCATGTTGGGCTCAAATTACAAATTGAGTATGTCCGAAAGCGGACGATAGAGTCGATGCTATGCTCTAGGAGTAGTTGTCCGCCAAGAGTGGTAGAGTGTGCACCCATTTCGATCACGGCTGAAGGGAGAAGCGAGCACCATACATGTTCTTCCAAGAACGATTCAGGCATCAAATTACCACACTTTCAATCTCCAACATCCACGTTGCCGATGACCGTAATCGCGGCTGGTCGCACAGTACTCAACAGTGATCAGTACTAACGTAAGGTTTACGTTAAGTATATTGTGGCAAGTGACCACTTCTACCGCGGATCTTCAAATACTGCACAGCAGTTCTCTATAAAGAGAGAGTGGTTGTCCACTACTGGATACTACCAACCCTCGGAAAGTCAAGTGCCCGACCTTGTTAACATGAAGTTCTCCATCATCGTGCCGCTGCTGTCTGCGACGGTTCTTGCCGTGCCTGTTGTTGAAGAGCGCCAGGCGACTTGCAATGTCCCGACTAGTTTTCCAACAACCGCGAACGCAAAGCTGCCGAATCCCTTCAAGTTCTTTGACGGCAGGAGTGTTACCACTAAAGCCGACTTTGAGTGCAAGAATCAAGAAGTCAGCGCAGCGCTGCAAGCCCAAGAGCTTGGCGTCTTCCCTCCTAAACCATCAAGCGTCACTGCTTCTCTCTCTGGCAATAGCCTCTCCATCACTGCTTCTGAAGCCGGCAAATCGATTACCTTCAGTGTCTCGATCCAGAAGCCCAGCGGCTCAGGACCATTCCCTGCTATCATCGCATACGGCGCCGCCAGCCTACCCATCCCAAACGGTGTCGCGACCATTATTTTCAACAACGACGATATTGCTGCCCAGCAGGGCCAGAACAGCCGTGGTCAGGGCAAGTTCTACAACATCTACGGCTCAGATCACAGCGCTGGAGCTCTCACTGCTTGGGCATGGGGCGTGGACCGCATCATCGACGCTCTCGAAATCACACCGAACGCTGGCATCGACCCTAAGCGCGTTGGTGTGACCGGCTGCTCACGCAACGGCAAAGGCGCCTTTGTTGCTGCAGCTCTTGTCAAGCGTATCGCACTCGGTCTTCCACAGGAGTCGGGCGCTGGTGGCGCTGCTTGCTGGCGCATCTCAGACTCCGAGAAGGCGAAGGGCAAGAACATCCAGACCGCTTCTCAGATCGTCGGAGAGAACGTCTGGTTCAGCCCGAGATTCAACGCGTTCAGCACCAAGGCCAACACTCTGGCTGTGGACCATCACCAGCTTGCGGGTATGGTTGCTCCTCGTGGTCTGCTCGTTATTGAGAACGAGATTGATTGGCTCGGTCCTGTGTCCACAACTGCTTGTATGAAGGCCGGCCGCTTGATCTACAAAGCGCTTGGTGTGCCTGACAACATGGGTTTTACAGGCTCTGGCAACCACAACCATTGCTCGTTCCCTTCGAATCAGCAGGCTGATCTTACTGCCTTCATCAGCAGGTTCTTATTGCAACAAAATACCGACACGGCGAACATTGAAAAGGGTCCTGGTGGCGCGGATGTTGGAACGTACATTGACTGGACGACACCTACACTCACTTAAAGCTACAACTAGGAGCAGCCATAGCAGGGGAAGGCTGGAGGGATTCGCTCACATGTATATATGTTGATACGCGTGATATCGCACCTGAATTGCAATTGGAATACGTATGTGTCTCAATTCAGGCTCTCCAAAGCATGCTCACACCAAGCGATGTAGGTGAAAAGGACGACTCGAGTACCTTATCCATCGAGCGTCTCTCAACACCATCATCGTGATGACGTAGGAAGCCAATAATCTATCAGTGTAGGCGTGTATGCATTCCAGGGAGATTTCTAGGCACGGATCCCGTAGCAAACTGTTCTCGGAGCATGTCCAGACGTGCAGGAAGGAAGTTTGATGTTCCTGAGGTCGTCGTTGGACGTGGAGGGGTCACGGTCGCAATTGCACTCCACTGGTTCGCCAATCCAATCTCCGCCGTTGGTCCAAACGTTCGACCACGTACAGGTCAGACTCCGTCTGAACTGATGAGATCTTCGACAGGACGTTCTTCACGGTGAACATGTGTAATGAGCGAGGGTGATAACAGATGAGGCGTGCACCAATCAGAAGCCATTTCTAAATCACATGACCGTGCTAACCGTTGTGGGGACTCTCTGAACTCGCTCTGCCGCGTCTTGATGAACGTCCACCCCAACGCCGACCAACCCCAACATCACCGAACGTCTTCCCCCATCCTTTTTGCGCGCGCAACACGTTGTTTACAACGCGTGAAGCGCAACGACCGACCTTTTGCGCGCGTCCGCGCCCTTTTCCCCACCCACGCGCAATTTGCCAGGCAGCCTCCGGTACAGCCATCAACCGCGACACTTGCGCGCGCGCACCCCCGGCGGAGTGTTCATCAGCCTCATTCATCACGAGGCACGCACCACCACAACGCAGCACAATAATGTTATAGCAGCCCGCTGCATGCACACCTCATCGACCCATACTGTCCTTTCCCGGTATTGCGCGCTTTTCCACCAACCACCTTACCGCCGATTGACCGCGCTCGAAGCCTGTGGAGGTCGATACTAGCAGCACTTTGCGCAACACCGCGCACGTAGCTCACCACCACAGCTATGGCTTCAGTCCAGGCTACGCCAGATATGCCTGGCCAGGGTCAAGGTCAGCTCCCTGCCAACCTGTCCAAGGAGCAGGTCGGGCAGATCTTTCAGGTACGTTCACCTTACTCTAGACATATATGCGCGCCGCGCCACCACCATTACGATTCACAGTAACTGATCTGGCCACAGCGTTACCAGCAGATGAAGGCGGCAGGTGTCCCCGACACCAACCCTGACCTCATCAAGGCCCGCAATGTCCTCGCTATGGTCCAGAAGCGCAACCAGTACATCCAGCAGCAACAGATGATGAAGCAGCAACATCAGCGACAACAGAGCCTCTCCGAGCAGCAGAACGGGCAGCAGAACGGTGCCGCCATGGCTATGAACGGTGCCAAGCCGGCTGATGGATCGTCTGCTACGCCTTCTACAAGTGGTCTCTCTGCGGGCGCACAAACGGCCGTAGCTGGCGGCCAAGCTCCATCCGGAGACGGCCAGACACCCACTTCAGCTGCAAGCGGTGGACAAGGTGGTTTCACGAAGGAGCAGCTCTTTATGCTTAGGAATCAGATTTCGGCCTTTAAGCACCTGTCGAAGGGTCTGCCCTTGCCTGCTAATATGCAGCAAATGTTCAACAACAAGCAAGCAAAGAAGCCTCAGAGCACTTCTGACGCCGTTGCCGCCGCCTCTCAAGTCCTCGACAACGCTACACGCGCTGCGAGCGCTTCAGTCGGTCCCAGCGGAGCTACTCAAGAGCCGAGGAACCTGCCTCGCCTGCCGGACACTTTCATCGAGCCTTGGAAAAGCGAAGCCTTTCACGACGTCAACTATATCTCGCACACCCAGCGCAAGAACCGTCCATACCTTGCGACAATCATGCCCCAGGGTGTCGATATTGACGCCGTGCAACAGGGCATGCAAGAGTTGCGCAAGGAGCGCGAGATTATCTTGTACAACCGGATCACTGCACGGAAGGCTGAGCTTGAGAAGTTCAACGCCAATATCGGTTCATGGGACACAAGCAAGACGGACACACCTGAGGACGATGGCAAGGTCAAGCTTGCGCTCGTCATCGAGCAGAAAAAGCTCAATCTGTTGGAGAAGCAGCGCAAGCTGCGGAGAGAGATTGCCCAGCAGATGATCCACGCTGACAACCTAGCCATGACTGCCAACCGAACAGTCTACCGTAGGCTTAAAAAGCAGTCGATGCGCGAAGCTCGCCTCACCGAGAAGCTCGAGAAGCAGCAACGCGATGCTCGCGAGACCAAGGAGAAGAAGAAGCACCACGAATTCATCGATGCCATCAGGAAGCACCGTACAGAGTTGAACGAGGCCGGCATGGCTCAACGACAACGTCTGCAGAAGCTTGGCCGTATCATGATCACCACTCACCAGAACATCGAGAAGGAAGAGCAGAAACGTATCGAACGTACCGCCAAGCAGCGTCTCCAGGCTTTGAAGGCCAACGACGAAGAGACCTACCTCAAGCTTTTGGGCCAGGCGAAGGACACACGTATCTCTCACTTGTTGAAGCAGACCGACGGTTTCTTGAAGCAGCTTGCCGACAGTGTCAAGGCACAACAGCGAAATCACTCCGACCGTTACAAGCTCAACAATGCAGACGACATCTCCTCCTCCGAATCAGAAGACGAGGGTGACACAGACGACGAGGCACAACCAGGAAAGAAGCGCACCGACTACTACGAGATTGCCCATCGTATCAAGGAGACCGTCACTGCACAGGCTTCGTGCTTGGTTGGTGGTACGTTGAAGGAGTACCAGATCAAGGGTCTGCAGTGGATGATTTCGCTGTACAACAACAACTTGAACGGTATCCTTGCCGATGAGATGGGTCTCGGAAAGACCATCCAGACCATCAGTCTGATCACATACCTCATTGAGAAGAAGCATCAACCTGGACCCTTCTTGGTCATCGTGCCGCTGAGCACGCTTACGAACTGGACCAGCGAGTTCGAGAAGTGGGCACCCAGCGTCTCCAAGATTGTGTACAAGGGACCGCCGAACCAGCGAAAACAGTTCCAGCAGCAGATCCGTTGGGGACAGTTCCAGGTCTTGCTCACCACATACGAGTTCATCATCAAGGATCGTCCGATCCTAAGTAAGATCAAGTGGGTACACATGATCGTCGATGAGGGACATCGCATGAAGAACGCCAACTCGAAGCTGAGCAGCACGATCACACAGTACTACACCACACGCTTCCGTCTCATTCTTACGGGTACACCGCTCCAGAACAACCTGACTGAGCTGTGGGCTATGCTGAACTTTGTTCTTCCAACAATCTTCAAATCCGCGACATCCTTCGATGAGTGGTTCAACACTCCGTTCGCAAACACTGGTGGTCAAGATAAGATGGAGCTGACTGAAGAAGAGCAGTTGCTCGTTATTCGTCGTCTTCATAAGGTTCTTCGGCCCTTCCTTCTGCGTCGCCTCAAAAAGGACGTCGAGAAGGACCTCCCCGACAAGACCGAGCGCGTCATTAAGTGCAACTTCTCCACCTTACAAGCAAAGCTGTACAAGCAGCTCGTTACACACAACAAGCTCATGGTCAGCGATGGAAAGGGCGGCAAGACTGGTATGCGTGGTTTGAGCAACATGCTTATGCAGCTGCGAAAACTCTGCAACCACCCCTTCGTCTTTGAGGAAGTTGAAGATCAGATGAACCCTACGCGAGGCACAAACGACCTTCTGTGGCGTGCGGCAGGAAAGTTTGAGCTCCTGGATCGAATTCTGCCCAAGTTCCAGGCCACAGGTCATCGTGTCCTCATGTTCTTCCAGATGACACAGATCATGAACATCATGGAAGACTACCTGCGGTTACGAGGCATGCAGTACATGCGTTTGGATGGTGCGACCAAGGCCGACGACCGTTCGGATCTGCTCAAGGCTTTCAACGCTCCCAACTCGCCTTACTTCTGTTTCCTGCTGTCTACCCGTGCTGGTGGTCTCGGTCTCAACCTGCAGACTGCTGACACAGTCATTATCTACGACTCCGATTGGAACCCTCATCAGGATTTGCAGGCTCAGGATCGTGCTCATCGTATCGGTCAAAAGAATGAAGTGCGCATTCTCCGCCTCATCACCTCCAACTCGGTCGAAGAGAAGATCCTCGAACGTGCGAACTACAAGCTTGACATGGACGGCAAGGTCATTCAGGCTGGTAAGTTCGATAACAAATCGACAAACGAGGAGCGTGACGCCATGTTGCGAGTCATGTTGGAGTCTGCCGAAGCCGCCGAAAGCCTTGAACAGGAAGAGATGGACGACGACGACCTCAACCTGATTATGATGCGGAATGAGGATGAGTTCAAGCTCTTCCAGGAGATGGATAGGAAGCGTATCACAGAGGATCCATACGGCCCAGGCAAGCCATTACCACGTCTCATCGGTGAGAGCGAACTCCCCGACATCTACCTCAATGAAGAAGGTCCGGTCGTCGAAGAGGTCGCAGACACCCCCGTCGGTCGTGGTGCCCGTGAGCGTACACGTGTCAAGTATGACGATGGCCTTACCGAAGAACAATGGCTTGAGGCTGTTGACAACGATGACGACACAATTGAAGCTGCAATTGCCCGCAAGGAAGCCAAGATCGCTAAGCGTGGTCGCAAGTCCGGGCTGCGAGAAGAGTCACCTGCGCTGTCGCGAGATAGCTCAGAAGAGCCGATGCCCAAGAAGCGCGGCAGGAAGCCCAAGCAGCCCGAGAAGCGCAAGGCCGACGAGGCTTCTCTGGAAGAAGATGTCGCACCCCGCAAACGTGGACGCCCAGCACCAGCTAAAGATGCCCTCCGCCCAGAGCAGCGGACATCGTTACAGAAGATCGTCAACACCGTCTACGAAGCCCTCAACGACCTCGAAGAAGAGTCAACCGAGCCCGACATCCCCAACCGCGGCATCATCGACCCCTTCATCGAACTGCCTGACAAGTGGGACTACCCCGACTACTACCAGCTGATCAAGAACCCGATCTGCATGAACCAGGTCAAGAAGAAGATCAACAAGAAGGAGTACCAGTCGCTCAAGCAGTTCCGTCAAGATCTCGGCCTGCTGTGCAGCAACTGCCGCCTCTACAATGAGGACAGCAGTCTGCTGTACCAGGACGCCAACTTGATTGAGCAGACGGCGGTGGAGAAGCTCAGGGAGGCTACGCAGGAGTATCCCGAGTGGCAGGACTTTGACGATGCGGCGAGTGGCAGGGGGTTGAGCACGGGAGTCACGAGTGCTGTCGGTACTCCACGAGCGCTTTAGCAAGGGTAAGCTGATCCCTCTCACATGTTGTTACGCATCGCTGACCAAGCCAGGCGAAGGCGAAAGAACCCACACACGATTGAGAATTCGGATGAGGAGTAGATTACTTTCTCGATATGTCTTTTGCAGGCTGTATAATTGAAAGAGATTGGAGGCTTGAGTCGCAGGACTCGTTGCGGTTCGAACCACATCACTGGGCGCTTGAGGGTTCACTGAGTTCATGATGAGAGACGTCATGAGTTGAGGTTTGGTGTTGCACGGAGTTTGAGAGGCTAGTCATTGCATAGCTAGTAGACCCGACAGATCCTTGCAATCAATGCACATGTATTGATTCACAATATCCCTCACAGCCCGGCTGCTCCTTTCCCTCTTCTCCACAACCGAGTCTGACTCCAACCACGCTATGTCTGCTTCCTATTCCACGCAACACACTCTTCAAACCTGACACCCGAGCCCCCAAAAACATCCAACGCACTGCCAATCGTCAGATCCACCTTGCCGTTGCTCAGCTCCTTCACGAGCTCCAGATCCGCAATCGACCGTCCTCCGCCTGCGTATGTGACGGGAATGCTGCACCACTCGGCCAGCCTCGTGACTAGCTCGTGGTCGATGCCGCGCTGTAGGCCTTCGACGTCGGCGGCGTGGATGAGAAACTCGGAGCAGTGGGGTTCGAGGAGCTGTATCGACTCTGCATTTCATTGGCCTCTGGCTGACATGGACGAAGTGAAGGGGGTCTGTGTGTGTTACCTTGGTTGAGTTCGAAGTCTGTGATAGTCTGCCATTTGTTCGTCGCAACGAACCACTTGTCCCCTTTCCGTCGACACGACAGATCAATGACGAGCTTGTTCTTGTCGTTGTCCAGCGTGGAGAGGACGGCGCGCAGGCGGTCCATGCTGAAGATTGAGTTGGGGAAGAGGTAGGATGTTATGATGACCTACTGCGCTCAATCAGCTCTCCTTCCCCTTGACATTCGCCAGCTCGCTCGTTGACGAGGGTGTGTCTAAAAGCGTGAGAAGGGGGGGGGGGGGTTGGACGCACTCTCTCAGCACCCCTCTCAATCCACTCGCGCGCATTCCCCTCATTGATCCCGCCGCCGACTTGCATACCGCCTCTCCACGCTTCGAGCGCTTCCTGTGCCGCAGCGTCGTTGCCGGGCCCGAGCATTATCACGTGCGCGCCTGCGAGGCCATGTTCTTTGTACAGCGCGGCGTAGTAGGCGGAGGGGTGTTCGGAGGTCCAGTTTGTTTTCAGATTGGAGGGCGTCGAGGTGGACAGCGTGCCGCCGACGATTTGCTTGACGCTGCCGGCGTGCAGATCTATGCAGGGGCGGAACTTTGTCATTGTGGGTGTGAGTGTGTGGGATAGTTGGTGACGGTGCGGGGGAGGGGTGAAATGGCACGGAAGTCCGAGAGGCTTGGCTAGCGTAGACTTTTGGAGGAACTTTTGTAGGCGCGACTGGAATTCTAGACGCGACACATCAAACCCACAATGGCGCCACAGCTCGGGAAACGGAAGCGCGTGACGCGTGAGGAGCTCGAGAGGCCGTCGCCAGCGCCGTCGCCGTCGTCAGGGTCGGACAATGAGGATATGCAGGCGCTGTTCCGGCGCGCATTCGAGAAAAAGTTCAAGCCGCTGGACGTGGAGCCCAAGAAGCCAGAGACGAAGGAAGCGCCCGCGACCGAAGAAGACGCGGAAGACGCGGAAGACGCGGAAGACGACGACGACGAGTCCGACTGGTCAGGCCTCAGCGACGACGTCTCAAACAAGGTCGAAGTAATCGAATACAAAGACGCTACATACGACTCGGACGAAGAAGCCTCCAAAGCCGCAAAACGCGCCTTCATGTCCTCCAAACCGCCCACAACCGCCGCGCCCGCTCGCGGCAGGATCGTCGGCGAGAAGAAGACCGCCGACGCCGACGATACCGGCGAAAGCGCAAACCTCAAGAACGACCTCGCCCTCCAGCGGCTGCTGCGCGACTCCCATCTCCTCTCCGCCTCCTCATCCGGCGCCTCCACTCCCACCCTTACAACCTCCGGCGCCGCGCGCCACAAATCCACAGACCTGCATCTGCAGTCCCTTGGCGCAAAAGGCAGCGTTTTCACACAGAAGAAGATGCCCATGGCGCAGCGGAAACACATGGCGCAGAAGGCGCGGTCGTCCGAGGAGAAGAGGCGGCACGAGGCACGAGAGGCTGGAATCATTCTGGAGAAGGAGAAGAGAGAAGCTACCAAGGACAAGGACAAGAAGAGGGAGAGGGGTGTGGGAGGACCGAGTATTGGCAAGTTTAGAGGCGGGACGTTGAGTCTGAGTAGGAAGGACGTTAGGAGCATTACAGGGGGGCCGGGGAGTCGGGGCGGGAAGGGTGGGAAGGGGAAGGGGAAGCCGAGGCGGTGAAGGACCGTGGCATGGACAAGTCGAATTTCATGAAAGCTCCACACAAGCCTGGCCGTGTTCCATGGTGTCGGGCCATCTTGGCTTGGCTTCTGTGCACGACACGGCAAACGCAGATAGGCGAATTACCGGAAGGCACCATGGGAGACGGTAAGGTGCAGGCGCAATACCTCTCACCCAAACATCCTCTCCTACAGCTTCAGACCATCCACAGTGGACCTCTCAATCCGGGTGCCTGCAGTCAGTCTTACGCAAACACAATGTAGCAACTGTTGCCATGGCCGCTCAGCCTGATACACGGCTGGCTGCATACACAGCACGCCCCAGCCTCGCAGTACAAACGAACATGACCTACTCTAATGCCCCGTGGAAGCCGTCCAACACTCTGTTTTCCGTCCTCCTCGCGTTCCCACGTCCGTTGCGAATCACTGCTGTTGGAAGTCTCTATTCCAGCATGGCCGTACGGACCTTCCGCTTCCTCAATCTTCCTGCCGAGATACGCATTATGATCTACGAGTGCCTCTCCATCACGATCAGAGACCACACTACCGCTGACCCAACTCCTCTTGAAAGACGCAAGTGCTCCCCTACGTTGTTCAAGAGCACATTACCACCGCAGCCCCTTTGCACACCTTCCAGAATCACGCTTGTTGTCAAGTCTCCCGGTGGCATTGCGTGCTACTTGCCGAAAAATCAACGACAAGAGCCGCGATATCTTCCATCAAAAGTTGAGCTCCATCCCCGCAAAGCCTCTCCGCCGCATCATCGACGCACCCAGTCTAAGCCCGGCTCGTGTGAGTGCCGGATCGACTCTGGCTATGTACACCGACCGGCAACGAGACATCATCCGTCGCAACGTCGCCGGAGCAGTACGACTACCCGTCCCTACTTGCAAGGCTGTGCCGTCGAGCAAGGATCCCTCGAAGAATTCCAACCCAGCAATTTCATCTACAGATGCGCTGCCTACATCGAGGCTCGAGCACCTCCCTTTTGGTCTGTGGCAGTTCTTGTGCTCCCACAAGTGGCGTTATCTGACCCTCAGAGGATTGGAGATATCGGGCTGGACTGCCTGTCGAATTTCTATGGGCCCTATTACAAAGACTGCCTGGACATTGAGGAAAGAGTGACTTCTGAACTGCACGAGAAGATGTCCAACATGCGGCGGTTCATCCCAACTTCATCAGAAGAGATGAACGTTGTCTGGGGCGAAGGGTCCCTTTCTGTTTGAGGGAATAGCGGCGCACAAGTGGGCCAAAGCAGGAGAGCCACACATTTGATACTCGACGACTGCTGTCGTGGAGGTCCTCATGCGACCATCGCATCGCTTCTTGCTTCGGTAGTCCTCCGATGCGCAGGTTTGAGGCAATTCGAAAGCTGCCAGGACCCATAAAGCAGAGGTCTTTCCCTACCTGAATGTGTAGCATACGATACGTCCGTAGCAAACATTGCCGGTCATACCTTCTCTCAATCCAAAACTTCATGTCCCTTTCGTACAATATATCGTCCTCGAGGTCTCCACAACTCCGACATCGGCATCTGCGTTGCTTTACGACCGCTCGCCTATACCTTACACTTTCGGTACCCTCTCACGTTGCCGCACGCGGAACATCACTCTCTGTGGCACCGCGGAACCAGGAATTGCCCAGCATCTGGAAGAGGAGCAAACTCACAAGCAATGCATGGAGAAGTGGGGAGGCCGCGTCTCGCTAATCACGACTCTAACCGCATCAGGAGCGAGTTTGCGCTGTTCACGCGTTATCAGGTGCGATAAGAAGGCAACAGTAGCTGAGAGAAACTACGTCCATTGGTTTGAATTGAAAGCATGGTAGACTTCCGCGACTGGGTCCTGCGCTGCAAATCTACCAATAGTCGAGAAGGCGCAGAGGAGCCGAGAGGAAATGCTTGACATGAAAGACGTACATATATACCCCTCCTAGACCCTGCCTTGAGGAGTAACGTCAGTTGACCACCTCCTCTCTCGTCCCCGGTCTCTTTTCTTGGATTCAATTGAACTCAGTTGTGCATCATGGCTCTTGACCGCCTCAAGCAAGCTGCTTCACACCTCACGGGCAAAGTCGCACAACCACACCCATTTGATCCTCTCTCGGAGCTTGAGATCGAGGCCGCGGTAGCACTCGTCCGCAAAGAGCATTCCGATGTCTTTTTCAATGCCGTTACGCTATGGGAGCCGCGCAAGGCGGAGATGATGGCATGGATCAAAGCACCAGAAGTTGCCCCCAGACCGCACCGTGTCGCGGATGTGGTGTGTATTGGACGCGGAAGCAAGGTGTTTGATGCACACGTCGACTTGACCGAAAGCAAGATCTTGAGCTGGGAGTTGACAGAGGGCGTGCAACCGCTCATCACCATGGAAGATCTACAGATCGTTGAGACTGTCGTACGTAAAGACCCCAAGGTCATCGAGCAGTGCGGTATTCTCGGCATCCCACCAGAGGATATGCACAAGGTCTACTGCGATCCCTGGACCATTGGCTACGATGAACGGTTCGGCACGAATGTGCGACTTCAGCAGGCTTTGATGTACTACCGCCCGCATGTGGATGACAGCCAGTACAGCTTTCCGCTCGACTTTTGCCCAATCTACAACTCGGATACTCAGGAGATCGTCCACATCGACATCCCACCGGTACGAAGGCCGCTGAACAAGGCGGCGCCGAACAACTACCATGCAGCCGCGATCGAGAAAGAGGGCGGGTTCAGGAGCGATCTGAAGCCAATTCACATCACGCAGCCGGAAGGCGTAAGCTTCAAGATGGATGGGAGGTATATCAGCTGGGCGAACTGGAAGTTGCACGTCGGGTTCAACTACCGCGAGGGCATGGTTCTGAGCAACATTACATTCAATGACAAGGGCACAGTGAGGGATACATTCTGGCGACTGTCACTCGCGGAGATGGTGGTGCCGTATGGGAACCCAGATCATCCTCACCAGCGCAAGCACGCCTTTGATCTTGGAGAGTATGGAGGTGGATATATGACGAACTCGCTGAGCCTGGGATGTGATTGCAAGGGCGCGATTCACTACATGGATGCGGCGTTCGTCAACCGCGCTGGACAGGCTACGACGATCAAGAATGCTATCTGCATCCACGAAGAAGATGCCGGTATTCTGTTCAAGCACACCGACTTCCGCGACGACAGCGTAACAGTAACCCGCGCTCGCAAGCTGATCATCTCGCACATCTTCACTGCAGCAAACTACGAGTACTGCGTCTACTGGGTCTTCCACCTCGACGGCACCATCCAGCTCGAAATCAAGCTCACCGGTATCCTGAACACATACGCCATGCTTCCCGGCGAAGACCTCAAGGGCTGGGGCACAGAAGTCTACCCCGGCGTCAACGCACACAACCACCAGCATCTCTTCTGTCTGCGCATCGACCCGAACATCGACGGACCGAACAACACCGTCTTCATGGTCGACGCAGCGCGCGGCGACGGCGAAGTTGGTAGTGCAGAGAACAAGTACGGGAACGCGTTCTACGCGAAGAAGACTAAGCTCAGTACCCCTGGGCAAGCCGCGACGGACTACAACGGCGCAACGAGCAGAACGTGGGATATGTGCAATGAGAGCAAGATTAACCCGTATAGTAAGAAGCCCGCAAGTTACAAGCTTGTGAGCAGAGAGGTGCCGGAGCTGTTGCCGAAGCCAGGGGGTTTGGTGTGGAAGCGTGCGGGCTTTGCAAGGCATGCTGTGCACGTTACAAAGTGTAAGTCTACTTTCCTTACTCTCACAGCGATCTCGTATCGACTCACTCTCCCAGATGACGACGCCCAAATCCACCCCGCCGGCCGCCACGTCCCCCAAACCTCCGGCGAGCCCTCCCAGGGCATACCGGACTGGATCGCCGCCAACCCCACCGCGTCGCTCGAAAACACCGACGTCGTGCTGTGGCACACATTCGGCATCACTCACTTCCCCAGCCCCGAAGACTTCCCTGTGATGCCGGCCGAGCCGATGACGCTGCTGCTGCGGCCGAGGAACTTCTTCACGCGGAACCCGTGCTTGGATGTCCCGCCGAGCTATTGCAGTGTGCCGAGTGGTGTGAGGCAGGGGAGCACGCTGGTCGATCAGATTAGTAAGTTGGCATTTGGGGAGAAGGAGACGAGTGCGGCGCAGGGGAAGGGGCCGGGGGAGGCGGCGTGCTGTGAGGGTGGGAAGTTTGGCGCTGGCGTGTAGATTTTGAAGTGGCTGTTTGGTATCCATGTTAGTAAAGTATACGATTCACCCCTTCAAAGTCTGCTATCTCGGTCTGTGGTGTTGCTGTGTTACATTGTCGACGCTGCGTGCTGCAAGAGTGGGAGGGTTGCTGATCGAGCTTGAATGATGATTGAATGATGGTTGAAGTGGAAAAGCAGTCAGGTCAGCGCAGCAACCAGCCAGCATACAGGACACTAATTTATCATTTCGCTCATGGTGTGGCTGTGTCACGGTGGCGGTATCGGCGTCGGCGGACCGCGGGATGGCCGTGTGCGGATGACGTCCCGATCCTTTGAGCCCTGCATTTGTGCCCATAGCTCCTCCCTCCCGCTTCCTTCCACAATCCCAGCACACAGCACACACACACCATGACATAACACATACACATTCCCCTCCCGTCACTATCCTGGCATCTCCGTCCTCCTCTCAGCATGCGCTCGCAACGATCAAAGGCCTCGACACCGCCATGCCCCGCGCCCTTCCGCCGGTAAACCCCAACGCGGACGGAACGAATGGCACCCTTCGCACGCCGAAACCCACCATCTCTGCCTCGGTAGTCGAGAGTGTAGCAGGGTTTTCGGCGGGTGTGGTGTCATGCCTGGCCGCGCATCCTCTGGATCTGCTCAAGAACCGGCTCCAGCTCAACACCAGCACACGCTCGCGCCTCGGCGACTCCTTCCGCATCCTCTCCAGTGTTGTACGCGATGAAGGTGGCGCCAAGGCCCTCTACCGCGGCCTATGGCCTAATCTCCTGGGAAACAGCTTAGGTTGGGGTCTGTACTTCCTGTTCTACGGCAACCTGAAAGAGCTGCTCAAGAGGCGGAAAGCAGAGGGTGAGCACCTCGGGAGCGCCGAGTTCTTCTCGGCCAGCATCATCGCTGGCCTCAGCACAGGGTTCTGCACAAACCCCATCTGGGTCGTGAAAACGCGCATGCTCGAAAAAGGCGCCAACCACCCCGCCGCCTACAAAACCATGCGCGCCGGTCTCTCCCACGTCTACGCTACCCGCGGCCTGAAAGGGCTCTGGGCGGGCTTCGTTCCCTCCACTTTGGGCGTTCTGCACGGCGCAGTGCAATTCTCCATCTACGAGAACATGAAAAAACGGCGCGGCAACCATCTCGGCGGCCAAGAGAAGCTTTCCAACTGGGAGTACATGTACATGAGCGGCGGGTCCAAACTGCTCGCTGGCGCCATCACGTACCCGTACCAGCCTATTCGGGCCAGGATGCAGCAGTACGAGGCTGCGAGCAGGTACAATGGGCTGTGGGATGTGCTGAGGAAGACGTATAGGAACGAGGGGTTGTTGGCGTTTTATAAGGGCGTAGTGCCCAATACGTTGAGGGTAATTCCGACCACGGTTGTGACGTTTTTGGTATATGAGAACACGAAGATTTATCTGCCGAAGTTGTTTGAGGAGGATGAGCAGTTGGCGCATGAGGATTGAGGGTACGGTGAAGCATCTCCTGGCGTTTGGCGAAACAGCGGCATACAGGAGAGACGATACGCGGGTACCCAACGACATCATTCAGCAACAGTGAAAGCCACCACCTGCCGCGCTGGGAGGCCTTCACTGAGAAATGCGAGCACATGCCACCAACATGACTTCCTTTTTTTTCCCCTTCGTGCACCAAGCTCGCCTGTACATTGCCCATCCCCTCAACCCAAGAGACAACTCTTCGACCATGTCATCCCTCCGCCGAAAATTCACGGTCACGCGCCGGCCATCCACGTTGTTAGACGTGCCGAGTTCGTCCTCAACACAGCGATCCGCACCTCGCCCTTCCAGCCCCTCCATGTTCAGTCGTGCATCTAGTCGCATCCGTGCTTTCTACGAAGGCGCCTTCGCCGACACAACACCAGCCTTCGAGATGCTCACTGCGCCATCGAGCTCTTCTGTCGACCTCACGCCGGCCGGACTACCCGCTCGACCCCAGATATCGAAGTTAGCAAAGTCCTTCGCTAATGCGATTACTACGCAACGACTCAGCGACTTCCTACTATGGTTCCTGTATTATGATGTTGTAGACCTCCCAGCGTCGCCGGAGACATGGTACGCGCCGCTCACCACCACCGATACGCGTGGCTGGATCGTACTCGGCACTTTCTTGTCACACACACAAGCCATAGGTACTGAGTACGGACTCGACCTCGTAGTCCTCGACAGCATTTGCGACCGCCTGCATCTCCACCGGCCCCTCGTGCACGAGATTTTCGTCAGATTCTCCTCTCCGAAGAAGATGGCATTCGGCATCCTGGCCACAACGATTCGGCGCGCAGAGCAGGCCCGCATGGCGAAACTGCCGATGTTGGTTGAGGTGCAGGCTAAGCTAAATGCTGCAAGTCAACTCGTTGGAAGGCTGGAGCCCACGCCGGATAGCCAGTTTGAGGTCTGGCAGGCAGCCATTCAGAGGCGTGTCAGGGGGTTATTGCATCTTGTCATTGGGCCAAGGATTGCGCAGGTCAAAGAAGGGAAGCCGCTGCTTACCGCTGCAACAAGCGGTCAGCTCCCTAAAGAGGCCAAGGATGGTATCAAGCTGAACTACCTGTTCGAGGTCGTGCAGTTGGAGAGGGGGGTGCCTATGGACAGGTACGGCGTCATTGACGAGCCAGAATTGGTGTTGGTTGGAACAGACTCTCCTTCGTCTTCGTCTTCGCCGTTGGGGCAGGGCACCCAAGTGGACTTGCTCCGCGAGAACCACGATCTGAAAGAGACACTCGTACGCTTGGCTCATGATAATCGCAACCTACTGGCTACGAACGAGGATCTCACAGCTAAGCTTGCACTCGCAATGTCTGCGTGGGACGCACCATACACACCACCACCTCGTACTTCTAGCCCACCTAGGGTATGCGATGAGTCCTCTCCGGTAGTTACACCGGCCCTCGCACATGGCGACCTCGCACATGATGATGACATCGACCGTTACTCGGATTCACCAACCTTTCGACTATCCGAACCACACGACTTCGATCTACAGTTAGCGATCACGTTGCCATCCTCTCCACCTGTGCTTCCAGAGCGTCACCCTGCACGACGAGAGAGCTACCTCAATCCTAGGCATTCGGGACAGCTTCGTCGGCGGCGAAGCGGATTTGCTGAGCGCGATGGGCTCTTTGGTCTGGGGTTTGATGGAGTAAATGTGTCGATGCTCGAGTCTCCGTCTTCAAACATGCGCAATGACTGCGAGACGGCTGATGGCAAGTAAATGCAAACAAACCATAGGCTCGAATATAGCCTACAATGACACCATAGTAGAGATGGGAATGCAATACATCCACCAAAACCATCATCTAATGACACCTCAAACATCACGAGGTCAATACGTAAAGTTCGTATGTGTTTCATTACTCATAGTCTATGATCTATGCCCTCGATACTTTTCGGGTCGAGACAGCAACTTTTTACAACTTCGAACTCTTGTTCCTGCCCTCCTCCTCCTCCCTGTTCTTCAAGTTCGGGTGAGGCGTCTTAACCGGCCTTGTAACAGCGTAGAAAGCGAGGCCAGCGGACTTGGTCGAGAACTCGACTTTGGAGCCAACATGGAAGAAGGCAAAGTCGCCAGGAACGAGGTGGTGCTGGACGCCTGTAGCAACGTCCAGAACGTCGATCTGCCCCTTGAGGATGTACTTCGTCTCCTCAAAGGTGTAGTACGCAGGCCTGGCGGGGCCGGCTTCGATCTTGTAGAAGCCGGATGTGAAGTATGATGGTGTGTCCTTGGTTTGTGTGCGCATGCTGTTGGTGTTAGATGGTGAAGAGGACGAAGAGGAGGCGAGCATTACGTGTGGAAGTCGGCGACTGTTGCGTTCTCGCCCTGAGGAAGAGGAATGAACTCGTGACCGGCGCCTTTGATGACGGTGAGCGGGACGAGGGGGCCAGACATTTTGAGATTGAGCTTCTAAGATGGAAGATGAAGTGAGGGTTGGAATCTGGTGTTCTCTTTCTTTGGAGTGACGAAAGTGATCAGAGGGATAGTTCTGAAAGATCTGGGGTAATGCAAGATTGTTATAGGATTCAGTATGAGCTTCGGTTGGGGTACCGATGATACGCTGCAACTATGGAGATGGTGCAATGCAAATGGTTTACCGAATGCGGTAAGTCGAGCCCGACTTCCTATTGATATTTGGTAGACAAGCTTAGTCGTATTGTGCATCTTCGCCTTTGCAACGATTCATCTCGAAAGATTTTTTGCACTGCTGTACCTTTCTCCTTCTCTCCTTACGCAGCCATGTATGTGCTTCGCGATATTTGCTGTCCCCGCAACGTGAGTTGGTGTTCCTGAACACGGGCCACCAAGAACCGTTCAGCATGTTTGTCGGCATCCGATCCGGCTCGCACCCACTAAAAGATACAGCCCCGGATTATGCGACCGAAGCGCTACAATAACGTCAGTCACGATAGGTTGATGCCGCAGATACTACTAGACCATTCCGCTGTCATTGGAGCCTGTCACCTCTCACTGTGGCAGCCTCAGGCCTGTCGGCTCCTGGAGCACAGCCACTTTGACCTACTGTCCCATTAACGTCAAAACAGGTAGGGATTACTGTCCTGCCCTCAAGTTCGTTGCCCTGGTAAGTCAGTACTCCTGTGTTGTATATCTGTTTTCGGATTGCGCAACTGAAGGAATGCTATACCCGTAGCAAACTACCCTAGTCTAGTGTGTTACAGGTCAGGTATATAGTCGTCTTCTCCTAGCTAGATAGCAAATCAGCGCAGTATTCCATCGTATCCTACCAGCGGCCCCTTGCTGCAACATTGTACGACGTAGAGCAGAGATGGTGCTCGAATGATCGGGGAAACGACAGTAAGAAACAAAAGTAGAGAACTAGAACAATATACACGAGATAGCAGTAATGAGTAGATCCGTTCGAGCGAGTATTTACTGTGAGCAAGGAAAGGCTTGGGATCTTGATCTAATCGTATAGCAGCCATTGCGATTGCGAGAAACATGGCGCGAAAGGGTTTGGACTAGAATGTATGAGATGTACATTTGTTTGTGCGGTGTTCTCCTGAGACCCTCATCAATGTCCATCCTTGTTGGAGAACCAAGCTACAGTGTAGGTGTAGTGCCCCGCGAGGCATCTGGCTGGTGATCGTAGATGACATGAGATGAGATGAAAGACGGACGAAGCAAAGGGTGTGGTGGAATGAAACGAAAGGCACGTGCATTTCATATCGATAAGGCGCGACTCAATGTCACCAAGTGTCCTTACTCCGGATCCATACACCAACAACTAATGCGCAAAACATAGCCACACCTATACACTCTCTCCAAGCCGAAGACAGCAACTTGGCACCCATCATGGAAGCCGCCGATACATTCACACTTTTGCCTCTGCAAATGGACGATGCCACAGGTACCGTCAGCGCATCAGGTCCCGCAAACAACGCCCTCAACACCGAGCTCGCTGCCCTGAACGCACTTCACCGTGGCCTCCTCAATGTTGAAACATCCACAGGCACACCGCCACCGCCTGTCCCCGTCAATCCCAAGCGCTCAGCACAGATTGGCAAGCTGCGCGAATCTGGTAACGCCGAATTCCGCAAGGGCAACCCCGCCGCCGCTGTCAAGTTATACACTCTCGCAATCGACATGGCGCTTCAACGTCCGCACTGGGAGCCATCTGGCCTGGTGCGCGAGGAAGTTTCTGGCTTGCTGAGCAACCGCGCGCAGGCGAACATGGCACAGCAAAACTGGGCCGAGGGCTCTGTAGACGCTGAGGCGAGCGTCGAGATGAAAAGGGTCGGAAACGCTAAGGGCTGGTGGAGGAGAGGAAAGTGCTTGCTCGAGATGGGCAGGCTGGATGAGGCGGAGCAGTGGGTCAAGCAGGGTCTTGAGTTCGAAGCCACAGAGCAAGATCTGGTACAGCTCAGAGATCAGATCGAGAGCAGAAGGAACGGTCAGATTAGCGCGGTGTAGCTTGCGGGTCGATGTTACGATTGGATGTCAACAGTCGGCGTAGTTGTGCATTGTAAGGCGTCTGGCGCTTGTGGATATCCCAGAAGCATGGATTTGATTTCAGGAAACTGTATGCATCAGCGGGCGAAACCCCTAGGTTAGTAGAGACATCAATCGTGAGTGAGGTAAAGGTTGTCATTGCAAATGGTCAACTGTTGATCTCGCTTTCACCTCGCTTCTCGATCTCCTCAGACCTTTATCTACCTCCCCTACCCTGCTTCCACCTCTGTCTCCACAGCTCCCCTCGAACTGTCCTGGAGGTACTCACGATGGCTTCGAGTCAACTGACCGATCAAGCTCCACCGGCAAGCAAAATGGACCACCCCAATGACACCCGTGTCAGGTACGGCAACTTACTTGCCTTTCGAGACATTGCCGAAGAATATCCGCTGCATGGCCTACGAGTACCTCTCCGAGCAAGTTTTCCGGCCACTTCTTGAGAACAACACCTTCTTCCTACACTATGAAACTTGGAGTTTGCCCTTGTCTCTCATCCGGGCGAACAAGTTTCTTCATGACGAGGCCATGGCGTGTCTGCCACAAGGCCAATTGTCCTCCTATTTCAAGACACCCGGGTTCAGGAGACGAGACTAAAGACCCAATGCACTGTGTGCCGGAGCTTGTTCGCTTACTACATGTGGGACGACTCTACGACAACCGCAACCGCAACGGGAAGGATACACATGCTGCCATCAATCGGAACTTTGACGTCTGGACGCTCAAGATTTTGGAGACAGCTGTTGGATACTTTCTCGAAGACCTCTCAGTATTGGCTGACAAGCCATTCTGCCGGTTCCATCCTGGTTCGAGGTCGCGTGAGCTAGGCGTTTAGGTCATTCGAATCAGGCACCATCTTCTACGCTTCGTGACTCTACTGGCATCCATTGCATCTTCAGCAACGCTGCTACGTATCCGCGGCGACAAGGGCTGGAAGTGCGTAGTCGAGAGTCCAACCAAAGTAGAGGTAGAGTTGCTCAGCAAGCAGTCTTGAAAGCGCAGCGAGTACCCCCGGACTGAGCCTTGTGTGTGCACAAGCTAAAATATTTCGCGGAGACGCCAAGTTCGGTATGGAAGATTACTACTCAGATGAGGGCTTGGTTCAAAATCAGAACAAGTTGCTGGGAGCTTCGTGATTTCTACTGCAGAGTACGGATGGAAGCGACGACGTATCGTTGGCACTGCACGTTGCTGAGCACCTCCAGGGTGCGGCAAGTGCAAGGGCGGCCAGGGGCATTCGGAAGGATCAACCCAGTCGTGAGCAATGGGAAGAAGACTCAGATGCAGACGTCAATGGGATTCAATTTCCGTACAAGCAAAATAAGAATGGAACTCTGCAGAAGCATCGAACAGGCTTGCTGAAAACGATGTGAGAACGACAAACTGCATCACGTGAACGCGTGCTCACGCTAACTGAATCAAGACCACTCAACGCGTCTTCTCCAGGCAGCACCCCGCCCATCAAAGTGACCTGCAATACCATTTGCGGCAACTTGCGTGCTCTCTCAGCCCCCCCCCCCCTGTCACACAGCAGCCGATTTGTGCTTTAAATCTGCAAAGTTCTCCAATATTCGCCACCGGAGGCGATCGATTCGACGCGGCCTATCACTCGGCGCGCGCAGACCAGGGGCATCGCCGCTCTTGATTCACCAACAACGGCCTAGTGCAACTGTCACTTCACTCTGTGGGAGTTGCTGTACCTTTCAATTGTTTCTCCCTCGTCTTCACTCTATCTTTTCTAGCACAAGTCGTTCTTTGAAGAGCTGCACACCTGCTCAACACTTTTACCCTACACTTGAGCTTTTGACTATCAACTACAATGGCGCTTCGGCGTTCAACTCGAAAGTCAGCAGCTGGAGTGGCGAACGACAACGTCGCTGCTATAACACCAGCCCAAGTCCTCAGTATGTTACCAGGCACCTTCTTAGCACTGAACTGCCACTGCAGATCATTTGTAGCGTCGTCTAGCATTACTTCGAGATGATTCGCTCATGAACAACCAAGTAGACCCTTCCTCGAGCAAGAAGCGCAACCGTACTTCTCGCTCAGCCGTGCCGAATTCCTCCGACAACGACGATGATATTCTCGATATCGAGCCGACTATGTCTTCAGCACAAGTTCGGCGCATCCTGAAACAGGTTTCAATACCCATCATGAGCACCAAGCAGGCTACTGCACCAGCCACTGCTCCGCAGGCGGAGTCAGAAACCTCGAACGGGACTCCCTCTCTCGACAACTCCGACTATGATACACCCGGTACAAGCATATCGAACACCCCAGCTGTCTCCTTTGGGCGCAATCAGGGCGCAGCTCGCAAGAGTGGGCTGAGAAAGGCTGTCACACCTCGAGCTCGCACCACCATTGAAGATACGGACGAGGAGATCAATGCGGTGGGTCTAGATGCTGAGCTTGCTCTGCAGATGCAGATAGAGGAGGACGAAAACGAACACCGCAGCAAGCGCCGGAGAATCGAGGAGGTTCATGACGAAGAGGACGAGATTGCGGACGTCTACGCACCACGATCACGAGCGAAGCCCGCACCCTACAAGGGCAAGGGTAAAGGGAAGGCGAGGCTGGGGTCGGACATCGAGACCGACGACGACGCAGACTCGCTGCTCGAAGAGTTGATCTTAGAACCCACCTACACTGGAAAGGGCAAGGGTAAAACGACCACCGAAGAGGTCTCGCGCCGTCGCAGTCGTTCCAGCCGACCTAACGCGAGCCGTAACGCCATCCTCGACGATATCATTAGCGACCTCGAGGATTCCGAGGAAGAGGACGAGTTCAAACCAGAGGATGCCGGCTCGCCAATCGATATTAGTGATATCGAAAGCTCAGCCGTCGACAATAGTGAAGAAGAGCCGTTGATGGTAGCCAGCGCGCGCCTCAAGAAGGTGTCGGCAAAGGAACTCAAGCGTACACGAGGCAAGAAGTTACTTACACATGCCGAGAAGATCGAGAAGCGGAGACGAATGGCGAGATACGCACACATTGAGGACAAGTGGGAGCGGAAGCGCGCCATGAACCGCGAGCGAGCAGAGCAGCAACACCCGAAGCTGCGCACTATGTGGGACGACCTCCAGAAGATTCCAGTTCTACCCGTTGAGAGAGCAGAGCAACCCAAGACGATCACCCGACGGTTGAAGCCATTCCAACTTGAAGGCCTCAGTTGGATGATCCGCCAAGAGCAGACTCAGTACCGAGGCGGTCTCCTTGGAGACGAGATGGGTATGGGTAAAACCATCCAAGCCGTCTCGCTCATCATGTCTGACTACCCCGCCAAGGCGCCTACGCTCGTTTGTGTGCCACCAGTCGCGCTGATGCAGTGGTCCAACGAGATCCGAGAGTACACCGAGAATAAGCTCAACGTTCTCGTCTACCACGGCACGAACGCGAAGTGTAAGAAGATGACCGTCAAGGACTTGAAGAAGTTCGATGTCATCATGGTGTCCTACAACAGCTTGGAGTCTCTGCACCGCAAGGAGATGAAGGGCTGGAGCCGTGGAGAGGACATCATCAAGGAGGCGTCTCCACTTCACGCCATCCACTTCCACCGTCTCATCCTTGACGAAGCACACAGCATCAAGTCCCGCAACACTGGTGTCGCAAAGGCTTGCTTCGCACTCACAGGCACCTACAAGTGGTGCTTGTCAGGCACTCCGGTGCAGAACCGCATTGGAGAGTTCTTCTCCCTTTTGCGTTTCCTTGAGGTTCGTCCATTCGCTGACTACTTCTGTCGTTCTTGCAAATGCGAGAAGCTACATTGGGCTACGGACGACGATCACATGTGCGTTGCTTGCAACCACGGTGCATCTGAGCACATCTCGGTGTTCAACCAGGAGCTACTCAACCCCATCACTGGTGACGATGTAGACCTCCGCGAGCAGGCACTTTCTAAACTACACATGATCACGGCTCGCATCATGTTGCGCCGCATGAAGCGCGACCACACCAACTCCATGGAGCTGCCGATGAAGGACGTCGTGATCCATAATGAGTTCTTCAGCGAAGTCGAGCGCGACTTCTCAACTTCGATCATGTCAAACTCCAACCGCAAGTTCGACACCTATGTCGCCCAGGGTGTCATGCTCAATAACTATGCCAACATCTTCGGTCTGATTATGCAAATGCGCCAAGTCGCCAACCACCCTGATCTTCTCCTGAAAAAGAACGCAGCAGAAGGAAGCTCAAACGTTTACGTCTGCAACATCTGCGACGAACCCGCCGAAGACGCCATCCGCTCCCACTGCCGCCACGAGTTCTGCCGCGCTTGCGTCAAAGACTACATGGACACATGCGAAGCATCTGGCACCGACGCCGACTGTCCGCGCTGCCACATCGCTCTGACCATCGACTTCGAGCAGCCTGAGCTCGAGCAGGACGAAGACTCGGTCAAGAAGACGTCTATAATCAACCGCATCAAAATGGAGAACTGGACCAGCTCGACCAAAATCGAGATGCTGGTGTACGATCTGTACAAGCTGCGCAGTAAGAAGCAGACGCTCAAGTCGATCGTATTCAGTCAGTTTACGTCTATGCTGCAGTTGATCGAATGGCGTCTACGTCGCGCGGGTTTCAACACGGTCATGCTCGATGGTAGTATGACGCCTGCTATGCGACAGAAGAGTATCGATCATTTCATGACGAATCCGGACGTGGAGGTCTTCCTCGTATCACTGAAGGCTGGTGGTGTGGCGCTCAACCTAACGGAGGCGTCGAGGGTGTTCATTGTTGATCCGTATGTCTCCCATTTTTTCTCCTGCAATACATTTCGCTAATGTGTTCTAGATGGTGGAACCCCGCTGCTGAATGGCAGTCCGCCGACCGATGCCACCGCATCGGCCAGAAGCGTCCTTGCGTGATCACTCGTCTGTGTATCGAAGACAGTGTCGAGTCTCGTATGGTTGCGCTGCAAGAGAAGAAGGCAGCCATGATTGCTGGAACCGTCAACAACGACAAGGTCGCTATGGATCGTCTGAGTCCTGAGGACTTGCAGTTCTTGTTCCGTGGTTCGTAGTAGGTAAATGGCTCTTCCATGTGGTACAGATGTTACGATAGGTTTTACAAGGTGTCTAGGTGCGGAGTGTATATCACGGCGTTCATACGAGGGTCATGGCGGTCTTCAGACAGGCGCATGTACTCTTCCGACGCAATTCAAAGGCTCTCAAAGATGTTGAAGTACGAGGTGCAAATGGAATACGGATCCCAGAGTATAGCTAGCTCATCACCCTCAACGAACAAAGCGTGATATTCGCAATAATTTTTGTCCGCTCGTTGCGCTTGTATGACTGTCTGTTTGTGGTTTCGCATGCCTGAGGTTGCGGCTCACGATGATGACGTCGATCGCGAGCTCGCTACCCCGGATATTGGACAGCCCTGCAGCCTCACCGCCAAATGCACATCAAGCTGGGTCCACGAGCGCGATTTCGGTGGTCGCAGCCCTACGATCTGCTCAGCCTGCACCTGCCCAGGCAGAGCACACGCTTTCTCAGTTTCTACCACTGAGGATCATGCATCCACAATGTAGAGGAGACTTTATTGCCCCAGTGCAACAGCCCGTGTGACCGTCAGATTTGTCAAGGGTCTGCGAACCCTTCAAGAACGTGTTCCGTCGTTGTTTTCGACATCTCCTGTTGTATATATATTTGTACCCGCGGAGCCGAGGAGAAGGACGTTGCATTAAGGTTCGTCGTACGTAATTTTACGTAAAGGCGCGCCTCTTGCGCGTGAAGGGCCCTTCGATCGTCATCCGCAACATCTCATGTGCGCAGTCGCGTCAGAAAGCGCTTTCAAATCTGAAGTTTTGGCTTTCTTTGGTGTAATTTGTAGTTTCGGTAGCCGGAGGAGGGGTTGGACTTGGCTCAGGACCGAATGAAGTGTGTGATCCTCCAGACCTAAAGATGGCGCGATGGCCGCCGCACTTCGAAATGCGGAGAGGCGCGTTTCGATTCCATCTTGCTTCTTGTTCCTGATTTCCATGTTTATAGATCAGGTGTTCCCTTACTCGTTGTTTGTGATCCTTTTGCTGTGAAGGCGATTCAAGATGAGTGTCTTCAAGGAGGCCGAGAGCTGGCACCTCGACATTGACCGGTACCTTAACCGCGTCATACCCGCCTCGCCATTGCACAAGCTACCCACACCTGTGTCGAGGTTTCTGGGGTATCGAAAAGAGCAGAAGCAAGACGTTGGGAATGTCCTGGGGGCGTTCTGGTCACTAGTGGGAGCGTTCTGCGGGTTGGCTGTGGTCGCAGCAGTGTTCAACAACACTGAAAGCATACAACGGCATGCGCCACCTGCATTTATCGCATCGTTCGTAAGTAGGCAGGCTGATTGTTGTCGTACTTCCCTAATGGGCCTGTGTAGGGTGCATCAGCAATCCTTGAGTACAATGCGGTCCGCTCACCCCTTGGACAGCCGCGCAATGCTTTGCTCGGTCATATCTTCTCCGCCATCATCGGTGTGGGCGTCTCTAAGCTCTTCCAGTTACACTCAGAGTATGAGGAGATCAAGTGGATAGCTGGCGCCATAGGATGTGCATGCGCATCTGCTGTAATGCTTCTGACTGGTACCGTTCACCCACCTGGCGGCGCGTCTGCTGTACTCGCTGCTACTGAACCAGCAATCACAGCAATGGGTTGGTATTTCGTTGGTCTCGTTGCATGGGGAGCGACGCTGATGCTCATCGTGGGTCTCTTCCTCAACAACATCCAGAGACAGTTTCCTGTATATTGGTGGACGCCACTAGACATCAGAAGGGCAAAGAAGCAGGACCTCGAGACTGTGCCTGATGCAAGAGGCGGCCTGGAGCGGAGAGAGACCGAAGAAGAACAGAAGTACGACCAACAATATGAGAAGATCGAGATCACGGGAGCCGAAGTTATCTTGCCAGAGGCGCTGAGCCTGAACAAGGATGAAGTAGAGTTGCTGGAGAGGCTGCGGGAAAGATTGAGGAAGATGGTGGACGCAGAGCGGGAAGGAAAAAATGTTGATGACACAGACTCGAGTGGTGGAAGGAGTAGCACAGAGTTTACCATGGTGCAATCAGGAAGCGTAGGAGCAAGAAGCAATAGCGAAAGCAGTCGCAGTGGGAAGTGATCCTTTGAGTAGTCCCACATCTTCCACCTTATCACGCCGCCCATGCCTAATTGGTAAGCCATAGATAAGGGTAATGCACAACATTTACGATCTCCGAGGCGTCTCTGTGTATCCAACGTGACGTGTAACGTCTCATTGGACCATCCGGGAATGTGCAACAGTGTTCAACTTTGCTCTTGACTGCAGTTGTGACCATCTTGCAGAGTCGTTCGTCATTGTCGCAACTGCATGTCGTGGACAAGGCCCACCCAAGAAGCACAACGCCTGGCCAAGATGAGAAATTCCGACCTTCTCAAACCTGTGAAAGATGTGAGATCCAGCTTTAGACTCTTCAGCAGTTGGTCGTTGGCCTGTCATCGTCCGTGATATCGATGGAACTTGAGGCTTTGCAGGGAGAGTGGATAAGCTACGTAGGTTGATTGTCATGCTTGTGACTTCGACACGGTAGTCTTGCGATACGATAAAGATTGCAGCATATTGAAGTTTTCTTCGCAGTTGTCAACATTTGGAGTGCTTCACTGCACTTCTTCTGCGGTAAGGTGGTGAGCGCATCCGGCTTTGCGCCGGCAGACGCCCAAAGCCTTACCTGCCCGATGACAATGGCGCAGTTGTTGCCGCGCTTATTGGCTGGTGTCAGGCTTCGCCACGACCAACGAAGAAAAATTAGACACATTCACACGGTTCTCCAAATAAGGCTTGTCCGAAGAAGCCTATACCTACCCTTTTCTTACACCGACTCTTCCTCCTCACCTCCTCCCTACATTCACTCGTTCTCTGTTCTCGAGTGTAGCATTTGCTCTTTGTCGTTGATCGTATCGATAAAGAGAGTGGGTCTGTCTGCCCCGCCATATCTTGAAATTCGACGAGTTTTCCTCTTCCACCCCACCACCCGCGTCCCTTCCTTTCACAACACTACAACATGGTCTCCGCATCGAAGGCTGCCCGTGAGGCAAAGCGCGCTGCCGAGGGCAAGCCCAAGAAGACCCTCGCCTCCAAGGCCTCCTCCAAGAATGCCTCCAAGGCTAACTCGGTGAACGGCGATGCTGCTGAGGACCTTGAGCTCAACGAGGAGGTTCGCAAGCTCACCATGCAGGAGGACAAGCACGGTCTGTCCGACCGTGTCACCACTGGTGTCCTTGCCTCTCTCCAGGCGTCTCGCGACGTCAAGATCACCTCTGCTTCGCTCGTGTTCCACGGAAAGGTTCTCTTCAACGACACCACCCTTGAAGTCACATATGGACGCCGCTACGGTCTTCTGGGTGAGAACGGTTGCGGAAAGACCACTCTGCTCAAGGCCATCGACGCCCGCGAGTTCCCCTTCCCTGAGCACATCGACATCTACCTGCTGAACAAGGGTGCCCCCAAGACCGAGTTGGGCGCCCTTGAATGGGTCGTCCGCGAGGCTGAGAACGAGCTGGCTCGTCTCGAGAAGCTCGCTGAGGAGATCCTTGAGAAGGACGGCCCTGAGGCACCCCAGCTTGAGGACATCTACGAGGTATGTGATGGTCACAATCCGTTAACAGCATCTAGCTTACAGTGAAACAGCGTCAAGAGAGCATGGACCCCTCCACTTTCCACGTTCGCGCCTCCCTCATCCTGACTGGTCTCGGTTTCAATAAGAAGACCATCCAGAAGAAGACCAAGGACATGTCCGGTGGTTGGCGTATGCGTGTTGCCCTCGCCAAGGCTCTGTTCGTTAAGCCTGCGTTGTTGCTGCTTGATGACCCCACTGCCCATTTGGACTTGGAAGCCTGTGTGTGGTTGGAGGAGTACATGAAGAAGTGGGACCGCACTCTTATCCTGGTTTCTCACTCCATGGATTTCCTGAACGGTGTCTGCACAAATATGATCGACATGCGTCAGAAGCAGCTCCTCTACTACGGAGGTAACTACGATTCTTACCACAAGACTCGTTCCGAGCAGGAGGTCAACCAGACCAAGGCCTACGAGAAGCAGCAAGATGAGATCAAGCACATCAAGAAGTTCATTGCTTCCGCTGGTACATACGCCAACTTGGTCAGGCAGGCCAAGTCCCGTCAGAAGATTCTCGACAAGATGGAGGCAGATGGTCTTATCGAACCCGTCCAGGTCGACAGGGTCTTCTCCTTCCGCTTCGCTGATGTCGAGAAGCTGCCCCCGCCTGTGCTGTCTCTCGACGACGTCACTTTCTCTTACTCTGGTAACGCGGAGGACAACCTGTACGAGAACCTCGATTTTGGTGTCGACATGGACTCTCGTACCGCTCTTGTTGGACCCAACGGTGTTGGAAAGTCGACTCTGCTCAACATCTTCACTGGCAAGCTCAGCCCTTCAAGCGGTGTTGTCTCGCGTCACACTCACTTGAAGCTCGGTGTCTATTCTCAGCACTCTGCCGAGCAGCTCGACCTTACCAAGTCCGCTCTTGACTTCGTCAAGGACAAGTTCTCACACATCAGCCAGGACTACCAGTACTGGCGCCAGCAGCTCGGTCGCTTCGGTATGACTGGTGATGCCCAGACCTCGAAGATGGCTACCCTGTCCGACGGTCAAAAGTCTCGTATTGTCTTCGCCCTTTTGGCTATTGAGGGTCCCAACATGTTGTTGCTCGACGAGCCTACCAACGGTCTCGATATCCCTACCATCGACTCCCTAGCTGATGCTATCAACGCTTTCAGCGGTGGTGTTGTTGTCGTCTCCCACGACTTCCGGTACGCCCCCCTCTTGAACTCATTACTGAACAACCCGCTAACTCTTTTCAGTCTCCTCGACAAGATCGCCAAGGACATCATGGTCTGCGAGCACAAGACTGTCCGAAGGTGGGACGGCTCCATCGGCGAGTACAAGAACCATCTTCGCAAGAAGATGTCTTCCACTGGTGTTCTTGCTTAAGCGTTGTATGAGATTGTTTTCGCAGATTGCATGCGTTTTCCGAGCTGCGGAATGCGGGCTCGAAGCAAAAGTAATGGCCTTAGAGCAGGGTTCATGATACCCCTGCAGTAGGCTGGCCGCTCAGCGCGACCAAGCTTCAGTGTCTGTTCTGCGTGGGTAGAGACGACTGGATACCGCGTTTCGATGCATTGGGCTTAGAGGAGTTCTTAGATTTGGGTTACGACCAAAATGATATCACGTAGAATAGGAATGATTACAAACAAACGTATATGATGTCTTCCATGGTTTGGTTGTGAGTGATGTTGTTCGGCATGGGCCGGTTGGCAGGCACAGGCATGACGATCTCCCCGCAAAACCTCCGGCAGTGACGAGCTCCGATCATTCAGTCCTCAGAGCTATCACTACCACTCACACACCTTCGCTCTCTGTTTCCTCTGCTCCTGTAACATACCACGCCCATAGGACCACTGTCAGAGCAGTTCATCAGCTTCCAAACGTCTCAAAGTCGTCTCTTAGCCGCCATGGCGGAGCTCAACAGCACAAAGCTTAACGCAGAGTCGCATCTGCTGCTTGTACGTCCCTTATCCCTACTGCCGTGCATTGAGACTGACTTGCATACCAGGACCAACCCCTCCTGCGCATGCCCTACGAGCTCTCACGACGTAACTTCAAGAACGCCCAACGCCTAATCGAACACTCCACAACCTCTCTCACATCCACCCTTTCCTCGACCACAAAGAGCGCCTCCAAAACCGCGGACCCCACACAAACCCTCGAGTCCCTCGATGCCATGATATCGAAGATGCAAGGTCTGAAGCGCAAGCTATCAACGCTACAAGAGGAAGAGGCGCGACTACACAAAGCCGCCAAAGCGCGACTACAACACCTGCAAGACCTACACGATGTTCAGAGCCTAGTAGACGTCAAATACGACGAATGGTCTCGCGTCCGTCTATCGCGGCTACTGGTCGACTACCTCCTGCGCGAAGGCTACGCCTCCAGCGCCGCCTGCCTCGCGCAGTCCAAAGGCATCGAAGACCTCGTCGACGTCGACGCCTTCATATCATGTCACAAGATCGAGCGCAGTCTACGCGAGGGAATGAGCACGGCGCTGGCGCTCGAGTGGTGCAAGGAGCACGGCAAGGAGCTTAAGAAGGGAGGGAGTATGCTGGAGTTTGAGCTCAGGCTGCAGCAATATATTGAGATGGTTAGGCAGGGGCATGAGAGCGGGGTGTCGGGTATGGAAGGCGAGTTTGGCAGGGAGGGGGTTAGTGTTGGGGGTGGAGGTGGGGAGCAGAAGTTGGTTGAGGCGAGGGCACATGCGAAGAAGTATTTGAGTGCGAGTGGAGATTTTGAGTTGCTGGGGAGGGCGGCGGGGTTGTTGGCTTACAGGCCGTGGGATGAGGTGGAGCCTTATGCTGTGAGTCTTCTGCCTTCCCCATTGCCATAGGGATGTTTGCTAATGAGTGTGCAGTCTCTCTACTCCCCCTCCCGCTGGTCCCACCTAGCCTCCCTCTTCCTCACAACCCACCACAACCTGTACTCCCTCCCGCCCCGCCCTCTTCTCCACATCGCCCTCTCCGCCGGCCTGTCCGCGCTCAAAACACCGGCCTGCCACTCCGCATACACATCGTCCTCTGCAAATGCCTCCTCATCCACCACAACCGTCTGTCCGATCTGCAGCACCGAGCTCAACGAGCTGGCTCGCAACGTGCCATATGCACACCACACGAAGAGCATCGTGGAGAACGACCCGGTGGTGCTGCCGAATGGCCGGGTCTATGGAAGTGAGCGGCTGAGGCTGTTTAATGAGAAGGTCGGGACGGAGAAGGGGTGGGTGCGGGATCCGGTTGCGGGGAAGACGGACGAGTTGTGGAAGGAGAGCGAGGTGCGCCGGGTGTTCGTTCTGTGAGTATCAATTTCTGGGTATCTTTTGCGTGGCATAGCGCGGCGTTTGGGTATCATATCTGTGGTCTGTCACCACTCGGCTTCACGAGCATCCCACCTCTTCTTCCAATGAAAGCGAGTTGCAATTCGCTCTTCTCTGTCCGCCTTCACATAGCCTTTTAACTGTGCTCCAGCTCAATCACTGTCCTCATCCTCCGCCTTCCTCTTCCTCTGCACCACCGGCTTCCTCTTCTTCCCCAGCTTAACCCCAATCTTCTCAAGTTCCTTCTCCTCTTCACTATCCGCCTCCAACACCACCTTCTCAAAAACATACATCCTCGCCTCACGATCCTCGCCCTTCCACCCCCCACCTCCCTCAAGCGCGCCCAGCGTCCGCACATGGGCGTACCCCGGGTACTGAGCCCAGTCAAACTTCCAGCTCTCGACGACCTTCAAACCCGCGTGTCGTGCGAGGTCGCGGATATTCCAGAGCGTGTACGGCTCCCCCTCGAACAGCGCGACCATCACCTTCCCGCCCATTTTCAGAAACTCGGGTTGGCGGCGCTGCACGAGGTTCGGGCGGTTGGCCTGGGCTTCGAGGATCTTGAGGCGCTGCTTGGGCGTGCTGGTTTCGAGACAGGTCTTGAAGAAGGAGACCAGCAGCGCTTGGTTGCTTCGTACTTGGCGATTCACATCCGTGCTCAACCCGCCGACGTGCGGAAACATGAAGGCGACTGTATCCCAGCCGCTTGTCGCATCCTCGTCGTCTCCGTCGTCATCTCTTTGGCACTTGAGGTGTTTGTAGGAGCTGAGTTTCGTCGCGTCGATGCCGTGGTGCAGCGGAACGGGAGGCGTGAGACTCGTAAGCGCGTCCCGCGTAGACGCGAACGTAGGGTACTTCTCGAGCACTTCGGATTCGCTGTCAAAAGACGTCGCTGTTACGTTTGCGCACCCATGTTCTTCAACCAGACTCCTCGTAAAACTAAAATCCCCCTCGCCGACTAGTAATATATGATCGTATGCGCCGAACGGGACTTCGTGTTTCTGGCTAGCCTGGATTGGCGCTTTTGCGGTCGGTGTTTGGGGCTTGGGTGCGTCTATTGGTGTGTCGGTTTTCTGCTTCTTTGCGGCGGGCTTTGCGGTCGAGGCGGGTTTTGAGGGTTTCGCGGCGACCGCGGCGGCGGCTTTTGCGGTTTTCTTTTGGTGCTCTGCGATTTTGCGCTGGCCGTCGCGCTTCAATTGGCGGCGCGCTTGCTTGGTTTTTGTTTTCGACATGGCGCTGTAGGAATGTGCTGGTCGTCACGTTGGAGGTGCAACTGTCGCGAACTTTTTGGAGTGAGGGTCCGGACTAGCGCGCTCTCACGTGCACCTCCGCGGTCACAAAAGCTCTCGGGAGAATTCGAGTGCGAGCAGCGTCTTATGCGGACGTCAAGACTGCGTGAAATGACTAAATGTACAATAGACGGGACTTGGTACAAAACATCCCTTCATGCAGCAACTGCGATCTGCCCTAACCGGATATGCACTTGAAACTCTCTGAACAGATCAACCCAATTCCCCTACTCGTTTCGTTGCGAATTATATCAAGTCGCGCTTGATGAACTGATCGTACAGAGACTTGCCGAGCGAAGCAGGCGAGCGCTCAACAACGACACCAGCGGCCTCGAGAGCGGTGATCTTCGAGTTAGCGTCACCCTTTCCTCCGCTGACAATGGCACCAGCGTGACCCATTCTCCTGCCTGGCGGCGCAGAGATACCAGCGATGAAGCTGACAACGGGCTTGTTAGCGGTGTTGTATTCCTTCAAGAAGTCGGCGGCGTCCTCCTCAGCAGTACCGCCGATCTCTCCAATCATGATGATACCGTCTGTCTCGCTGTCCTCGAGGAAGACCTTCAAGCAGTCGATGAAGTTGGTTCCGGAGAAGGGATCACCGCCAATACCGACGACGAGCGACTGACCGAGGCCGGCCTGGGTGGTCTGGTTGACAGCCTCGTAGGTGAGGGTTCCGGAGCGGGAGACGATACCGACGCGACCGCGCTTGTGGATGAAGCCGGGCATGATACCGATCTTGCATTGGCCCTGCAGATAGCGTTAGTGGTGTTTGGTTGGGACGTGGCTTCGGTTGTATGCGTACAGGAGCGATGATACCGGGGCAGTTGGGGCCGACCATGCGGGACTTGTTCTGGGTCTTGAGCATGTCGGTGATGCGGACCATGTCTGATAAGGGGTCAGTTCATTGTCAACTGCTGATCTCACTCGTGCGCTCCGTACCGTGCTGGGGGATACCCTCAGTGATACTATCCAAAGTTAGCTTCTGTGCATGTCGCCGTCCATATGCACACCTACGTCACAATCAGCGGGACCTCCGCCTTGATGGCCTCCTCGATACCGGCGGCAGCGACTGGGGGACTGTTGCCTTGTCAGTCAATTTGCGATGTAGTTGGTTGTGGATATGGCGCGCGTACGGGACGAAGATGGCAGTTGCGGTAGCGCCGGTCTCCTTGATACCCTGCTCAACATTGGCAAAGACGGGGAGACCGAGGTGCTCCTGGCCGGCCTTCTTGGGGTTGGTTCCACCGACGACCTTTGTGCCTGCGCGTCCATGTCAATTCCTCTTCCCGTTGATGCCAGACAGCTGTTCGTATGGGCGCATACCGTACTCGATCGCCTGCTGCGCGTGGAAGCTGGCACATCATTAGCACCTCCCCAATTTCTCGCAAGCTCCAGGTCTCACTCACGTTCCCTGCTTTCCAGTGAAACCCTGGAACAGCACCTTGGTGTCGCCGTTGATGCGGAGGTTCTTGATCGTCTCCGCGTACTGCGACGAGCCGGTTGCGTACTGCCTGGTCGCGGCCTTGGTGAGCGCCGAGCGCATCGGTTGTCTGAGAGCCTGCATGGTGACTGTGTGTTGCTCTCACGTAGACTAGCTAGATGTGTAGAGGGGTATCGTGAATGGGTTGTTGACAGAGCTGGCTGAGGAACAGGAAGCTGCGACAGTGCACGGACGTTTCTGCTTCTGCGCCAAACTTTCGTAGGGGTCTTCTCGGCCGGTGTCCTGACGGAGCATCGAGATAATAACCCGGCTGAAAGCACATCATCAATTCAGACGTCGGCATGCATTGTATCCATTTAATATCGGTTTCTACCCAAAGCTCTTTGGGCTGTTATGATGCTAGGGGTCATAGTCAATCGGTTCGACACCCAGTTTTGAGCTCCTCGTTGATTTCCAGATTTTCGTTGAAGGACTACCAATGCACGATGGTGTTACGTGCGATGTTCTCGTCTGTGTTGAGCATCTCCATGCTTCAGCTGTAATGTTGGACAATCAGCTGTTACTGCCCCTCGAGTAGCACAAAAAGCCGGATGCAAGCTCATAGCCTTTGGATTTAAGGGAGGTAGTCAGTGCTAACTTGTAGGTTATTTGCAATCCAACGGAGTTTCTGGGGACTACATTGATCTCTATAGGCAAGGGCGGCGTTGTTCCACCTTCTATAGGTGCCTCTTAGATCTGCACACTGCCCATGCCGTTCTCCAAAGACACTAGCCCATCCCCGTGATCAGTGGGTTCGATCGTCTTGCCTGGAGCATCTTGTGAAAGCGTTGGGATCGAAGACACGGTCATTCGCCTGGCCGCAGGTCGATGCGTTGACGACCTCCCCGCGGAGGGTAGTGTAGGAGAAGAGCGTGTCTAAGTAGGTTAGTGGTTTAGTAACCCCCAGAGCCGCTGACATAGTATTGCGCTTCGCGGTGGGCTTGGTGGCTGCCCTCTGGACAGCAAGATTCGGCGGTGCGCATGGCGAATACGCCTCAAGGAGCAGCTGTCAGGGAGTTGGGCATGAATAGCAAGTGGACGACGAGGTGAAGATGAGCAAACGCGGCGAGGAACGTGCACCGAAGGACGCTTTCACCCCCACCTGCTGGTAGAGATAGCGCCGAACTATAGGAAAGGACACGGCCCAAAGCGCTGGGTTTGAGGAATACATTGCTCGGTTGCGATGCACACACATCTGCAACCAGCCCACTGAAGTCTTACAGATGTTACAAAGTTTTTTTTACACAGTATGCTAAATGTTCTCCGCTAGTCGTTGAGCTTGCCGTAGAATGGCAGGCCAATCGCCTGTGTCAGCAGACGTGCGTCCTTGTTGCTTGTGGCATCAGTGATGATGGTGATGTGGCAACCGGGGATCATCTTTGGTGGGTATCTGTAACAGGTCAGAAGCTGTCTTTCCACAAGGTTGGATAGTCCTTACGCGTCGTAGTTGACCTCAATCTCCGGGAAAAGGGCAAGCTGATCGGGTGTAAGACCGAAGCTGATGTTGCCATGGCCGTCTCCTGACGAGCCCGGTACTCCCTTCCATTCCTTGATTCTGGGCAGGACGACGTCGATGAGCTTCTCGAGGAAGTGGGACGCGTCTTCTCGCTCGAGCGTAGCCGTGACGGAGACATATCGGCCCTCACGTAAACCCCACCCAACCACATTGTGTTTCGCCTTGTGTGATTCGACGCGCACGTTGGTGATAGCCTGTAGGATCATACCAGCAACGTGCATGTTCGCGCTGTCCTGCATTGCCTCCGGGACCATGGAGTGGACGACGACCTTGGTGATCTTGGGGATGTTGCGGAAGGTGCGCGGCTCTTGCAGCAGACGCAGCACTTCACCCTTTCCTCGCGGCCCTCGCAGCGGCCGACCCTTGTAGTACGGCGACTCACCCTGCCATTCTCGCAGTCTCTGTTCGACTTTGGGCGCCCGGTAGCCAGGAGGGTAGTGCTGGTAGGTCATGGCGAGGATGTCCTGAGCGATAGTGCTTTGGTACGTTTGATCGAGGCGAGGCAGGCCGAAGGGGCCGGGCTGGAAGCGTCGCGATGCAGGATCTGAGACGGGGAGAGGCTGGTGGGGATGGAGAGGACCGCGGTAGTACTTGGGTTCGCGGTACTGGTATCTTCAGATTGTCAGTCGATGCCCGTAGACTTGTATGCCGTGATCTCGTACCTGCTAGGCGGCAGCTGCTTCTTGCCTCTTCTCCTCGCCCTGCTGCGTGCTATGGGATCGAAGTCCTTGACGGCCTCCTCCGGCTTTGCTGGTGCATCCAGGAACGATGTCGACTCGACCTCTGGGGCGGCGTCTGTCGAGGCATTGCGGCGGAACAGTGGCTGGATCGCGGATACAGTGGGCCTGGCATCTCTGCACAAGGCAGTCGCCGTCCGGTATGGCAGCTCGCGCAGGGCCATGGTGTCTGGTGTCGTCCTGGCTGATGGACATGCACCCCAACGGTGTTCGCGGTGTCGATGTCAACTTTTCGGGCTTGGCGTGGAAGGCGCGACACGAGCGCTGCAGGGATCAGCTGCACCAGGGGCCCAAGGCCCAAGGCCCAAGGCCCACCAATGGCTCCCCCGCGCGCCCGCAACTGCCTGCTCAACGCAGCTCCCGCGCGTTCAAGATGTTGGTTTGCGGCTGACGGCACAGACTGCGCCGAACGCTGTTTCGCACATTCGGCCTCGTCCAGAGCGTCGCACTCTTCTTCAGCGCACTCTTCTTCAGTGCACTCTTCTTCAGTCCAGCCCGCTGTGGCGCGGTTATCACCCGCGGCCACGATCCCGCCTCGTGCTTTGAAACCCCTCCACATAGTCTCGCAACTGTCTTGCGCCCTCGTCTGCACCTTCCCGCGCGACAACCTAAGCTTGCTGCCTACCCCGCTGCGACCCAAATCAACGTCCTCAACTCTTTGCGCTTGCTCTCCTGAATGGAAGTCCAGCATCTTCAGCAAACATCATGAACGGCATGCAACGGTTTCTCAGCCGTCGCGAGAAGCACCAAGCTGAGAAGCGCAAGTCCAAGGAAGCTGCCCGCAACAAAGTACGCACTATCTCTGCCAATTCTTTTACTCCTTTACTATGTCCCGCCTGCGATACATCTTCGCAAGACTGGCACTACCGTCCTCGGCAACAGTCCTCCAGCCTCGACTCGCTATATCACAAGCTTCCCTCTGCGTTGCGGACTACCGCCGAAGACAATTTCCTATTCTTACATACACCATGTCGCGCATTGCTTACAACCGATTTTGCTCATATCTCAACCGTCAACCCGTCTGACCATTTGCTGCAACAGTCAAAGCCCGGCCAGCCAGTGTCCTCCAACCTATACAAGATATTCACCAACGAAGAATCGAAGACGATCGCCGACAAAGATGGCTCTAAGAACGTGCGTTGGGGAGCCAGGAGGTTCTTGGGTAGCGCTGACCGTCACAGGTCACAATGCTGCTTTCACGACTGCAGAGTGCAGGCATAACAAGACTGGGAAAGGAGCAGGCCGAGCATGCACTGGAATGGTACCCTGACGATATCGACAAAGCCTACGACATCTTGGTGCTTGTAAACGAATCGATCGAGGGCGAGCTGAAGGACTACGACCCCAATGTCAAGATGGTGGGTGCGATCAACAGGAATATGGTCACATGTTACTTGGACGCTCTGCTCTTCGCCATGTTTGCAAGACTGGACGCTTTCGAAGCAATGTTGTTCGACAGCTTTGACGATGAGCCAAGGAAGAAGCTTGCAGCTATATTGCGACTATGGGTAAATCTACTCAGGACTGGACGCCTCATCAAAGTTGAGCTCGTAAGTATGGTAGGCGCCACAAGCAACCTATACTGATACCATGCCAGACAAAGCACCTCCAGGGTGCGTTGGCAGAGTGTGGGTGGGAAGATGCTGCCAACGTCTGTCAACAAGATGCTTCCGAAGCCTTCACCTTCATCACCGGTGCTCTTGAATTACCGCTGCTCACCTTGAAGATGGACATCTATCACACCGGCCGAGAAGACAAGGAAGACGACCACAAGTTCGTCAACGAGCGATTGCTGGAAGTAGCTATTCCGGAGCAGGAAGGCGAAGGCACCATCACATTGGAAGATTGTCTGGAGACGTACTTCAACAATCGAATCGAAGTGAAGCGATTCCTGCAACGACAAAACACAATAGGATCAGTGAGGTCCACAGATTGTGAGACAGTGGACGGGAACCCAGAGAAGAACGAGACTATCCACGTAGAAAGCGTCGAGCTATTGGGTCCGGAGTCACCGATAGTGTCCACCCCGATATCGATGGCACCATCCTCTCCCTTAAAGCCTGTTCGACCAGCTCTTGACGAGCGCCGGCGCGCGGACAGTATCTTTAGCCAGAGATTCAAGGATTCAGAGGATAAGAAGTTTGACGAGAAGAAGCACCTGGATGATATGTGGAACAACAGCTCCAGCGGGAGACCGCGGTCAGCGTCACTCCTTAGAAAGGAGGTTCTGATGCCGGCGTGGCAGTTCTTCAGTCTCATTCGTAGGTCCGCTCCCACCATGTCCTAGTTACGACTAACGTTACCACAGCCTGGTATACAGACAACGTTCCTAGCACAGACGCTCAGGTTGCGGCGCACTTCTCGGCTCGACGCCCGGTTCTCGGAATCTGTCTGAAGCGTTACTCTATGACTCTACATGGCACACCAAAACGTCTCAACACATACATCGACATCCCGCTCGAGATTGCCCTACCACATTTCGTCTCCGATGACAAGATGACGGAAGAAGGTCCACTCTTTGGCAATTTCAAGCTGGTATTGCAATCGGTCGTGTGTCATCGTGGCGTCTCCGTCGACTCCGGACATTACATTTCGCTCGTCCGTGCGAATTCTCACGAACGACCAGGCACCTCGCAATCCGAGGAAGACGATACTACAGGAGCTTGGCTAAGATTTGACGATTTATCAAATCCGCGTGTCACTGATATCGACATCAAGCGAGCGTTGCGGGAAGAGTCGCCGTACCTCTTGTTCTACCAAGTCCAGCCGATAGATGACGAGCTAGCATCGAGAGGCGATCCTCCTACCTACGCTGAAGCGCAGTCCCGGGTCATCTCATCTGTTCAATCCAGAGAGACACTGATCTCATCGCCAGAAGCCGGCGTTACGGATGCGGAAAGCGGCGGAGAGTGGGACAGAATAAAGCCAACGGACGTGCATCCTGAATCGGTCATCTCAGACGAACCGATCGGTCGCGCCAGCATGTCCAGCAACCGACGCAGCAGTGTGGCATTCGACGACCTTGAGAGCGTGTCGCGCGGTCGAACTGCGCCTCACACTCCCGCAGACGAGTCGAAAACTGGTTTCTTGTCAGCTTCACGTCGTGGGTCGCGGACATGGCTGGGCGGCACAAAGAGTCGACCGACCAGTCAGAGTGGCGAAGGACGGCTGTCTCTGACTCTGTCGAGACTGACGGGTCGCGGCAGCAAGGACAAGCTCACTATTGCTGAAGCTGGCTCTGCCGAAGACCCAGTCATTGTCATCAACTCGGTCGAAAGTCAGGACCATACACCTCCGGAGGATAACAGCCCAGCCAAAGAGCAGAAAGAGTCGGCTCTCTCGCGCAAGAAGAGTAAGAAGGGGAAGAAAGACCATCACAGGAGCAAGAGCAGGGACCCTCTGGGCGAGCATTCAGAGAAGAGCAAACATAAAGACAAGAGTCGCCCTGACAGGGAGTGCTCTGTCATGTGAGAAGCTGGGAGGATTCTATACTATACTGGGTAGAGTCGGTTGTTGCATTTGTCTCTTGCATAGCATTTGCATTACTTCATTCTTCGACTGCCTCAGCACGGGCATCTCGGAGACGGTTGACTGAGTTAGCGAGGCGTTTCTTGGGCATACACATGGGTATCTGGGACTTTCTCTGTACAGAGCATCGCACAAGGGTCGAGGCTAAGAAGGCCAGCTATAGCATAGACGAGATACCCGCAGCCTTATAAGGCTCAGACCGAAGGTGATTTCTTTTTTTTTTTTTCCACGAGGGCCACGATTGTGTCTCTGTTCTCCTTCAAACGTATGGACACTCTGAAAATACAGTTGATCAGCATTACACCTGCTGGGCAGGCCTGGAGTTACTCAAGAGCTGGCGACGGCTCATTGTTTGCTCACGATTGATTGTTCGTTGCCTAAAACGTGTTCGGAGAAGGCGTTGGACGCCTCTAGAACAGCGAGAGTTGTATTGGGTTAGAAGCCGAACAAACCGCGGCTTGGAAGGTGGCCTTTTGCAGTCGCCGCTAGGGCCAGGACAATCCTACCACAAAGTCCCAACGCATCTCTCACTCCCACACTGTCCCCGCGCCGCACATAAACTTCACGGTCCTCACGCGACGTCGTTGCATCACCTTCAACACATCTGCACAGCGACGAACCGTCTCAACCGTCACAATGGCAATCTCTCCTCAAATGTACGTCATTCAATATCCTGCCCTCGAAAACAGTTTGCTAACGAGTCGCGCAGCTCCAACCTGGTCATCATCCTGTATGTCCCGTCGCATGCGCTCTCCCACGCGACTCGAATCTGACAATAGCTAGGGGGTTTATGCAGATATCCAAGAAGATCCCATTCGATGACCCGAACGTGCTGAACGGCGTGCGCGCGCTGTACATTGTCTCCAACATCATCATCGCCGCGATCTACTTCTACGTCCAGATGCAGATCAACAAGAAGAATGGTGCGTCATACGGAAGCCGCAGCACATTTAGGCTTCAGTTGCTGGCAGCAGCGAGCTAACACACCCCAGACATGACCGTCGTCAAGTACGTCGAGCCCGCCCCCATGGGCTCCGGCGAGGAGCCCAAGTTCGTCGCAACCACCGTCAAAGCCTACGACCTGCAGCAGCTGCGCGCCCTCTTCAAGGGCCAGATGATGGGCGTCGGCATGATGGCCGTCATGCACCTCTACATGAAGTACACCAACCCGCTGCTCATCCAGTCCATCATCCCCCTCAAGGGCGCCTTCGAGGGCAACCTCGTCAAGGTTCACCTCTTTGGCCAGCCTGCGACCGGCGAGCTTGCTAGGCCCTGGAAGGCGGCTGGTGGCTTCATGGGTGCGATGCAGGGCGGTGAGATTAAGACGGATAAGAAAAGCATCGAGGCTGCTGAGCGTGCTGGTCGTGGTGGTGTCAAGGATGAGTGAGCGCTGCGCTTGTTCTGAGCATACGGCATACTTTGGTGGTTGAGGAGTCACCATGGCTTGCATTCATGCGGCATAACGCGTCTGCGGACTGATTGATTGTACAATATTGGAAAATTCATCATGTTACATTCATCACTAAGCCCCCACCTTCGACCATTCTTCCTCGAACCGAGTAGTCTTTTACCCGGCCGTAGCTGCTTTCTCCACGATCTTCGCCCTCTCTTCCCTCTCTTCCCTCTTTTCCTCCTCCCCCTCCCCCTCCCCCTCCCCCTCCGAGCACTCCTCCCCAAACGGCCACAACACCCCATCCCAAACCGCACATCCCTCCCTATCCAGATGCACATGATCAACTAACATCTCCTTCACAATCCCCTTCCTCGCCTCAACTCACACAACCCTCTCCTTCTCCTCTAACTCGCCTACAGCTTGCTTCAGCATCTGGTTCGCCTGCTCCGTTACCTCGTCGGGTGTGCCCTTGCAGTAGAAGATATCGCAGGCCAGCACGTTGCTGTCTGGGGCGAAGGTCCAGCAGGACAGATTCGTTCTTCGTTGGACCCCGCCCCGGACGGACAGAGCTTTTTTAGCTGAGTGCCCAGGAGAGGTTTAGGGCGAGCTGGGCGTTGAGCTCGGGGATGTGGATGGCGTGGTGTATGTCGTGGGAGCGCTGTTTGTATCTTGCTAGGGGGTAGGGGGATGGTGGGATCACTGGGGTGGGTGAGGGTTCTAGAGCCGGGGGAGTAGGTGGAGGTTGTGCAGGCATTGTGCTGTAAGGCAAGCTGGAGAGGTGGTATCTTGAGCCGGATGGGAAAGGCATGGTTCGACTTCGGGATGGGGAGGTGGTCGGGGATTTTGAGGGAGAAGATAAAGCAGTGGCAAGTACTTATAGGAGCGACCGTGTGAGCGTGATTGTTTCGCGAGTCGCCCTTTCGTAGCCACATGTCTTGGTTTAGAAGTCAAGAACCGTGGTTGAAAACCTCCACAGATTTGTTCTACCAAAATCGGACGTCCAACAAGTTGAGATTTCAAGAGCAACACGATGGTCCAAGCGGACTGTGTGTGGTTCATGTATACTTTGACCCCCACGAAAAAAGAAAGGGCTGAACGGCGCCCTACTCAAAGTACTTACAACTTCGCCCTTCCCTCGCCCAAAATCTCTTCGATACCAATCTCGCTCGTCATCAGTATACACGTATCCCTCAAGCTCCCCACTCTGTGCTTGTGATTCACTTCTTGGTAATCCCTGCTCGTCAGCATATCCCTAAAGTGCTCGATGCTAGGGTAGTGCGCCAGCGCAATTTCATCCCAACCATCCTCTTGCTTCTCTTGTTGCCCATTGACGCCCGTGACATTCCCCACGATTTTGGCGTTGCCTCCATGCCTGGACCCAATGCTCTTCGCAAATGCAGCGCCGTACTTGAGATACTCTTCCTTCATTCCGGTATTAAAAGCGAGGAGATTGAACATGGACACCGCGCCTTTACCCTCCCTTCCACTCCCACGAACAAATTCATCGACCCAGACATTTAATTCGGCTGAGAGTTCGAGATCCTGGCTTGACTGTGTTGTCTTCTTCTCGTTCGAGCTGCTGAGAGGTGGTACGGTTGCCGGGTCAGGATGCAGTAACCCCCTGTTCGTCTTTTCAAAGTCCTTGGTCAACCGCGAAGGAACGCCGGCAGTCACGCTCCAGTGGTGCTCAACGAGCTTTGCAATCTCACCCGGGAGATCGTCCGTGCTGGATAGGATAAGGAGGATGTCCCATTTTATGTTGCGGGCCAGGAGATGCTCAGTTGAAATCTTCGTTGGCAGGATGATCCATCGGATTACCCGAGAAACTACGAGAGGTCTGACCGAGCTTGACTTCAGGGTTGAGAGGAATGTGGAGAGCGGGTTGGGGGTCGTTGTGTGCAGGGCGAGGAGGTGGAGGGTGCAGAGTGGCATTGTGAATTCTGAGGTTTGAAGGTGAGGCGAAAAGGCTTGGTGTGAATTGTGGGTTCGGTCCGAACAGGAGTGTAAATGTGAAAGATAGAAGATGCACTTCGTAGAGATGCGTTAGTACAGATGACGTAAGGCCACAGCTGCGTGCCGAGGTATATAACAAGAGGGGCGGTTGGTGGTTATCGTCTAGTTAAAGACAAAAAGGTCTGAGTTACTTTAGTACGGAGGTTCATTGTTCGTTCTCTTCGTCTTGCTCGTCGTCCCCAGCTCTGCCTTTCTCCGACGTAGCATCGTCATCAGTAGCGGTGACGGGAAACGACAGGTGTTTCCAATCTTCGATCTGGACGATGTTAGCAACTATGCGCAGATATAATCGTAGCTGTCTCAGACTTACCTCTTCTGTGATACTCCTCAGTCGGTCACGGATACTGTCTACAGCATAGCTTCCCAAGATCAACCTCAGAGGCGGGTAACTACAATGCCCCAGCTGCCACACCAACTCCGCACTTTTGACGGCACTGACGGGCTGTCTATCGTTCAGCCATTGCACCATCCGTCTCGCGTGCTGGGCAGGACTCGCCAAGTTCGCATACGGCTCGCTTGGGTTCGGTTTTACAGAAAAGTGGCCGTATCGTTTAGGCTTTGGAGGTCCTGCACCAGGGACGATGTTGTCGTCTGGTTCGTCAAGCCTTACATGACCCGGCTCAACAAGTGTCGCCTTGATGTTGAAAGCGTCGATCTCATACAGCATAGACTCGATGAGGCCTTCGACGGCATACTTGGTCGCGCAGTAAGGTCCAAGTCCCGGGACACCGAGTGACCCAGCCGTGGAAGAGAAGATGAGGTAGCGACCGGCGTTTTGCTGGCGGAGGTAGGGAAGAGATAGCTGGATGATGTGGAGTGTACCGAGGAAGTTGGTGCTGAACTGGTTGCGCAGGTCGTAATCGTCTTGGTCTTCGCATGCGCCAATGACACCGTAGCCTGTGCTGTTCACGATGACATCCATCCTACCCCAATGCTCCAGACTTCTCTTCAGCACGTGATCCACTGTTTCTCTTACTCGAACATCGCACAGCAGTCCCAGGCACCGCCTATCTTGCCACTCCTGCATCTGCTCAGGCGTATTTTCATGCGTCCAGCCAACAGCGGTACATTGGTCTCCATGAGCCAGAATGGCCCGAACAAGCGACCGTCCGATGTGGCCGGTTGCTCCGAAGACCTATGTTACTTGATCAGCTACTGCGCATGTTGCGACGAGGACCAGCATACAATCCACACTGCGCGCTTGGGCGGATTACTCTCAGACGGAGGCTCGCATGTTGCGGGCAGTCGCAGCCCAGGATTCCGGATGGCAGCGCCCGGTGACAGGCTCTGGCTAGCCGTATCAAAGTCCATGGAGGAGGGCTAGCGAGGCTCTGCGGTGCGCGTCGATATGGGGATGTGGAGAACGTCCATGTGGGGAGCCAATCGGCATGGGCCAGATCAGACGGAAGTAGCGTCTCCTTCAACGCATGATGAACCGCCTTTCGTCGAGCAGGAAGCGCACGCCGTCTATGAACATCTGAATCGGGAAGGCCTCCTTGCGGTTCATGAAGTTGCTGACCAGGATGAAGAAGAGAACGAAGACGTCCAGGTGGAGTGGTGAGGAGAGGAAGAAGTGGTAGGCCAGGAACAAGAAGGCCTGCGCCCTGTATCTGCCTCTGATAGAACGGATGACTCTCGCTGCTTTGGCGGCACGTGCAGGATCGACTCGATGGGCCTTGTAGATGACCACCTTGGAGAAGTTCGCCATTGGTAGGGATATGTGAGGTATCGTGTACAAGCAGGCGGAGAGATGGAGCAAACGAAGCTTATCACTAAAGCGGGATCCCTGCGCTGCATGTGAAGCCGTGCTTCACCAGTGACGTCTGAAGCACTTCCACAATCATTGAACACGACAAAATGTGTCTGCGGTAACAGCACGCAAATATACCATGGCGAAAGCAGTACCCACGCCAATATCCCCACCGCAACCGGTGATACAGGGGTCTTCATCGTACAGCAGCTCAGCATCATTTGCAGACCCCGCTAAAATCTAACAGACTGTCGTTCACGCAAGGCTTCTTGCTGGGTCAGTTCTCGATTGCGCTGATCATTTTCTTCTTCATCAAGTTCTTCATCTTTGGCGAGCCTCCATCTGCAGACGACCGCGCGTTGCACCTTAGCTCGCTACGGCGCGCACGCACTCTTGCCCACCAGCAATCACTGCACTCGCTCAAGCAACGCACGCGCTCGAACTCGACGACCACCCCAGCATTGCGCCACAAGCACTCGCGCAGCATTATCAAGAAGGGCGAAGAGAGCAGGGGAGGGCCGAGCATAGCCACCATCCTTGCCAAGACATACTACAATGTGAACGGCCATCAGCCCGAGAGTCTCGACTGGTTCAATGTCCTCATAGCACAAACAATCGCCCAGCTACGAGCCGATGCAAGACAAGACGGCGCAGTCCTCACATCTCTGACCGACGTCCTGAACTCGGGCAGCAAGCCCGACTGGATCGGCGAGATCCGCGTCACCGAGATCGCCCTGGGCGATGAATTCCCAATCTTCAGCAACTGCAGAATCATGCCCGCCGAGGACGGGTTCTGGTACGGGCCCGGCACGAGCGGCGACAACGAAGGCCGCCTGCAAGCACGCATGGACGTCGACCTGAGCGATGTGATCACAATCGGTGTCGAAACCACACTCAACCTCAACTGGCCCAAGCCCTTCTCCGCCGTCCTTCCCGTCGCCCTCGCAGTAAGCGTCGTCCGCTTCTCAGGCACCCTCACCATGTCCTTCATCCCCTCCTCCTCTCCGCTCTCCACAACCGCCGCCACGCCCTCGCCAACATCGCACTCGCACACGGCCTCCACACACCCCCCCTCCGAGCCGCCGCGCCCCTCAACATCCTCGTCGAACCCATCAACTGCAAATCCGACCCCGCACCGCCCGACAACCCTCGCCTTCACGTTCCTCGACGACTACCGCCTCGACCTCTCCGTACGGTCCCTCGTCGGCTCGCGCTCACGGCTGCAAGACGTGCCCAAGATCGCGCAGCTCATCGAGTCGCGCGTGCACGCGTGGTTCGACGAGCGCGCCGTGGAGCCGCGGTTCCAGCAGATCTCGCTGCCCTCGCTGTGGCCGCGGAAACACAACACGCGGGGCGGCGCGACGGAAGACGCTGAGGATGAGGGGATAGATGTCGGGAGTCTGGCGCCGGAGGATGAGGCTGTGCCTGCTGCGGGGCTGGGGCTGGGACTGGAAGTCCCAGAGGCGAGAGGGTCGAGTTTTGTGCCGCCTGCAGGTTCGGCGGCGGCGACGCTGGAGGAGCGGATTGAGGCTGAGGGCGCCAAGTTGAGGGGGGCGGAGATCCTGGCCGGGGAACGGAAAGCGACGCGCAGGGGGGATGAGGGGATGAGGTGGAGGGGGGAGACGAGTCGACCCGGAGGTGCGAGTAGACCACAGGCCCCAAATCGATTCAAGAGTGAGCATTACAGTGGGCAGAAGGGCATGCCTGGCGCTATGCTTGAGTAGATCATGTCTTCTAGAGGTACTTTGTACGATTAGCGAAGACTGTGGGATCGGTGTATCAGTGTATCATCAACAATGTACAAGACACGAACAGCATTGCATGATTTCTGATGATTTGGTACTACACACCATCAGGTCGTGTCTATCGTATTATAACTCTTCCACGATGGGGGAGCACCTCAAGAACTGCTCCAACGCCTCTGAACCCGCCATCAGGGCAGACGCTTCTCTACTAGTATACACGCTAAAGAACAAGACAATCCCGCAACCCAGCATGCGGGTGGATACATCCCGGGGCGAGGTCCCAAGAACCATATCTGGAGCAACAGAACGATCATGGCGACTTGTAGTCGCTACGCGCAGAATCTGGAGGGGTGATGAGCTGCTGCTGTGACTCTGCAAACGCAGACTGACAGTTCTACTGCCAATTCGGTGCATGAGTGGTAACAGGCAGAGTCGTCGAGTATGGCAGTTGCTGGGGTGCCTCGGGCTGGACTGGGTGGAATGGCGGTTGCTCCTGCTTGGGTGCTTCCTCAGGTGCGATGTATGGTGGTGTTGGCGCGGAGAAGAAACCGTCAAGCTTGGGAAGCGCGTTCGCCTCTGCTGGCGGCTGCTGCTGTTCGACCTTGGGTGCAGCAATGACTGTAGGTTGCTGAACGGAAAGGCTGTTTGGTATGGCGGTAGGAATGACACAAGGCGGTTGAGGTGCTGGTTGTGTAGGTGGCAGAGCAACAGCGATAGCGGGGGCTGCTGGCTGGAGCGGTGCGCCAACATCTGACATCGGTATATCAGCATTGTGCTTTGCACCGTTGGTCGATGCTGGTTCAGAGTTTGTTTCGTCGGAGATGTTGGACGGTTGTTTGCGATAGTGTAAGGTGACGAGGAGGGTTTGTGGTTCTTGCTCCTCGTCCGAAGACTGATCGGCCAGATCATCCTCATCTCCGTCGTCGAGGTCCATCTGATCGGGCTCCTCCTCTTCCTCTCCACCATCCCAGGATGTAGCGTCGTCGTCTTCCTCTGAGTCCATTTCGCGGTTCAAGTGTGAGCGATTGCCGGCGCGTGTCGAACGGCTCTGTCGCGGCTCCTCAGAGACGTCAGACCGTACGTACTCTCCAGTAGCTGGGGATGCGCGGTCGGTCGTTTGTCCACTGTGGAGCGTTTCGCCATATGTGCCCGCCGCACGAGACCTGACCTGTCGACCGCTGGCAGTGACGGTAGGACCGGAGTGCATGGGTGAGGAGTCTCGCGCAGACTGTCGACTTGATCGACGGACAGGAGCATCATCCGAGTCGAAGTCGTCTCCTTCGTCGTAAGTGTATCGCTGGCGCTTGCCACGGGTGCGACCTTCGTAAAGCGAGAAGCCAGGCTCGGGCCGTGTGAAGGCGGCAGTGCGGTTGACACGGTATTCGCGGCGCTTTCGCTTCTGCGTGATCGTCAGCACGATGGACTGTATCAGTGCTCATAGCACTTACCACTTCTGAGGCTTCGAAGCGTGGGACGGCGTTGATCATCCGCTCGCTGAGCATCTTGGCCTCCCTATGACCGTCCTCCTCTTCTAAGACCTTTGCCAGTACTCTCAGCTCATCGATGGATCCAGCAACGCTCCACCATGTCGCCTTGGCCGTTTGTGATTTTCCTTCGCGATACACACGGAAATGGGTGTCGTTCTGACCCTCAACCAGCCAGTACCGGCGCTTCTCGCCGTCGCGACCCCATGGCTGCACAGACAACGGGATGTTTGTGTCGAGCTTGTCTTTCGTCGTTCGTGATTTGTAGGCTTGGGCGATCATAGCCTTGACTTCTTCGCTCTGATTCAGACTCCAGAGGCAGAGGGTGTGGAGGAGGATGATCTGGTTGGCCGGTCAGCTGGTGTCAGCACAGTCGCGCTCGAGGACTTACGCGCTCTGTCGGTGTCATGGTGTTGAACGAGCGACTGCCGCTGAGGGGGTTTATGTAGTTCCACTTGGCTGGCCACTGCGATTTCTGTGTCTGAATTGCTTCTTCGAGAGCCCGGCCATAGTGACCTTTCCTGTAGTGCGCAGGTCTGTCAGCTTAAACCGTTCCATATGCTTCGTGACAGCGACGCGACCATCACACAAGTATGTGAGAGGGGGCCAAAGGGTTCACTAACTCGACAGGCTTCTTGCGATTCAGGACTAAGCCAAGCAGAGCGCATAGCAGGCCTTCAACGTCCGGTGACGGTGCACCCTCTGCGACGCCCAGCTCGATGTCCTGAGGCCCGACATGAGGCGCATTACGGGGGAAGGCTTCGTTGAATCGCGACCGGAACATTACTATGAACTACAGGCCAAAAAAGTTAGCGGCGTACTGACGCAGCAGCCGTGAATGTATAGGACACGACTACGGCGCGACGAGACGCGATTGACGCGTCTAACACGTACAGCGATGTCCGGATTATCTTCTGGAACATATTCATGGGGTGGTGACGCTGGACGCTGCCTCGCCGGCGGCGAGGGTGATCTCTTGTTGAAGAAGGTCAAGATGGTGCCGTTCTTTTTCTTCTTTTGGGGCGCAGCCTTCGGGGCCTTTGCAGGCGCAGTCTCGACGGGCATTTCATCCTCGGTAGGCGGCGCAGAGGAGAGTGCAGAGTCGGAATCGGAATCAGTCATGTTTGTTGTTGCGGTGGTGGTTCGTGATGGTGGTTGGAGCTGGACGAGGGAGGAACGTCGTCAATGGCCAGGGCTAGGCGCGACTGGTGTATGAGGTAACCTCCTGTTCGCTAGCACAAAGGCTAATTAATTGGATCACTGATAATCTGGGGTATCAGACAAAGTTAGATTTAGCTTGTGGACGTCTCTGCAGGAGCATGTTCACAGGCACAGCATGCAGAATGTGAGTTCAGGCAGAGGAAGCATGCTCTTCTGACGACAAGCTTTACTCTACTCGTATCTACAAGACTATTTGGTTGTTTGTGCTTGCTCTAATATGCTAATATGACCGAAATAGTAGCGACCCGGCCTATATCGTCCAACGGAAACAGGCGACCAGCGACGCTCTCTTCCATGCTTTAGCATAGCCCGTAGTGTATTGTTTGCGTGGTGAGGACAGAAGATTTGAGGTGCTTCGTGAAAGTTCGATGCAGAACAAAGGTTTGTTGGCGCTGGTGCAAATGGCAGTGCAACCCGTACCAATGGTAAAGTGATCTCCCTGTTAACGCCCAACAATGTATGGCATGAACCTGTCTCACATTAGTGATGCCATGTACACCTCCGATGCTGTTTTTCAATCATGTGCGCGACTTTTGATCATATCTTCAGGGACCAGCGCAAGACGACGGATGGTTATGCACTGTCAGAAGTCCGTAAGCCCACGTTGTAGCGGGGATTTGTCTTCCAGCGCAGTGCGACACGGTTTCAGTCATTTCCCTACATCCATAGGCTTCCTCGTGGTGTTCAGTCGGCCCTCTGGCCCAAATTGTTACCACGTCCAGCTCTTTCCTCCCAACCATACAACAAAACGCTCCTATAAAACTGGCCAGTCCGCTTGATGGAGGTCGAAACGGTATGTGACGTTTGTGGGTTGTTGGCGGAAGATTTGCGTCTCCTACGTTAACTGACAGGTTACCTGTACTTGTCCCCGCTTTGGGACGATCCCCAACTCCGTCCGTTTGTGTTTGGGCCGCAGGGCATGATCACACCTACCTTTTTTACCAACTCTGGCGCTCCCACGCATGGCTGCCCAGATTTTACGCGAAAGACAGAAGATGCAGTAGAAAGAAAGACTGAGAAGTAACAAGACAAGAATCGTGCAAAATAAGAGGGGTGATGATGAAATGCAGTGGTCCGGCTCTACCATTTCTTGTGCACCCTTGGTACCAGACTGGAGTCAACGGAAACGTTATTATTTTGTTGTTGTTGTTGTTCCTTGGTGTTGCATGTCGATAGTCGTGGTTCGTGGTGGAAGCGCGGAGGTCTTCAGCGAGCGAGCAAGTGTCACGTGCCCAACATTACACCCAGACTCCGATGTTACAGGAGCTCTAGTGTCGCAGCTTGTCGAACTTTCCAACACTGCTTGAAGATCCATTTGGAGAGATCTGCGGGTGGCTTTGTGAACCGAAAGATCTGATAGCCACGTGTAGCTGCGGTCTGCTGGAAAAGAGGTCTCTTCAAGGCCAGCAATTCACCGCGCCGAGCGTTCATCTACCGTCCCAAATAATAGAAGGAGGCGTGCAGCCCTCTGCAGCCACAAGCCGGAGAGTGCCTCGATAAAGGAAGGAGCGCAAGTCGCCTCTACACAAGCGCAAGCGCAGAGTCCAGAAGCAACACTAGAAAAGCATCGAACGCTCCGTTCTGCACCGTCTGGGTTTTCGGTAGCTTCGATCAACCTGCTCAATATTCAGGAGCGCAGGCTATTCTAGTTTGCGTTTCCAGCACAAACGGGAGCAGTTCCAGTGCTGAGTGATGCATCCTGAAACCAAGAAGGCGAATAAAAGTGAGGATCTGCGACGAATAGCGAGTCAATGACGTCGAATGGATTCTGTGAGTTGTTGCGACGGGCATTTGGTTTGCTGTTGAGGAAGCTGTCACTGCCAAAGATAGAGCGCGGACGCACGAGCAGAGGGGTACGGGAATGTAAAGATGAAACCCAACTATTGGAGTGGAAGGGCCTCTGGAGCCGCTGGCCGCGCTCCGCAGCGACAGTCAGTGGCGGGCCACTGGCGGCGTTTTGGGCTGTCGCTGATCAACCGTTGGAGCCACCAAAAGCAGTGATCTAGAATTGGTTGTCAAGGCGCGGCTGCTAAGTCGACACGCGTTGAATATATGGGTCCGCATTCCCTCACAGGGCCATTGAACACCTATCCCCTTTCCTCCTGCTGCATGTGCTGAACACTCGTTCCCTTCCGTTGCCTTTTTTCCTGTCTCGTCTGTTTCGGGCAATACTGCGCTCCTCCTGCCTGTTTTTGACTTGCATCATCACCGATATTGATCGATACAACTTCCCTGCACACGGCCCAACGCTCGCTATCACGACACCCCCGCCTGGTCGGGCCTCTATAACACCGCAACCGCAACAATGAATGTGAACAAGAAATTCGGCCGCTTCAAGCAATGGGCCGGCGAGAAGATGGGCGGCGAGGCCCGCACCGGCACCTCAGAGGAGTTCAGGGCGCTCGAAATGGAGATGGAGCTGCGTCATGAGGGTATGCAGCCAGCCGCTGCCCTGCAGCAATTGTGCGACTTTTTGATGCTGACAGTGCACAGGCATGGACAAAATGCAGAAGGCCATGGGCGTCTACGTCAAGTCTATCTCGAAGCGCGCAGAGGGCGCCGACAAGGAGAAGCAGCTCCCTGGCGGCCACTTGGGCTCTTCCATGGTCACCCATGGCGAAGACTTTGAGTCAGACTCTGAGTTTGGCAACTGTTTGTCTTGTACGCAGACCCGTCTTCTGACCTGCCAATTTGTTGTCACTAATTGCAAGCAGCTCTCGGTCGCGCGAACGAGCGTCTTGCTCGCGTGCAGGAGACATATGCACAGGGCGCTACGTCATCCTGGTTGGAGGGCCTTGATCGCGGACTCATTCAGATGAAAGAGTACCAGGTATGGCAGTCTAAATGACTCAGGAGCATCTGGTTGCTAATTGACTACAGAATGCACGCAAGAAGCTCGAGACACGCCGACTAGCCTACGACACCTCCCTCGCCAAGATGCAGAAGTCGAAGAAGGAAGACTTCCGCATGGAAGAGGAGCTTCGAGCACAGAAGGCCAAATACGAGGAGACCAGCGAAGACGTCTTCCGCAGGATGCAGGACATCAAGGAGGCGGAGGTCGACCTGGTGCAGGACCTATCGGCTTTTCTGGAAGCAGAGCTAAGCTACTACGACCGCTGCCGCGAGATCTTGATCAACGTCAAGCGCGAGTGGCCAGTCAGGTAAGCAAGCATTGAGCTACAGAGAGACCGGATCATGTGCTAACACATTCCACAGAGAGACAGCACCCAGTCGCACTACGCGCTCGCGCTCGAACACAGCCCACGGATATGCAGAACGCTTCAACCCAGTCGAAGAAGAGCCTGAGCCGTCGCCTCCGCGTATGACCATTCCGAAGTTGGCTTCCCGCAGCCGCTCTCCAGCCCCTGATATGGCCGGCTCTCCCGGAGGTTATGCTCTACGTCCCGCCCTCAGCCGTACTTCGACACATGACAGTTATGCCAACGGTCGTGACGACTCCCCTGCTCGACGATTGACACGCGTCCCGACCGATTCTTCCGTTATTTCAAGCCGAAACAATCTGCGCCCGGTCCGCCAGCAGAACGCGTTCGCTGACGATTACGAGGATGACGAATACACCGGTTCTGGCAGCAACTACAGGCGCGACAGATCACCACCCAGCCCTGATCGATCTTCTCAGGGTAGTGGCAATGTCATGTCGCGAGCAGCGAGCTGGTCTCAAAACGATAGCGGTGCTGCACCCGGCGGAAAACGGGCACCTCCTCCACCTCCTTCGAGGGCGAAGAAGCCACCACCACCTCCTCCTCCGATGAAGCGAAGTGCGTTGAGTGAATCCACAGTGACACAATACTAGCACAGCATATTTATCTCTTTTCTTTGCTGTTGCTAACATTTTGTTTGTATAGGGCCCATGTCCGTGTCCGGCAGAGTCGTCACTTGGTAAAACCGATTCGGCAGCGAATGGCGGAAAATTGGCTCTGGATAAGACTGCGCTGCAGTCTAGGCGCAACAGGCGTTGCATTTCATTTGTTCGTAAGACCACTTGTCTTTCATATCACACGGCGTTCTGGGAGCGATCATTGCGCAAAGAGGGCACATGTAGTAAACTTCCAAAACACAACATTATACCAACTTTCACAAGATATGGAGGACCTCGACCCTGTGACGATGATACATAACCGACCCACCCACGCCCCTTCCGTAACGACCGTGCTACTCGTACACCCGTATCCTGGACCCACGATATACGAGCCGATCGCATGCGTATCAGTCAACAATAGGAAATCTATAAAAAGTCGCTGCTTGATCGGGTTTCTAGTTTTCATACTTGGGTTGCGGGTTGGGAAAATTCCAGTTTTCCTGCTCTGCGTCAGTACACACATCCCATCTAACAGAAACATTAGTAGTACTCACCCATTGCTGCAACCCTCCATTCGGACTCGTAGTCCCAAAATCCCCACCTCCTTGCAGCCCACTGTCTACAGGCACAAAGATCGCATTCGCATCGTGCCCGCCGTTGTTACTCCCCATATTGCTGAAGATGTCGAAGTCATCCGGGTTTCCCCCGCCATTCAGACTTCCCAGGATACTATCAAAATCCACATTCAACCCGTCCAGCGTGCTCGTGCGCTGCAGCTGGCCTTGCGGACCCTGTGGCAACCTGGGTGTTTGCCCGACGTAATTCGGGCTCGTGGATGAAAACGTGGGTAATGGCTGCAGCGTGGGGTGCTGCTGCGGCGCGAGGTTCTGCCGCTTCTTGTTGAAGCCTTTCATCACGTAGAATGCCTCGAGGTTCTCTTTGACGGTCCAGAGAAGATCAGAACATCGCTCGCGCACGCCGATCCCGTAGCAGTGCCCGAAGATGTGGTCGATCATTGTCATCATGCGGTCCTTCCTTGGCAAGTCAGGCGTGCGATATAATTCTGTGAGGAGCAAAAGGACCGCGTGGTACTGCTGGTATGTCGTCGAGTACCAGGCCCAAGAGCTCAGCGAGGGGAGCGTGTCGAGCGTTGCGCCGATTTCGAGGGTTGTCAGGGCCGCGGTGAGCAGTACATCGCGCAGGCGGTTTTCGGACTCTGAGCGTGGTTGTAGAGAGGTTTGCGGGAGGTGGCGATACAGCAGCATGGAATCGCAGCGCGACATGAGCACGGTTGCGACGAGGCCAGCGTACCGCTGGATGGGGACTGTGGCGTCGAGGAACTGCAGGTATTTGCTTTGGATTTGGCGTTTTCGGGCTTCGACGCGGGCGCGCAGGTCATGCAGGGTGATGTGTTTGCGGTCCATTTCGATTCTGCCGCGGAAGATCAGGCGGTGGATCTCATTGCATTCATAGCGTATGAGTGAGAGAGTGACGTCTGTCCAGCCGTGCACCGAAGTTGGGTTTTGCTGCCATTGTGAGGTGCCGAATTCGAAAACATCGTCGTTCACGTTCAGCGGTAGTGCGATGTCGACGTCGTCTGATCGAATGGATGGGTGAGGACCTTGCGCTTCAGCTGTTTTGAAGTCAAGGAAGCATATCTGATACCAGAGCAAGGATCTAACGTGGCGCTGCAAAGGCGTCAGGCTGGTCGCAGAGCTGTGGCTAAGACGGTGAATGCCTATGCACTGTGCCAGTCGTACGAGTGCGCCTACTACGACAGAGGTAGCTCTAGATATTTGCGCTCTGCAAAGGGGGATCTGGCCGATTTAGTGTCGAATCACAATCTAAGAGACTAGAGTCCTACCAAGTATATCGTCAACGCTTGAAGCGTTCTGATATTTGATGTCTTTGCCCAGTTGGCGCGTAGCAGAGCTCGTTCGGTGGCTTTTTGCAGCCTTAGGAACAGGTCTTCCTTGGTGATGCCAAACTGCGACTTTGCTTGCAGCGGGGATACCGATGCAGCTGCAGCCATGCACACTGCCAAGATCAGAGCGGTGCACGAGTTCTGGTTCGGGCTGCCAATTTCAACATGCATCCAGAACCGCTCGAAGAGCCGTTTGAACGAGGGGATGTGCAGAACATGGGCCATGGGGTCGACAGCATCCAAGTAACGCTGAAAGAGTGCCTCAGCCTCCATCTTCGTTGGCAACTGCGGGGCACTGATATCGTTATTGCTGTGTGCAGATATCGAGCCACCGAGCAGCAAATTTAATGCCGGCGCAAGTGACGGCATCTGCTCTGCCGACAGAAGCGCAGATGACTGCGATTGCCTCTGGCCAGCAACTGATGAGATTGAGGCATTGCGCTCCGAGAGGAGCTTGCCCAGCTACACGTGACATTTCAGCGACCACACCTGATGGGTCCTGCGGGCGCAGGTGGATAGAGCGGACAATACCTCTTCGGCATATTGAGGGCGAAAGAAGCCAGTCACATTTTCGCAGATGATCATCCTTCCAATCCTGATGGTAAGGTCTGTCGCGATCTGATCTTCGTCATCGTTCTCATCCTCGTAAACATCGTCCTGGGTTTCTTCAGGCTCTGCCGGGAGTCGCTCCCATGCATCTCCATCGACTTCGACATCCTGCTGGTACTCCTGCCATTCGTAGTCTCTGGGCGGGGTTCCTGGCGTAGTCGTGTTGACCGAGTTTGGATTCTCGTATGGATCATGTTCAGGCACGCTGGTGGAGCTTTGCGTACGCACTGGGATGTTTCTAATCCAGTCCGGTACAGTAACATTGGATCCCGATTTTGATGATGCGCGTTCCCTCTGTTCCCTCTCTTTCTTGCGCGCCGCGCTCTCCGGGACGGTGATGAAGACACATTCGCGACCAAAAGCCGTGCAATTCTGGCAGGGGTGCGTTTTCGAGCATCGCGACTTCCGAGTTCGGCATTCGACGCAGGAATTAATTGGGCGTGGATTTCTTCTGCGAACCACTCGAGACTGCAATACTGATCCTTGTTCTGGCATTGCTCATATGCTCCATCTCTTAAGCCATGTCCTGGAGAGTTGTTGAGGGTTTGCGAGGGCTAAGAGTGGCACGTTCGAGTCTAAAGGGTGGCTGACGATCACGCTAAGAACTGTGGGGTGAGCCGCAAATGGGATCGCGTTCGAACAAAGCTACGAATTTCCTTCGCCGCCAGTCGGAGCGACGCAGGTACCACGATGCATATGTATACAATTGATCACCTGGATATCAGGCTAGCTCTACCAGGCATGACCGGATATAATGACGCGACAAGATGCTCCACTTGCGGCGAATTATGTAGTCGCGATTAGCAAATGCCTCACATATCCCACCTCGTTCAAAGAGTGCGTTCGCAGCAAACACAGAACACAACGAATGTGGTCAAACACTTGAAGGCAGCCATCACAATGCATGGTTGAACGACATCTGTGAGGCATTTATGGCACCAATCGCTGGGAATGTCGGCCACAAGAGCCTGACGAGGTTGTGAGATTAACGACAGAATGCGGGTTGGCTACCCGTATTGGCGAACAGCCACGAACTCCTAATGCATCCATGACATGGCTCTTAATCAATTGAGCCCAACAAACGAAATATACCACACCAACCATCGAATCGCGACCGGTAGATTATCGGCGAAGACGTGAGTCACAGAGCCGTTACCTGCCTACTTCCCGTCGCAGCCGAGCTGCGGCTGAAGTGGCCGGAGGCTCAGGCCAAGACTCTACTGCATCCTCGACCTCTTCCAAGAACGAGGTGCTGCTGTGCACAGTGGTTCCGCCGAGAACTACACGGACGCCGGGAGAACTCGCGTTCACTTGCGCTACCATCTTGGCTTCTTCATAGGTTGTTCCGCCTACCATAAACACAATAATGTCCTGCGGTTTGTCCTTGGTCGTCCCACCGCCTTCCACGAACGGATACAACTGCTGACTTAGGCGCCCCTTAATCATGTCCTGCAGTGTGGTTTCCAACCGAGGAGAATGCTGAGTGTATACGTTCTCGACACCCTTTAGTCCCTTGAATCGATCCCTAGCACCGCCAAAGAAGGATCCTGGTTGGAAGAGATCTGGCATGCCTCCTGCTGCTGCTGCGGATTGTAAAGAGTCGTGGTAGGTGAGAAGTTTTGTGATGAGGTTGATGCGGTTTCTTGATAGGCCTCCGGCTACAACCAGCAAGTCTAATAGCATAGCAGTTGAGTTGGAAGAGTTCTTGTGGTAGCGCAGCGCATAGATAGCAACGAGTCGCAGCTTATTGTTCGCTGGGACTTTGGGATCCTGGATGATCTTCTGCAGTGACTTTACGTCGTTCGAGTGGTTGTCCTGACATGCGAGACTCTGCTCAAGCTCACTAATGTCCAACAGACTTTCTTCGCCGACTCGTCTGCTAAGTTCGCCAACGAGAGTTACGTGTTTCGTGACATTGCCGGACAGCTTGCGGAACTCTGGAAAGTCTTCGATAAAGCGCTTCATGTCTGCGATTGAGTCCAGCTTCTGTGTGCCCTGTTGTTTCGAAGCAAACTGTTCGACGTATTCCTTTGCATTCTGTCCCAGATCACCGAAGTTCAGGTACATGTTCTTCTTGAAGAACGGATCTTGATCCTGGGAGAGAACGATTTCTTTCATCTCTGGCCGTATTTCTGGTACGTCGCGTAGGTCTACTCTGCCGTTGTTGATGCCAAGCAGCTCGTGAACCATGGCTTGATAAGTCCATTGTGTGAGTAGTGGTGTGACCGGGTCGTCTCTTCGATCGACGATGAGTAAGATGGGCGGTGTATCAGTCTTCCTGAAGTCGAAAAGTTGCTCTTCCTGCGTCATATTGTATCGAACCTCCGTCGCCAGCTTCTTTACAAGCAGACTATTCTTCTGGTATCGAATCAACGGCTTCTTCTTCAGCGAAAGAAGTAACGCCAGGACAGCTTCGGTCGACCTTTGCAAGGAGTTTTGGTTCCACGAATCTGGACTTGTACTCCATATCCGGTGATCTGGGAAACTGAGATTCAGCGACATGAGGTCTGGATTGATGACAAAGAAGTCGGCAAAATACTCCTGAATGGCGCGCACGACCTCGTGATCATCTGCTTCGGCCAGCCGTTCGAGCGACGACTTCTTGATGATGTTGCTGAAGTCTATGCAATATCAGATCTCCCACAGATCCCCTGTAGTCTCGATATAACCCACATATGTTGTATTCCCCGTATTTTGGGTCCCGCAACTCCTCAATCAAGCTCTGTATCGACTCTGGCGACGGTCGCACGAAGCATAAGCACCGAAGATGCCGCATCTTCTCTCGTTTTTGGTTCTCTATTCGGCTGTTCCGTTGTCAGATATGTCCTATCGTGTGCGTGGGTGGGTGAAGGTACTCGGTAAGGTAGACTTCATGGGTGAGGAGGGCGGACTGCGTCGTTGCAGAGGACACTATCGACACCTAGATCCTGTAAACGCTTGATCGCACACGGCCCTGAAGGAGGAGACAAACCCACAGTCTCATTATCGAGTAAGAGGATCTTCATCTTGGCTGCAGATGTGCCAGTCGCAGCGCTATCTCCGACTGACACCATCTTGGTGATGTAGCCGGAGATGGCCTGTACAATATCCATATTGAGGTTCGATATCGTCCGTCCACGCACACGTCGTTGTCAGTTACGCAGGCTTGTGTTTTGTATATGAAGTTCGCAGATCCTTGTTGACGTCGTTGTTGGAGCTATGTCGGGGTACAGCCAGATCGGTGCGGGCCAACACCGCGGAAGTTGACTAAGCCGAGCTACCAACTGCACCAGCACCTTTCAACGCCAACAATGGACGCGAAGCAACAAAGTGTAAAGACCCTGGATTGCGTTCAGTGCATTTTCATGTCGGACTCGCGTCTGTCGTTGTCTACAAGCGCGCGGACAGGCTCTCCGCGACACCCTCCCCGCTGCGGGGAACCTATTCTCTCAGCTGTAGCCTGTAGCTTCATCGCAGCCTCAATGGAGTTGTCTCGGGTTACGCCGAAGGCCTTTTCTGCCTATTGACGATTACGATCTATTTAACGGTTGAAATTTCTCGTCAGATTGCTTGTTCAAGAGTTCCGCAACTTGTAATTGACCCTCAGGCCGCGGTACCGTGGTGAATCGCTACTACCTCGTGGTGACGTAGCCACCTGCTGCGTAGAAATTCTCACGTTGTGGGGATAAACACATTTCCTCTCCTGACCTTTTACATAACAACTACAAGAACCTTTCGATATTTCGCTACTCAACGAAAGAAGCCACGCTATCTCACACTTGGGTTTACGAACGATTTGTGCCCAGGCATCAAACGTTCTATCACTACCACACACAATGACGAAGCTCTTCATGTAAGCTCTAGCATCTATACTACATTATAAGCTATCATTGATGACAGTACAGTACAGGTGCCACTGGCTATATCGGAGGCGACGCTCTTTACGCAGTAGCTAACACCTTCCCTGATCTTGAGATCACAGCACTTGTCCGAAACAGCGACAAAGGTGCAAAGGTTGCAGCTCAGTATGCCAAAGTTCGGCTGGTTTACGGCGACCTGGACAGCACTGAGCTACTTACCACTGAGGCCTCCAAGGCCAACATCGTACTTCACTGCGCCGACTGCGATCATGTAGGCGCTGCTACAGCTCTGGTTGCAGGTCTTTCCAAGAGTACCATACCCGGCCCAAGCTACCTCATCCACACCTCAGGTACCGGTGTGCTATCATGGGCCGATTTTGAGGAGAAGACCTATGGATACCACCGCGAGCACACCTACGATGACTGGGACGGCATCAAGGAAGTCACATCCCTTCCTGACGCAGCACTCCACCGCAATGTCGACAAGATCGTACTGGAAGCCAGCAAGGGCGCAGGTGAAATCAACACAGCCATCGTCTGCCCGCCATGCATCTACGGACCTGGACGTGGCCCAGACAACCAAAACAGTGTTCAAGTTTACAAGTACTCTGCGGCTACACTGAAGCGCGGCAAGGGCTTCATCATCAACGAGGGAGCCAACATCTGGACTGAGTCACACGTCCAGGATCTCAGCAATATTTTCCTTGCGCTCGTCACTTCGGCCATGGAGCCTAACGGTGGCAAGGCAACATGGAATGACGAAGGCTACTACTTCTCCGAAACTGGTACCTTTGCTTGGGGTGACGTCGGGAATGCCATCGCAAAGATCGCTCACGAGAAGAAATTGATTAACACAGCCGAGGTCGACACGATCACCGCTGACGATGCGGACAACCTGATCCCAATGGGCAGCTACCTGTGGGGTACAAACTCTCGATGCAAGGCCCAGCGTGCCAGCAAGGTATTGGATTGGAAGCCACAACAGAAGAGTTTGATGGATCTGCTACCTGGTATCGTTGAAGGCGAGGCCAAGAAACTAGGTCTGATCAAGGGCCACGCCGTGAAAGCTGCTGGAGACGCCTAGGAGGAGGTGCTTGATGCTATAGAAGCCGGGCAGGTTCCCGCTACCTGGGGAGAAGCCTACAGAATTAAAGCTGCTGCCGCAGAATTGAAGCGAGCTGTGGGTGAGTCGTTGCCTAGCAAGATCTAGCTACTTCGCACTTTTGTTCTTATTCAGATTGGACCTATGGATGTAAAGGATCAGGCGGTTTGGTTCATGAACTCCATTGAATTTCAAATGCTATCGTTATGCAACATGAAGGTCAAAAGCGACCTGGTATCTCAATCTCTATCTACATTCTACCTCATCCAAGCTTACAACTTTTGCGCACAGCAGTCCCCATCCTTCGTAACCAGCACACTCGCCTGATTCTTCTGGCTCGGGAAGTCAATCGCCGGGTTCCTATCAAAGAAGTCGCTAGGCTTGTAGTGCAGCTGGTAGATCTCACACGGCATAACCGGCCAGTCCTCAACACGCGGGTTGTGTGTAAGACCAAACACGTTCCAAATAACCAAGTCCTCGTTGGCAACCTCGTCCTTGCGCGCGGCCATGTCGTGCACACCGCCCTGCTCGAGCTGACTCTGCAGTGTGAAGCGACCGGCGGCGTACAGCTCGTCGTCCTGGTACTTTGTCACCCAGACATGGTGGTTTGTGAAGAGCGCGCGCTGGGCCTGAATGGAGCCCGGTGCTGCGAGCAGTTTCTGAGTGGGGAGGGGAGTGAACTTGTAGCCCACGGGGTTGCCGCTGTGAGGGTTCTTCTTCTCCTGGTTGATGATCTTGAACACACGGTGGTCTGTCGGGTTCGCATCGAGACCGGCCGAGCGATTAACGACCGTCTTACGGATCTCGTAGAAGTTACCGTTAGGGTTTGTTTCCTTGTCCCATGGTGCTGGGAGTGATTCCTCGTACGTGACGGTGTTCTTGTGCCCGTCGATGGCGGGGTCGAAGCGCGCGGCGAAGATGTGCTGGTGGTTCTGGGCGAGGACACCGCCGGAGACGACGTTGCCGTATAGGGAGGTCTTGCCCGGGTCGATGTTGACGGTCGAGACGATGCCGGTGGCTCGGACTTCGAGGGTGATGCCGCCTGCGGTGTCGAGCTTATAGGCGAAGACGTACTCGTAGTTGGCGAGTGTGATGATGAACTGGACAACAAGCTCGCGCATGCGGGTAACGACAGCGCGTCCGGTCCTCCAGTTGGTGTGTTTCCAGCCGATACCGTTGTCCTGCTCGTGTAGACAGATAACATTGGGGTGGGCCTTAGGCTCACCATCGTTTCCGACGATAACGGCATCGAAGTACTTGATCACACCGAGACAATCACAGCCAAGGGACAGGTTGTTGGCGCAGTTACCAGCGCCTCCGTCACCGAAGTCGAAAGCCTGCTTGCGGTGGAAAGGTGGACGGGCATCGGCGTATGGGACAGTCATCTCACTGATGCTCATACGGTACATGATGCTCCTGCCATCGTAACGAACGTCGTGAAGTACGGCACCCTCACGAGGGTTGAAAGAGACGCGGAAGCTCCACTTTTGCCACTCGACGAGCGATTCGTCTGTGACTTTGAAGGAAGGACCCTCGGGCTGTGTGATGTTGATGGGCTTGACATCTTTGCGGACACCGCCTTCTACAAGCTCAGGAACGTACTCTGCGGACTGGCAGTGGTCGAGAATGCGAGGGGCATGTGTCTTGCCCGTGAGACTGTCTCCCTTTCCACCAGTTGCTAAGCGGTCGAGGCGCACAATCTCCTTCTTGTGAGCGTCCATGACCGGGATGAGAGGAAGCGGATATGCGTAGAAGTTGGAGTCAGGGTTGCCATTCCGGGTGTCCTGGGCGAAACAAAGACCTTGGAAGTATCTGCGATTCTCTGCGCCAAAGTCGAGTCCGCCATATGGCCTACTTTCAATCAGTGTGTGTTATGCAGAAAAGTGATGATAATACTGACCATGGCTCGACCACAAGCTCAAACCCTTCGGGAAGCTGGAACTCTGCAACCGCCTTTTGGAACTCCTCGCTCTTCTTGCAGGCTTCTACCAAGTCATTGAACTCCCACAGTGTCAAGCTAGCCTGTCCCTTCTCTTTTCCGACAATTTCGTGCCTCACGCGCTTCTTTTGCTCCACATCGATGATGGACTCGTTGTACTCTGGGATACGGTCGTTCCCAATAACATCGTACATGACCTTAGCCAACCTTGGTGGCCTCTTTGATGTGGGCGATTGGCCAGGTTGTGCTGCGTGCTCGGCGTCGAGGTAAGCCTTCATTACTTCCTTCTCCGGCTCTTGTAAGAAGATCTCGCGAAAGTTGACCAGGACATCTTTGTGCAGCGAGAGGATTGTGTCACGGGCGACACCAGTCTCCTCAGCACTGAGATTCTTGAACGGATGGGGTGCCATTGCGGCTAATGGATGGGGGTATGTTTGATGGAGAAATAGGATAGTGATCCCTTAAGCTCTGTAGTGATCGTAATGTATGATGGTCTGCTTCAAGCAGAAGAGAGAGACGTGGGCGAGGTAGTTGTACAATAAGGACACGAACAGAGGGAAGGCCACTATGTTATATAGCACGGAATGTCTCCAGGGTCGCGCGACACGTGTTTCCGATTCCGCGTCTACGAGACGCTATGAGATCGATGTGGGGTCGATAACGGTAGGATGGCGGACTTGACAGAGCGGCTCCAGGGCTACAGGCCCAGACTTCACTTTTGATGCGGAGAATTATCGGTTGTACCTCCTCGTTGTGGAAAGGCCCTTCTCACGGTGAGTTGCAATTGGGTGATATACGATAGGTACAAAATATGGTTCGTCTGACCGACGGCAAGCAGATCAATTATTCCATGCTTCAGAGATGCAGGTGTTGCAATCCAAGGTCTTCAATTGCAACAGTGGAAAGACGCGTTCGCGCATGGACCTTCCCAAAGGAGTGAAGCGCCACTTCTTCCATCCTCACATCGATGACTGTAAACGGTATCTACCGGTCGTAACTCTGCCTTGCCCGACCTTCTTTTGACTTCGTTATCATGATATGGATCATCATGTATAATGCAGCAGATTCAAGGAGTGAGAAGACATGAACTGGTCCGCAGCGGCATCGCTAGCGCTGGTGCGGAATTAGAGCCGCACTCATCTTGAGGTACAAGTAATTCTTATCAGAATCACGAACTCACGTGTACATATGCCTATAGTTCATACTCAGACACTTGTGTCTTGATGTGAACGTGATTGAGTGGTCACTAGGTAGTGTTTGATAGACAAACAAATCAGCTCCCAAAACTGCTGAACACACGCGCTAGACGCCCTAGATATCGTGAGATGTCTGTACAAAGAAAGAATTCTGAAATTCGACGTTCGCGCTTCCAGTGCAAACAAGCAGTTACCCCACATCTCGGACCTATATCGAAGCGAGACGTGGCTGATTCGCCTCCGACTAATACTCCATATCAAACGGTACGGACCCCGCGGCCGGAGATTACTGTAGTTATGTACAGCATGTAAAGATGCTTCCCCAACGGCTTTAGGCATGAGTGTCGGGTGTCCGATGTCAAACAAGCTTACATTGTCCATCATCAGACGGACGTTCGATTGTCTTTTCTCTGGGCCGAAGTCGGAAAGCCACTGCATGATTCCGAAATCCCATCCGCGGGGCCCGATGTAGATTCGGTATCTGCGACCTTCCTTCAACATCATGTCACAACACTGACAACTTCTTTTCAACTTCAGCGATTGCAAGCAGTATTAGAAATTCCTACCGGGATAACAATGTCATATAGAGTTCAACGAAACCCAGCACATCCCCAGCGTTGGGCACCATTTGACCGCACATCTGCTTCGAGCGTCATTCGATTCTACGCAGCACGTACAACATCTACGATGTCTTTCAATCACGTTGTGGATTTGAGGATTTGGATCCAACCCCACCGCAGATAATGTGTGTTCAGTAACTTAGGCTTGATGGCTTCTTTCGTATCAGTACAAGCCAATACGTTCTTTATTCTCATTTAGTGCAAAAGAGGAGCTCGGGGTGTACTCTAAGCAAGCAGGTGTAAGAACAGTTCCAAAGTCAGCGATTACTTCATCTAACTATGCCATAGGCCCGTCTGGACTCGTTGGGACTCATTGAAAATCACATTATAAGCGAAGATTGGTAGCTGTCCTGCCCGAGCTTTCAAGTAACACACCGTGGAAGGCCGCCTCTATCTCTGCGCCTGCGCCCCCATTGTCCAAAAGACTCTGTCCAAATATCGACGCAATTAGGTATGGTTTCTTCCCTGCCTGTGAAATGGACGGCGTCACACTTGAAATTTTGCGAACTGTCTGACAGTGCGGGTGGCCAGCAACCTTTACAATGAGCCAAGCTCGTATACAAGCGATACCAAGTACATGATACCTTTACAGGTCTATCGTCGCATAACGCGTCTAAGAGCTATATGGGTAAGCACGCGGGTCGGTTCGCGATCCAGTACATACGGCCTCCTGCCAAGTGGTCAAGCTCACTTTCAGCCTAGCGCAGCTGCATGCACATATTACCGAGCAGTCACAAAATAAACTTTACGCGCGACTATGCGAATCTGACGGAGGGGATCAATGAAGCACCCCAAGGTGCTATGAGCCACTAGAATGGTTCAGTTGCAACTCATCGTCGCCGACTCGAAGCAATTTTCTCGATTGCCATGCGGACACAATGAGGAAGTAGTGGAAACAGATTAGGAGCTTGCCGGAGTTAGTGACTATTGGATGACCATGTCAATGGCCTCACAAAGCACCCGTTTGAGAAAGGCATGAAAATACCTTTCGCATCCTGTTGCTGTTATGGGCGTGTAGCCGTAAGGTCTCATTGCAGACGCCGATCGGGTTGAAGGCTTGCCATCAGAACTCAAATTTGTACCGCCTCGTCAGCTGTTACCGACGAGTTCGATCTTCTGATGATGCAAGTTTCTGCCGTCCACGGGACAGCTATCAACGCGAAGAGAGAGAGAGACCGTAGGCTTGGCTGCCTCAACGAGAACCGCCGACCCGACAATTATGCTGTCCACAAGAACCCTTTACGAAAGATCTTCATCCAAAGTGAGAGGGTTCCCCCAAGCAATCGTCAAGGTAAATGTCGAATACCTTGAAGAGATACCAACTTGCCGATCATCAATTACTGTCAGAGTTCAGTGAAGAACTGTACGCAAAGGGAAGAATTTGAAGATTGTACTGAGGTTGTATTGAGTGAAGCTACGAACAGTATATATAGGTGAGTAGCTGTAAACAACGCTGGTGTGACGTGGCAGTCACTCTCATGGAGGTGAGGTACGACAGGCAGGAGCACCCCAAACCGTGACAATTACGGATGACCAAGTGGAATGATCTGCAACATTTCTTTCTACCATCACCTCTAAAACCATGCACCCTCGACTTCGCCCTTACTCTGAGCTCGCAGAAAGTTTTATACACTCCGGAGTGTCGGTATCGTACGTCAAATGGACGACTACTTGCAACGACCGCAGGTCAGTCCACACTTTTAAGTTGGCTCCATGCAATATTATAGCATCAACACAGCAGCTGCATCCATATACCGGTTGGTGCCATATGGTCTACAAGAGATTTGTATCATGTTCGTTAAGCAGACTGACATACCATTTTCATTGACGTAGAATTCAAAGTATATATAGAGCGTCCACACTCTGCCTGCAGTCCCCAAGTCGAACTACTCCTCTCATCACTACACAGGCAGTCAGCAAGAAAATCCCTAAGCTTATGATGCACTCTTTACGCGCAATAACTTTCCTGGGGCTTATGCTATCGACAGCAGCTCAGCGTCGTTTCTGTTCCGACGAAACGCCCCCCCCCCCCCAATAATTATTCTCCGTTAACCCTTATAAAAGCTGTCACGAGGCCGCCGTCGTAAGTGAAACTAGACACGGAGCAATTCAGAGAGCTTCAAACTCACCTACCATATTAGTATGCTTGTTAGTCGGGGAATGGCAATTTGCGTTGGATCCATGTTGAGGACTGTCCAGAATCTGACTAGAATCGTTACTGTTGAAATTCTAATGACAGCGATCGTGTTGCCGTTTGCCATAACAAACCTCCTTGTGACACCTGTTGAGGGTTTCTGGAAGGTACTATGTTGCGAGAGATAGTAGTATGTGGATATAGATTGTTCAGTAACGCGAAGGATTTCCATTATCCTGTTTTATGAAAACCCCACACATTCCATTCATTTGACACTAATTGTCCGCGCATATGCTTCAACCGTTTCTCGATATCCTCCAAGAAGCTGCTCTCAGTTCGTTGTTACCTCAGCCAACCATCACCGTCAACAATGGTACTATCCTGGAAGATGTCTAGACAGTGACTCCCTTTCGTTGAGTGTATCCTCAAAAATACTGGAATTGAAGGTACCGTTTGTAACGGTCAGGCTGCGGGTGACTTGAGCACACAAGCGCAAGTTGCACTCCAGGATGCCCGGAGTTGACAAATTGCGCCAACCCTGCCTATCTGCAAGTGCGATCCTAGCAATAGTGCTATTGATGGGCGCCTCCAGACGTTCCATGGCATCGCAGTCTTTGGAGAGCGGCTTGAGGGCGTTAGAGTTGAAATTTGTATAGGACCCACCCCCTGAACTTTGATGGCTACTTACACGGATGAAGGAACCAGAAGGCGTAGCATGATTGCAAAGGTATTGACTGCCACTTTGTCCACATGATATTTTAGTGTTGGACGTGACGTTCTGACAACTGCTCGTGACCACCAGAGTGGAAAACTAGTCCCACTGACAATTTCCTGTAGTGCAGGTAAACTGAATTGGAGAACACAGAGTATAAAGACCATTCAGTACTGCACCCTGCATACTCGGAACCATCGTCGAAGCTAAGGTGGTCTCAGATCGAAAACTCGAACGCCCGGTCTTGTGTACTCACTAATCAGTTCTGTCGCCCCTCTATAACCTAAGGGTTGGCCGTATGCGGAGTCATGTATATGACTGGTGTAGAATGTTGCTTCGCCAGAGATCACGGATCTTGGAGGATACGAAAGCACCTGTTGCGCAAATGGTTCCATAACTAGCGTCAAAATCGTGATGACAGAACCCCAGGTTACCAACTTGGTCTTAATGTGGAGTCTCCAGATGAGCTCCAAAGATCCCTACGGACCCTGACTAGCATCTTCAAACACCTGGACTTTGCGCAGGGGCCTTGAGGTGTCGACAAGGTGTATCTACTTGAGCTGACTTATGCAGGAAGCAACGGGAACCATAAGAGCTGTTCTCGACAAAGTGGAAAGAACAGCAATCAGGGTGTTGAACGTGATCCCGAAGACAAATCCCCAACTTGCGAGTGATCTAGTGTCGTTTGTTGCGAGTACACCCACAACAGCTGCAAAACATCCCAAATTGAAGATAGAAGCGCCGAATTCCCATTGCCTATCTCTAGTACTGAATTGAGGAGGCTTGCTCAGCGGATTTGAGACAACTTCGCTTGTGTAGAACTTTTGTATCGATGAGCCGGAAGGGTAGCGCGCCATTGTTGTTGATTCTGTAAGACTCGGTACACTGTCATCGACGCGACGATCTGTTATGTCGTTCCCAAAGTACAAAGTCGAATCGTATTCGGCATCCCGCAACGCATACGGCGCATCAGGCCTAAGCGAGTTCGAACCAATATGTGTCGATGGCATATTGTCCAGCTGATGGCACTCCTGGTTGTGTGATTGCGAGAAGTTGTTGTGAGTATGCTCCATGGTCACCGAAAAGTTGACCTCGATCCCAAGGCGGGGCAGGAGGAGCCACAGCCTGAATATAATGTAGAATCCACATCTCTCTTGAGCCTAAGGATGTTCAGATTGCCAGGGAAGGGGCTAAGATCAGTTGGCTGCCTTATTGATGTAACGCCGCAGATAATAGACCAGGTGTGGAAGGATTGAGATAATTGTGTTGATTGATCTTGAGAGCTATTGGCTGGAACCGATCGAGACTATATAGTAGAAGGAGATAGCAGTGAAGAGTTAGGGAAGCAACCCAAACTAACCGAATGAGCTGGACTATCAGTGCAGCGGGCCGTTGGCAAACACTGCAACAGGCCGCTGGTAGACACTGCAACGGACCGCTGGCAAACACTGCAACGGACCGCCAGCAAACACCAGGCGTGGCTGACAAGCGCATGGGTTAGACGAAGCTAAAGGATGCGAGCGTTGTTGGAAGGAGGTTCTGGCGGATACCGACTACCACACTTACTAGCGTCTGTTTATTTAAGCAACTTCCATAGCTGAGATGAATCGATAACTCTTACACCCAACAAGCGTCACACAGCGTGAATCAGGATATAAGTGGCAAATCATTGCTGACTTTTATCAAAAAACTGCATCGGTGGTTTAGTGGAACTATCATTGCCCTGCCATATATAGAGAGTTTTGCTTGCGCTGTTTTGCCGGGGTTTGATGTATCTTTCTTTCTGGTTTTCGATTCACAATTCGGCTTCGGTGGCGCTCCCCGGACGATGGCTTGGCGCAACAAAGATGGACTACGAGAATTCATTTTTGGAAAACTAAGAGCGATCAACGGAACGACGCGTGATCCATATGCCGGCGCCTGTAAGGCGATGGGAGACAGTGGCAGGAGACAGTGGCTCGATGGATGAACCCATCCTAAATGTATGCTGTTCTGAAGCCAGCCTATTCTGAGTTCATTATATATCCCTTTACGATTCGAAGTTCGAGAACAACGCGACGCCAATATGTATCAGTTCGATGACATTACAGCCTTAGCCTGCGGCAAAACCATACCTGTGTCGATTGAAGAAGCGCTGAGGCGTACGAAAGGGAAGGTGTGAAGCGGCTGCTTAGACTTTGGAAAAGGCAAGACCCAGATTACACAGTCTGCGTATAGCTCAGCTAATGCATTCAGGTTTGCTTTCAATCTTCCTCTTCCTTATAGAGAGGCTGAAGTCGCTGCGCCTTCCAGTCTGAGATACGATTCTGTTGGGGATCGTGAGTGATCAGTACGCTGTGGGAAGAATTGAAGGATTGAACTGAGGTTGTATTGGGTGAAGCTACGGACAGTACATATAGGTGAGTAGCTGTAAACAACGCTAGTGTGACGTGGCAGTCACTCTCATGGAGGTGAGGTTCGACAGGCAAGAGCGCCCTGAACCGTGACAGATTCCGTGGGTTCAAGCATACATGGCGTGGAGTGAAGACTGGGAGAGACAGGATCAGTCACCGAATCACTGTTACAAAACTTCTGAAGGAGTTCCAACAGATTCAACGCACCATGCGTCTAGTCAGACAGTCAAGAGATAGCAGTTATTAAAAAGGTGTTATTCAAAGACAAATGAGCACTAGAGCTGGCGGTGACTAATCCCTCTTACAGTACATCAAAGGCCTCGCAAAGACAGCAGGCGCCTCAACTGCTATGAGGCCCAAGTCTGTGGCCTATGCCCTTGATGCGGACGAGATACAGTTCTCTCTGTGGAACTGCTGTAAACGTGTGTTCGCGCATCCACGTATGATGGTACAGTTCTCGTTCTGGCTTCATGTTGTCTCTGTCTGGGTCTACGAACAGGGGAAGTGACAGATTCTTTGTCCCATCGCGGTTCCAACGAGCGTGTTCACTATGGCGATGTTACCATCAGCCTTGTAGCAAGGGACTGCCAGCTTCGGTACCAGATCAAGATCGCATTACGGAATCGCAAATTCCCGAGAGACAATGAGAAAAAGATGTAGGTTTGCTTGGAGGTGTTATTGTTGTTCTACAAGCTGACTTCTGCTAGAAAAACTGTCAGGGAGCGTGGAAAGTACACATGTGCGGAAATATTGAAGGATTGAACTGAGGTTGTATTGGGTGAAGCTACGAACAGTATGTATAGGTGAACGACAGTAAACAGCGCTAGTGTAACAAGGAAGTCACCCTTATGGAAGGTGAGGTACAACAGGTGAGGTACTCCAAACCGTGACAAATACTGTAGGGAAGCGGGGATAGTACGCATGTGGGCAGGACTGAAGGATTGAACTAATTATTCTACATGCTACGGAGGGGAGCTATACATAATGAAATGTCTACATTGACGTCGTGTAGCTGTCAACATGTAGTCGTGCGACGTAGCAACCAATTAGCAGATAAGCTCCCGTGCGGCTACATGGAGGCCACCTGTTTCTCTGAAGACGAGGGCTTCTACGAGGATGTTAGCGATGCACCCAAATATCCCGAAAAGACTAGGCTACGAGAGATTGTCGTAAACAAGATGAACAATTTATCAAGCTGTTGTGAAGAGCCGCTAAAGGATATCGCCAACGTCATACCACAGTTGCTCCGGACCGATCCATAGCAACGGCTGACTGCTGGGAAACTCGTCACCATGCTGAAACACATCGACAATGGTGAGACAGCCTAGTGAATTCCATCGATTCGAGCGCTGCACTCTATTCAGAACAAACTTCTCTTTGGGCCTGATGGATGTTTCTGATTCCGACTCGGACGGCTCCACTTTCGGCGACATGGTGTAAGGTCCAGCGGCCCACTGATGATTAGTGGAGTTCATGTGTGGATGCACGGCATCTAAATCTGTTCTTGTTGTGTACACAATCTGTGTTTTCCCTCCTAGTTTGTGCCACATCCATACCTGTTCTGATTCGGCGCTCTGCATGGCGTTGGGTGGGTTTCTATGACGGTTCTGAATACAATAGGTATCAGGTAATGGAAATTGAGGTTCACTGAAGTTGAATTGAACTAAGCTGTGTGTTTAAATAACCATGAGGACAGGGAGGTTTGACCGTGAAACTGTTGTGTTACCGTAGGCATTTGAAGGAGTACCATATCGGTCCGTTTATACTCCACCTCACTGTACTGAACTCACTATACTGCGACAGTTTCTTTGTGGAAGCACTGTACATGGGTCTCCATGACTTATCAATTCATCACTGTTTTGCGGTAGGCTCGTTCGGAAGGCGAATATATAATGGCTGTGGTGCTGCCCATTTTACAACACTTGCTTACAGACAGTGGAGATGGTGAAATAGTGCACAAAGGTGAGGTGATGGATGGTGTGAAGTAATGGTACTGAAAGATGCAATGTGAGTATGGAATCAAACCTCCTTCGCTAATTCAAACGCCCATCTCCATTGCCCACTTGTTTGTGTAGCTTCGATTTCGATGCAATATACGCAGATGGTGAAGACCATGTTGAACTTGTGGAGCTCTTCTTATGTAGACGTAGGGCGTATGCTCACTCCATCAAGTGATCGCCCTCCACGACGCCTGGCTTGTTGTGTGTTCTGTGCACGATGCGGAAGTAATTGGCTTCAATACAGCGCTTTAGTGTTGAACTCGAAGATCGATTTCGCAAAGTTCGAGAGTTCTCTATGACATGTTAGTATAGACTGGCACCTTGGTGGATAGCTGTCGATCGACTTGCCTCGTCAAGCCAATCAGGCGCATCGAGGTACCATTTATTGAATTTCCACTGCTAAGTGTTAACATCTGACTTTTGATATTACAGGTGGATGGGAGAGCATACGCTCAGTCGATAGCTGCCCAGTGGAAATCTCTTGCTGCAAAGCTCTAGAAGTTTATCGTCATCGATGTATCGGTCCTCGATGATCTGTGGTGAGGGACTTCTGGGGGCTGGCGCGGGCCGCTCAGGAATTGGGTTTTGAGTGACCTTCATGACCGCGGCAGCCATACTGACAGTATCTGGAATGTTACGAGGTGTCTTCTTTTGGAAACGCATTTTGCGTGACGTATCGAAAGAAACTGTAGTAGCTGCGACTAAGTATTCCGGTAGGTGGTGGGTCGGAGCACTGGGGGTAGTCATGAGAGGGGTGGAGCCCCAGAGGCAGTGTCAGGACAGCCTACCAAAAAGTCTACCCAGATCTTACTTGCTAATTACACTGCCACGTCGACTGGGCTGAGCTCTTGCAGTAGTCGTTACTAAAAGGCAGTGTCGACGCAATCTGCCTTACTCATACTCGAGACCTGCCCACTACAGGAAGGCCTTGCACTAGTATGCTACATGATAGCATGCGAGGGTGAGTCACTGGAAACGGGACAAATGATTTCTGCCTTCGATGTATAGATTTCTGATCTATGTAGAGGCGAGCCAGCATGATCCGAAGAATGACGATCGTTAAATGTTTCAGTCGAGCATATTCTCAACGTTGCACATGGTGTCCACCTCTGCAAGTAAGTTGACAAGGCGTATTTCTAGAGGATCTGGTGTGCAAAGTGTGTCGTCCGATGCCTGATGTGTTGGCGATGCATGAATATATCGTTAGCCTGCAGTCTGCGGGGCGCAGGGCATTACCCCAGGCTGCTTTCGAGCTACTGAACATGGTGGCGATGACTTGTCCAAAGTAGTCCAGAGCCAATGCTGTAGCTTTCAGAGCAGGATTTTTCGTTCTTGTAGCGGTCAGTCGAATGGTGGTGAAGAGGAAAAGAAAAAGATGCAGCTGCTGGTTGATGTGATGAACCACGCTAGTGCCTCATCTAGCTAGCGTTGGTGCACTTGCATGCGAGGACGCTTCTCAGCCTTCCCGCCTGTGATGCGCCCAACACACATCAGCATCATGCAGCAGCAAAATTCGTCGTCTTGTCTCAAGATCGCTCCCATGTGACGGCTTATGTTAACGCACTTCCCGGCAGAGTCGTCTACATGCAGTTTACCGACCCGGGATGATCATCGTCACCTCGTCTGAGATCAAACCCTCAAACACTTTGCGTCAACGCCATGGAAACATCTGAGTACTTCGAACGCACTTTGTTCTACGATAAAAGTCCTGATGCAAACGATTATTACGAGAGTTCTGCAGGACTAGTCTTCGTGGGAAATTCTACGGAGACACCTGTTGAAGTTCGAGTGCAATCATGCAGCAAGTTCCTCCAGATTGAGAAGACAACTCGCGACACAAACTCTGAAAACCGAGTGGTTATCAGCAAGGAAGAATACCCTGACAGTACAGAATCCGTAGACAGGCTGGAATACCACTCAGACCATCGACCTAGACAGGCAGATACCGTGCACGATGGTTGTTATCCATTCGCATACAAAGATACAAAGCTTTCGCCGGATTCTGCGAAGGACGTAGAATCAAACAGTGATGAAAGCCGCTCTGTGTTAAGCCGAGCATCCAGCACAACCCCACTTCCCGCCATAGACCAACGTCAAGGATCTTCAGGTCCTCCCCTCTATCCAGGCCGTCCAGAGCTCGCTGTTCTTCAGCTTGCGCCGAGTGATATCGAACGATTCACTCATGAGACAAGGAACGAGTTCCGGGTCTTCTACCTTCGACAGCGACACTCATATAGCCGTCTTTAGATCACAAAGGATCCATTTGAGCGGCTCCTTGATTCTTGTCATGTCTTCCTGCGGTTCACCGACTACGTTACTGGACTTTGTGCTAAGACCAGTGATTCTGAAGTGGGACCACCACCTCTGAAGTTCAGGCCTTTGCGCTCAATAAACGACAGCATGTATCGTGGATTTGGTAAGACGATCAGCGCCATCCTCCCAGTTCATGCGCTAACGTAGAACAGGCCAGTTCGCAGTCTATCATCGTTACAAGCCTGCTCAGAACAGTCCATGTTCGATGTGGATCTTGGCTGGGGTGTCGCAATGTACAGAGCCATGCCTCGATGGATACACACGAAGTGTCTGTGATTTGGCCGGAGCCAACCCCTTTGAGATACACATGATCTTCCTCGACACATGTATCACCAACTGGAGACCATACTTGGCTCATTTGACTCGACTGGTGAAAGAACAGGTATTCTTTTGGACACTGGTCCTCTTATGAAAGCTGATATGATCCAGTCTGGCAGAAGTTCTGGATTCATTTTGAGCGGCAATCAGAGCAAGAACCTCGTTACGATTACAGTCGAAGATCATCAGCAGTTGAAGGAGATTGAAGATGACGTAGCCGATCTTGTCCTATGTCTGGATTCTACATTGGATACCCTGACGTCCTTCATGCGTATGTATGAAGACTTTCGGCTTCACCGTCAGGAATCCCAAACCATCAACGAAGTTCAAAAGGCTTGTGTGTCCAAATGCAATGCCATAGTGGTTGCATTCGAGGAGAAAGCGCAAGAGATATCGTACAACCGCAAAAAGGCGGACAACTTACAGTCCAAGATTCAAAACACCAGGAAGCTTGTATGTGTAGTCCTACTGATAGGCAGGAAAGAAAGCTGACAAATCTATCAGGTATCCTCACTGCTCGAAAGACAGAGCGCTCACAATATCAACCAGCAGATAGGCGCGCTCGAAAGCCTCGAAAAACAAGGTCAGCAGGAGAACAGAAGCATGAGACAATTCACCGAAAAGAGCAGTCGAGACTCCTCCAGCATGCGCATCCTTACTATCATAACCATGGTCTACTTGCCTTGCACCATTGTCTCCAACTTCTTTTCGACACAATTCGTGAACCAGATCGAATCAGACACAGGGGCTTTCACACTTCAGTACGCCCAAAATACTTGGCTCTTTTTCGCGATATCAGTGCCCTTGACACTCTTTACCATTTTCGTGTGGTTTTTATGGGTCAGTCTGAGCACGTTTTTGGAGCACCACAATCGCAGGAGCAACTCTAACAGCGAGGAGTACATCGAGAATCTCCACTCAGCCAACATGAAAGCAGACAGGGCGTTTGCTAGGCTTCCATGAGGACCTACCTGCGTCGAAGGCTTGCATTAGTGCGAAACCAGTGGGGCGCAATTCACGGTGCATAGCTTAAATATTGACCAATTGCCAGAAACACCTATGCTCACAAGGGATCTGTCAGCCTGCATACAACAGTCATTGGGCTCATGGGCTGGAATGTCGTTCACAAGGCTGAGTGGAGCTCAACAATCTGTGCTACCATTGAAGAGCACCGTACCCCGAACTGATATGAGTGGTTGCATTGTAGCAGAGCCTTGGGCAGCATGTCACTTTAACGGTGCTGCGACCTGGCTAAGGTAATGGATCGCGTCTGCCATCCTGCAGCTGTCGGCAGAAGCGAACTGCACTTGGGACTGGCCAACTTCACGACAAGCACGTGCACCCCATCAAGTCAGCTCTGCACGTACATCGTCATTAACACAGCCCGCATTGACTACTCTGACCGGTCCGCTTAGCCAATCTATCCTTCAAGGTGAAGCAACCAATGCGGCCATGATTGCCGTTGTTAAGTACCACCACAGAGGTTTCTGTAGCGAACGACGGCTCGTTCTAACCAACTCTTCGGGGCGATGGCTGACACCGTCAAATGCGACCCTCCGCCATCACTCCATACGGACGTTTGCCTAGTTGCCTCTTTGCGCAGCCTTGCAAGCTCATAAGCTTGCGCTAATCTCCATGATGTTGTCGAAGTGGATCAACTGCGAATTTCTCCTTCATCGTATTTAGAACTTGTGCGACGCCGCATTGTCCCCTTACTATGTCCAAGCAACCGTCACCCATATTTGCGGATACCTACCAGGTGTTTACGTACATACAACATAACTTGTCGGAAACAGTTTTTCGAGGCGAGAGGCAGAAGTTCCTGCCAAAATCAGCGCTCGATAATGTTACCAAGAAGGACACAATCAAGCTCGTAGCTTCCGAGGATGAAAGTCTATTTCTTGAGGAAAAGGATCTGGACGAATTTGTGGAACATGTGGGCAGGGATGGCCCAAGATTGTTTGCGACCTGTGTACGGGCTGACTTACCGATGTCCTGCGTCCTTCTCTTGCTCAACAAAGGTTTCACAGATGCAGACATGCCATTGAGCGAAGACGATTGTCCCGGTCCCCGACTTCGAAAGCGATTTGTCAGCAGCTTTGTACCAAATCAGTCTCTGTTTAACACTGCATACTTTGACTTGGATACCATACAAATTCTTGACAACCTCACGAAGCCTATTGCTTTCGATGAGAGCAAGTCACTTGGCAAAGGCGCCTTCGGTACAGTTTTTACCATCGAAATCCACCCGGAACATAGATCGTTCCCAAGTGTAAGATTTGCCCAATCTACTGCAAGATTTCGCGCTGACACCACTTATAGGGCAATCGCAAGGATGAGTTTGCGATGAAGGTAACAGATTACGAAGGAACCCGCGAACTACCCTATCATCGCGCTATGGCAAGCTTATCTCACGTGCACCTTCTGAAATGTCTTACCAGCTTCATTTTCAGTTCGAAGTACCATATGATCTACGAGAAGGCCGACTGCAACCTCGAGGAATTTATGGCAAAGCATCAGAATGCCTCCGGCGTGCGATCGCTGCGTGCTCAAGACCTCGCGCAACAACTCTCGGGGATCGTTGGGGCTCTGTCTGTCATCCACAATCAGTCGCCACCCGATGAAGATGCGAACCGATTAGGTATTCCCCAGCAGGAGTCCCAGAAGTCCGGCTACATTCATGACATCAAGACGGACAACCTGCTTTTGTTCAAGTATATCCAAGATGGGAAGGATATCTATTGGTTCAGGCTCTCAGACTTCTCATGCGCTAAAGTCGTCGAGTTCGTTGCGACCGTGAGTGGTCTGCACAGGCAAAGCTGGCAAAGCACCAGCAAGTCAGGCACCCCAATCTACAGAGCGCCAGAGTCTATGACTCAGGGTAAGACCTCTCGTCCGTATGACTTGTGGTCACTCGGCTGTGTCTTCCTTGAGGTTTTGGTCTGGTTCATTGAGGGGTACAAAGCCTTGGAGGACTTCCGTGAGCAGCGATTCCGATCGGTCAAACCCAACGGCATCGAGGATCATGGGTTCTACTACACAGATGAGGTTGGGCCCAATCCGAGAGTGCAACTACGGCAGCCGGTGATCCAACGGATCAGCGCCATTACCAGACGCTGTGACGGGCATCTGCAAGTCATTGCCAAGGTCATTCCGCAGATGCTCGAGATCGAACCAAAGAAACGCATCACCGCTGAGCAACTGCTCAAACGCCTGAGAATCGTCGGCGAGGCTGCACCACTGCCTATCCAAGTTGCGTCAACTAGAACCTTCGACTTGACGCCCTTGAAAGACAGTCTGTCACTGCCTCCGACATATGTGTCCGATTCTGATTCAGACTTCGGTGGTGTTGTCAAGGTCCAGCGACCGACTGATGAACGATGAGCCTTTTCCCTTTCAGCTTGTTTGTCCATCAACCATTCTTATAAGTTGTTTTGGCGTATAATATTCGCACATAATCTAACTTCAGTCTCGCCGGAGGCCGGAGAATGCTGGATGTATAGTATATGTTCAGATTATTGTAACATCCTGGGTATCATACTGGGCTTTCTTCTCTTCCAATTCGTCTCTGTATACCCGAGTCATTTAATATTTGTTGCAATTAGTTATCAGTTAGTGGAGAAGCTTGAGAAAGGCAATAGGGCCTAATGCAAGGAGTAGCGGGGAGTTTCTTTAGGTCGGGTATATACTCTCGCACGCTAGGAAAACTTTCCCACATTTTCTCCCAACAAGTCTGACCCAATGCAGCAAGGAGGTCACGACGCACATTCGACAACTTTTGCATTTTATAAAAATTTAACATTATATTTTACAATACTCAAATCATTTCTATCAAATCAGTCATTTGATTTCAAGCATCGGTGGTTTAGTGGTAAAATTAGCCGTTGCCAAGCTTCACAGCTCAGTTTCGGCTAGCCCCGGGTTCGATTCCCGGCCGATGCAGGCCTTCTTTTTGCATTGAGGAAATACCTGAAGTGGCCGTCGGACTGGGAACGTTGAAGGTCGTGCCACATCTGCGGTTGTGTGGTCATTTCTGGTTTTCTTTTGTCGATGCATGCAAAAGCCAGACGCAATTGATAAATATGGTTGAAGGCCTCCTCAATTGTGCTCTGGGTTGTTGATGGTGGTGGTGGTTGTTCGTGTCTCGAATTTTGCCCCACACCGAAATGCGCCCAGCACCGCCACGTGCACTCCCACGCGCCTGCCTCGCGAGTTTCGAATCCCCTGTCATCTTTCGACTGCACGTTGCCCACTTGACGCAACGTTTGCCAACAATGTCCCCACTTTCTGTGCTGCATGATGACACTCATTTCCGACGCGTGCCTGAATCTTCATCCTTCACTGCCAAACGAGGCTGTGAGAAGCTCGTCTTCTGAGCGGTGAACAACGAAGCGCCTCCTCAGCTAACAGCGCATACTTCTAACGTTCTTCTTCCATCTCTGCTCACATCTTCAATCAGCACAAATATATTGAAAAACACTCATTCTTTGAACATGGCTTTCACTGGCAGAACACCTGAGTCTTTAATACCACGATCAGACTCTAGAAATCCGGCGACGACGTGCAAAGGCATCACCAAGTCCGGTCGACCATGTAGACGTCCGATCGATGCAAAAATAAGCGATGACGACGGCGTTCTTGCAATCGTTTCAATCGCAGGTGACAGTGACAGCGACGACATCGGCGCTGCAGCGTACTTCTGTTGGCAACACAAGGATCAGGCTGAGCAGCTGGCAGCGACCAAGAGCAATGGACCAGACACACAACTCTACCCACTAAAAGAACGGAGTAGCATAGATACCCTGGTACAGCGCTTAGGAGTGCTGGAGGTAGACGATACCATACAGGAACCGCGCCAAAAGAGGCGGGATAGCAACAAGCAGGAGAATGGGACATCTGGAAGTCGGCCGCCAAGGCGGATAAACCGGCCAGCGACCTGGGATCGCGTCGAGGGACCATTCATCTCAGTGCCAAGCGACGTGATGGCGGCGCAGAAGAAACGTAGAGACAGTCGGCCTTCGAAGCCGTCGCCACAAAGGAAGAAGCCGGGCTTCTGGCAATCTCTATGCTGTGGTGCTGCAGATGACGATGAGATCGAAGTCGTGAGGCACAAGAAGCGTACAAGTCACCGCCCTGACCACACACCGGAAACTCCCATGCAACAGGTGCCGCAAACGCCGCCTCGAACACAACAGACACATGGCCGGCGACCAAGCGCAACTTCAGCTCCAAGACCTGCATCCAGCTCTCAGCAAACGACTGGCCGTAGGCCAGCTAACACAAGCTCTCAAAATGAGTCGGACACGACAAAGATGCTGAGATACATCCCTCAAAACGTGTCTCCGCAGCTTGCTTCCACTCTACTGGCTGAGCTGTCCAAGCCGATCTCGCAACACGACGACGAAGGCTACATATACATTTTCTGGCTAACGGCCGAAGCCTCCGGTCCTGCACCCTCCTCCACCGCATCAACCCTCCTCAACCCGCCATCACGGCCCGACCAAGCACGACGGACTTCAGATGTACTGCGACAATACTCTGTAAAGCACGGCTCACGGCCGCGGTCAGGCTCAACACGCCAGAGGCCTGGCGACGACACAGTCGCTGGTGCCGAGAATGAGAAGGACACCATTCTCCTCAAGATCGGGCGCGCAAACAACGTGCATCGCCGTATGAACGAATGGACACGCCAGTGCGGTTACTCTCTGTCCCTCGTACGCTTCTACCCATACGTGTCATCATCCACGCCAACACCTTCACCGCAAGCATCGCCAGCAAATTCTCGTCGCCAATCTGCGCAGAGTGTAAACGCAAACCGGCGCGCGTCTGATGCCGGCATCGTGCGTAAAGTGCCCACTGTCATGCGCGTGGAGCGCATGATCCATCTGGAGTTAGCAGAACAGCGCGTGATGAAGAAATGCGAGGCATGCGGGAAGCAGCACCAGGAGTGGTTTGAGGTGGAAGCGACAAAGGACGGCGTGAAGAAGGTTGATGAGGTGATCAAGCGATGGGTAGAATGGGCGGAACGGGCGAACGAGGAGCGTACGAAATCATAGTGTAGCCTGGAGTCAGTCAGTGGAGTCTTACAACGATGAATTTTGGTGTATTCTAGGGGTTTGTATGTCTGCGGACCCTAGTTGCCTTCACTCGTAAACGTTGGTCCGTGTGAAATAAAAGCAAACTTGTAGCCACCAAGATATAATGAACACGAAAGAAGCACACCCGCGGATGTTTCGCGTAACTCCAGTTATGGCCACTACCCCACCTTCAACTCCACCACTGAACACTGTCTGGGAGGCCCGCAAGGCCGAATTCGAGCTCACGGAGCCGACTCACTTCACCTACCATCTGTACAAGCTCTATGTTGGCGAGGATCAGAGCGAACCCTGGCACGTGTATCTCTACCGCACCGGCGGCCGCAAGCAGTACAAATTGGAAATTGCAAGCGTTAACCTTTGAAAACGGCAGCCACTACAAACCGTATGATGCCACGTATTACGGAACTGTGAGCAATCTTGCCCACCCACCCAACTCATTTCTAGGTGCAACGCGTTTTATAGCCGTTGTCAAGTGGTACTTCCTCTTGGGCTTTCGAGCAGGGACCTTCGATGAAGTCCCTAGTATCTCACTGACTACCTCCTGGCGTGGGGATCTATAGGGTGCCTATGACGAGCTCATCGCCGCACCAGAGAGGGAGAAGCGGATGAAGCAGGAGGAAGCAAAACAGATTGAGGAAAAGAGACGTGTCGAAAAGAGGAGGCAAAAGGAGAGCCTGAATGCAGTCAAGCAAGCGAACGAGTCACGGGAAGCAACACACAGAAAACAAAGCCCAAGACCAAAACTGTCAGGTATACGCCACGCCCTCCGCCTCGCAAAGAGCCAGCGCCAACGATGGGTCATGACGGCCATGACAACACAAAGGAGCGACAGCCAAGACAGCCTTCAGGCCGTTGTAGCTCGTACCGACCTCGCGCACTTGTTAACTATTACTTTGAGTCAGGACGTCCGATGTTTGTACCAACGGCGGCTTTCAATGGTGCCACACCACCTAACTACCCTGGACCTCTTGGCCCCACCCCGTCATCATGGCACCCTCCCGGTGGCCCTCAACCATCCCACGATCGTCGAGATCGAAGAGAACCATCACCACTACGTCCTCGACCATCTGTATGAGTGCCTCAGCGAGCAGAGGCAGTTCGACCCCCTGGGCCGGATGTCAGACCCACTCCAATGTTCAAGACACCTGGAGAGCGTAGGCGATCGGGCAAAGAAGCTGTTGAGCAGAAGAGTTGTTTCATAAGTGATGGCATCGTAACCACAAGCCAGCACTCGATACGGAGGGTGAAAAGTAAACGTACTGCTGAAGGTAGCAGGCTGGTGGAATTCGAAGGTTCTTCAAACGGTCATGATCCCGACGAAGACACTGCCTCCACCGAGTAAGGAAACAAGAAGCAGAGAGGCTGACGGCGACTGGAAAGGACCGAGAAGTGGATGGCGAGTCTACACAGAAATCGACAGAATGACTCAAATGATCAATAGGCGTATGCGCGTCATCGAGGATGCGTTGTGTCCGGAGGCAACGGAAACTGTGTTTGAAAAGATCAGAAGTGTGTAGAAGATAGCAGATGCCACATGATATCAATATACTACTTCCAACATGTTGAAAGTGTGATATTGCTTGAAGGTAAGGAAAATGTGGACGGGAGTTAGCTTAAGAACGCTTTAAAACTTGGCGTACTACAACAGCCTCTGACTTGCTCCAAGCCAGTCGTATAATCCACACAAGACACTGAGAATGACACAAAAGATGCACGATGGTGACTTGTTTAATGGCTGAACGTGTGGAAGTCGCCCCCCACAGGAGACCCCTGCACTAGCGCGTGGCCCCTGCTCTCTCGTCCGCGGTCCCCTCGCAGGGAGCTTGAGACGTAAGACAACAGAAGCACGCCGCGAAACTCTCGTCACCGCGCTCCGCTTGTTTCCCGCCGCCGAAATGCTCTCCGGTATATTAATCTTCAACCAGAAGGGCGAGAATCTCATATTTCGCGCCTTCCGTAACGACTGCCGCCCACGCCTCGCCGACGTATTCCGCATCCAAGTAATCTCCAACGCACAAGTACGCTCGCCCATCCTCACGCTGGGTTCGACCACGTTCAGTCATCTAAAGCATGAGAACATCTACCTGGTCGCTGTGACCAAGAGCAACGCCAATGCCGCTCTCGTCTTCGAGTTCTTATACCGCCTAGTTGGGTTGGGAAAAGCATACTTTGGGAAGTTTGATGAGGAGGCTGTAAAGAACAACTTCGTGCTGGTGTACGAGCTGCTGGATGAGATCCTAGACTTTGGTTACCCACAGAATACTGAGACAGACACACTGAAGATGTACATCACAACAGAAGGAGTCAAGTCAGAAAGAGCCATGGAGGACTCGTCCAAGATCACAATGCAGGCGACGGGCGCCCTGTCATGGCGGCGAGCAGACATCAAATATCGCAAGAATGAAGCTTTCGTCGACGTAATCGAGGACGTCAACTTGCTCATGTCTGCAGCTGGTACCGTCCTGCGAGCCGACGTAAATGGCCAGATCATAATGCGCGCCTACCTCTCCGGCACACCAGAGTGCAAATTCGGGCTCAACGACCGCCTCACACTCGGCGAAGACAACCTCCAACAACCCTCAGGCAATAAAGCCGGCGCAAAGGCTACACGAGCAGCTGCTGGTAGCGTCACACTGGAAGACTGCCAGTTCCACCAGTGCGTGAAGCTCGGCAAGTTCGACGCAGACAGAATAATATCCTTCATCCCACCGGACGGCGAATTCGAGCTCATGCGATACCGCGCGACCGAGAACGTGAACCTACCCTTCAAAGTCCACGCCATCGTAAACGAAGTCGGCAAGACGAAAGTCGAATACAGCATTGCCATCCGCGCAAACTACGGCTCGAAACTCTTCGCTACAAACGTCGTCGTACGGATACCCACACCGCTGAACACTGCGCGCATCACAGAGCGCACATCGCAGGGCAAGGCGAAGTACGAACCGGAGCATAATAACATTGTTTGGAAGATCCCGCGGTTTACAGGGCAGAGCGAGTTTGTGCTGAGTGCGGAAGCGAGTCTGACGAGCATGACGAACCAGAAGGCGTGGTCGAGACCGCCGCTGAATCTCAGCTTCTCATTGCTCATGTTCACTAGTTCGGGTTTGCTTGTCAGGTATTTGAAGGTGTTCGAGAAGAGCAACTATAGCAGTGTGAAGTGGGTGAGGTATATGACACGGGCAGGAAACTATGAGATCAGGTAAGTTCAGGATCGTGAGAAATGGAAAGACGCATGACTGACAATATGCAGATTTTAGATAATGTATATATGGACAGGTGCCACAACCGGCGGTGCATTGATGGCGTTCGGAAAAGATATCCTTGGGCTTTGAGCCTTTCTGAAACTTGGTGCATCGAGATCACGCACTTTCAACATTGCCGCCATTGCTTGTTTTAGTTGGACGGGAATCGCTCTTGCTTGACACAATGAAACATACATACCACCGCAATTGTGAGTCATTTCGTCGAGATCACTGACTGATTAGCCACGGCAAAAGACGTATGCTGGGCTTACAGCCCACGACTCGTTAAAGCCTCTCGAGGTGAAGCCAGGGTAGATTCTAGTTGATAGAGCCCATACCGCAGACTAGAAAAGCTAATGAGCAAGCACATGTGTCGGAAATTGCATGAAGTATCCAATTGAGAGGTACAGATGTGGGCGAGCTGTTGTCATGACGATGTCCTTAGGTATATCAGCCTGCGTGTTATCATCAGGGAACGTTGATGTGTTGTGCTTGGAGTGCATGCTCAAGATTACTCCAGACTCCGGAGAACATGTGAGTCACGCAAGTCGACAAGAACGGAACGGATGAATGCCTTCAACAGGTGGAGAACAGGGAATAGGGCTGAAACGTGCAGGGAGTAAGGTTGCAAGCATGCGCGTCATGGTTCGTCGCTCGTGCTTGGAAGGTTGCCGATCGCCGTTGCCGTAGCAACGCGCTTCCCCAAACACTAAGAGCTTGAACATTCTTAACGGCTGCATTTGAACGCGTTCAGAACCCACCACGACGACCACTTCCACTGCCAGTACCACTTACATCGTCTCGATAAGCCAACATCTACAACACATCCACACACATTCACACGCAACAATGTCTGCCAACGTCCTCAGCAGCCGCGACGTCAACGCGCAAATCAAGCCTACAGCACCCTCTGACGCAAAGGAGCCTAAGAGCATGGAGTACCACCGGCAGGTGCTTGAGTCGCGCATAAAAGACGAGCAGTGAGTACGCGCAATTCCTTGCACGATGCGCAAGGCTAACAGGCAACAGAGCACAGAAGTACGTCTCTCCATCAGACGAGATTCAGTCCCCGGCCACACAGAAGCTCAGCAACTTCCGCAACAAGAACATCATGAAGAAGTAAACATGTCGAGCCTACCAGACATGAGCCCATTCCTAACAGCATTCCAGGTCGAAGCCACAGACTCTCTTCCAGAAGACCAGCACAAAGAGCTTCGAGGCGGCTAAGGGCCAGCCCATGTTCGCTGATATCCCCAAGAAGGACGACTAGACCACTGAGGCAGCATATACACATGCTGCAAGAGCTGTCTTCACACTTGCAACTTCAGTGGAGCACAGTCGGACTTTTGGTTAGGCGCTTTTTCTTTGGATCTATACCCCATGCTACGCATGCATGACAGGGTTCGGTTGGGACATGACAAGGCTCTTTGGCGTTTCGGATGAAATTTGAGGTTGGGATCTGGTACTGGGTTACGACAGACATGAGCTTGGAAGTGTACGTTACCTTGGGGAACAAGGAGTGGGATGGTGGGATGCTCTATCGATAAGGAGCATGCTGAGCCGCGCAGACGCAATTCATCTCGTGCTGCATGCTACTCACTCTCTTCCATGACTTCTTCACCTCCGAGCCAGCAATCTCTCCAAGATAAGATCGCTGACCTCGAACGGCGTCTTCGTGATGCCAAAGCACAATTAAACCAACATCACGGTGTGGCACCGCCGCACACAACTGACAATGGGGCAGGTCCGTTATCGCTGCGCACACCCGCTTTACAGTTGACTGATCATGCCTCAGCCCTTCACGCTCTGCTTCTGCTGTCCGACTCGGCGCTCCCACTGGGCTCTTTTGCCTTCAGCAGCGGCCTCGAGTCGTACCTAGCACACCACAAGCTCTCTCCGCCGTCTGCGTCACAGCTTCCGTTGTTCAACACCTTCCTCCGGCTGTCATTATCCACCCTCGCGAGCACCGCGCTCCCATATGTACTCGCAGGCTACCGCAATCCAGAGGAGATCGAAACGCTCGACAACGACTTCGATGCAAGCACACCCTGCACAGTTGCGCGACGAGCCAGCATAGCGCAGGGTCGAGCGCTGCTCGCTGTGTGGGACCGCAGCTTCAAGACGCAATACAAGAGCGCTCTAGGCAACGCAGATGCACCAGAGGGCAAACAAGCAGCCATTGACGCTTTGACAGCCTTCTCTGCCGCCCTGCGTACCTCGCCGCATGCCAATGCCCACTACGCACCGCTCTGGGGCTTGATCACGCGCATCCTCGCCGTCCCTCTGCACGAAGCCGCATATTTGTTCCTCTTCTCACATGCACGTACGGTCATGAGCGCTGCCGTGCGCGCGAGCGTGATGGGCCCGTATCAGGCGCAGGCGTTGCTGGCGAGTGCAGAGCTGCAGGACAGGATACGAGGACTTGTGGATGAAGGGTGGCAGCGCAAAGTAGAGGATGCTGGGCAGAGTGTGCCAGTCATGGACCTGTGGGTTGGTCGGCATGAGAAGCTGTATAGCCGCATCTTCAACTCATGACCCATGGCAGGCGTCACAACCCAATTGACATATACTCGAAGGCTCAGCAATACAGCATTTCGAATGATCAAGTCCCCTGTCTCGCTTTTCCTTGTCGTCCAATCGCGTTCTTAGTCGTCACCTCGTGCGGCATTCACTTGCGAGCCGCTGCGGGGAGCTTATGTCCCATGACTGCTGCCTTAACATCACCAGCAGCTGTCGTCTTCCATAGTCTTAGACTCAAGATAGGACGTTAAACCAATCAATCACCAGCAGCCCCCACAACGAATTACCCAAAACCAGGCCTTCGAACACGATAAGGCTTTGTACATGTAACCACGAACCCGTAATTACACTCGAATTTGCGGATTCTACGTGACAGCAAAGCATCCTCCCAGATGCTCCTCACGCACTGGGCCTCATGGCTCGCTACAACTAGAAAAGCGTCAAACCAATCTCCCATCAACGCAAACGACAATCTCTTGGACTCTGCAGACCTATCATGGATTCAGAACATGGCTTCCATCGGCGATTCATACGCCGCAGGTTTGGGAAGTGGAAAACGAGTGGACTTCTCGTGCTCTCGATACAACACAGCATACCCCAATATCGTACACGACTCACTCCGCATCCGAGGTTCGGATACAACTCACCAGTCCCTGGCTTGTTCAGGCGCAGATACCACCGAGATTCTGGCAAAGCAGGTGCCTGCGCTCCACATCAACCTCAATCTCATCACCATCTCCGCAGGCGGCAACGACATCGGGCTCACCCCTATACTGAGTAATTGTGTATACCAATTCTACATGGCTGACGAAGATGCGTGCCAAGAATCGATCGATGAAGCTCGAGATAAGATCGCCAACGACACACAGCTTTACCAGAACGTCACGAAGCTTATTGAAGCTGCAAAGCCATACCTGAACTCAACGCATGGCATAATATATGTCACAGGGTATACGCGCTTCTTCGGCACCGAAGACAACACATGCGACAACGTGACCTGGGCCGTGTGGCGCAACGTCGAGCGTAGCAAGCAATACCTTAAGCTCGAAATGCGTCAGGCACTCAACGACATGGTACTGTCTGTCAACGCAGTGCTGCGCAGAGCAGTAGAAGCTGCAGGTCCCAAAGTCCGCTTTGTTAACTATGATACACGCATCGCAGCGCTGCGAGGCCGGTACTGCGAGCTCGGCGTTCACGAACCAGACCCAAATCGCTCGGGTCTGTTCTTCTATGAGTGGGACACAGTTGACAGAGGCGAGAATAAGACCGGTCTGCAGAACAGTACTGGGGATGGTGTACCGAAGGGGTCGTTTGAGAGTGGGATTGCTGAGCAGATAAACAAGACGCTGCATGAGCACCCCAACTGGAGCTTCGATCCGAACAAGGGGTTTGTCAAGAAGAACAAGACCGCAGTGGAAGAGGAAGGTATAATCGAGGATACTATCCATTGGCTGATTCCTGATTCCTACAAGAGGGTGTTCCACTTGCGCCCCGAAGGACACTGGATCATCGCTGGCATGTTGTGGAACGATCTGAAGGCCTACACACTGGGCAAAGAGAAGCCAACGGAAGTCGAAGAGTCGTAATTGGCGTAGCAATGGTCCATTCCATCGGAGGTTACAGATCGCCCTTCGGAGTTTGGTTCCACCCTTTTTGTGAACCACGGTTCGGCATAATCGAGTCATCTACCAGGCACATAAGATATCTCACAAAGTCTTCGACACTCAATCCACTGAAAACGAACAACAACCCACACATAAGCCCAACTCCAATCCGAAGAAGTCGTGGCAATCTACGTCACATCCCATCACCAGCCAAGATGCCACCAAAACGCAAAAACACCCGCACTATCTATATTGAAACCCCCACAACTCCCTTCTCTATAGTATTCTTCTACCACTCGGACTAAAAGCTCTACGGCGTCTTCTGCTAGTGGAGACCATTCCCCAGCACGACCCCCGCCGGCATCCTCCTCATCGCCAACAAGCCGTCCACTCCCGCCATACTCACCAAAGACGGTAACAGCATCATGTTTTCCTGCGCTGAACAAGCGTACATGTTCTGCAAGGCGCTCTGCTTCGGTGATGAGGAGTTGTTTAAGAAGATACTGGCGACGTCGGATCCAGCAGAGCAGAAGAAATTCGGCAAGACCGTGAAGGAGTTTACAGCCGCAGAGTGAGATGAGGTCAGATCTCGCGTCGCACGGATAGGAAACTGGTATAAGTTCACATGCGCGACATCTTACTCGGAACGGAAGACAAGAAGCTTGCTAAGGCAGGGAGGAGGGATAGGGTTTGGGACATCGGACATCAAGCGCATGACGCTGAGAAATATGGGCAGAACTGGGGGCAGAACAAGTTGGGGAAGGCGTTGATGGCGGTCGGTACAAGGATTAGGGAGGTGGGATTGAGGGAGAGGGAGACGGGGATGCCGGTGGACTGGGATTGGGGATGGTGGGGAGGGGGATGAGGTTGAGGCAGAACTCAAATTGTGTAGTATGCGTTAGGACGAAGATAGAGCAGAAAATGAGAAATAAATGAAGAAAAGAGAAGCGTATGTCCAGAGATGGCAATCTATAGTTCCGGGATCTTCGATGTTCAGGGTAAATTCGGCTGGGTGAATTCGCACAGTAGACGAATCATGCATCAGACCAGTGATCTGCGCTTGCACCGTGACGCTGCTGACATGTATATCAAAGGGCGTGTTGCGACATGGCCCTTGTAGCTTTTAGGAAAGCGCATGCGGTCGGCGTTCGGAGTAACCTCTGCTAGCCTACATAAACCCTCGCCCGCCGTGGCAAAGATAATGGACTCGAGAGAGGCAGGGCCTCGAAAGAAGAGCTCAATATCCTAGATAGTACTGGCTAAGAATAAACGACAGAAAGCAACATGACGACCTTCCATCCTGGCTACGAACCTGAGTCTTCTCAAGCGTCAGCTGCACGTCGAAATTCCAAATTCATTGAGCTCGACCCCATCAACCGTCTCCACGATGAAGCAGCGAACAACGCATCCGCCCAACCATCACTATACGACATGAAATCTGCCCTAACAACGACCCAACCAGGTGATACAACGGAAGCATCAACCCCACGCCGGACTACCATCTACGACTCTAACATCGAGCTCAACGCCATCAATCCGCGCCACTCTGAAGCTGTTGGAACCGCACCGGAATTCTCCCTTCCACCAGTCGACAGAGGCAAAGACGCATGGCTCTTCCTACTCTCAGCTTTCATCCTAGAGATCCTAGTCTGGGGTACTCCCTCCTAACCACCCCTGTCTCCATGACGCTAACACACCCAGGCTTCCCCTTCGCCTATGGCATCTTTCAAGAATACTACACCTCGCACCCGCCCTTCGAAGGCGAGCACAACATCGCCATCATCGGCACATGCGCTATGGGGCTCATGTACCTCTCCTCACCCCTAGTCTTTGGTATGCTTGCTTGGTATCCCAAGTTAAGGAGGCCTTGCATCCTGATTGGACTGATTATCATGTGTTTGTCGCTGGGACTGAGTAGTTTGAGCACAACAGTTCCGCATTTGATTGCGAGTCAGGGCGTGTTTTATGCAATTGGAGGTGCGCTGTGTTATAGTCCGGCCATTACGTTTATGGATGAGTGGTTTGTGAAGAGGAAGGGGATGGCTTTTGGGATGATGTGGGTAAGTCTCGATTCTCTTACACTCATCGCCTGCCTCTACCTCATCGCACCCTGTACAAACATCGACTGACAAAACTGACCTCCACCGCAGGCAGGCACTGGCCTAGGCGGCGTCATACTCCCGCTCCTCCTACAATTCCTCCTCAACAAATACGGCTTCCGCACCACCCTGCGCGTCTGGGCGGTCGTTCTCTTCGCCGCAACCGCCCCCTTATACATGTTCCTCAAGCCTCGTCTGCCGGTTGCTCAAACCACTAATCATCGAGCCTTCAACCTATTCTTCCTCAAGAACAAAAGTTTCCTGCTCCTCCAACTCGGCAACATCCTCGAGGGCTTCGGTTACTTCGTACCCTCCATCTACCTCCCCACCTACGCCAAATCGCTGGGCGCATCAAACAGCGTCTCAGCCCTGACACTCATCTTGATCAACATCGCCGCCGTCTTCGGGTGTGTGGTCATGGGCTGGATAGTAGACCGTTGGCACATCACAACCTGCATCTTTGTCTCAACAGTCGGCTCCACACTCTCCGTCTTCCTCCTCTGGGGCTTCTCAACGCATCTCTCCCTGCTGTTAGTGTTCTGCGTCATGTATGGCCTGTTTGCGGGGAGCTACACCACGACGTATCCGGGCATTATGAAGGTGGTTAGCAAGAACCAGCAGACGGCGGATCCGACGATGGTGTTTGCGGTGCTGGTCGCGGGGAGGGGTATTGGGAATGTGGCCTGTGGGCCAGTGAGTGAGGCGCTGATCAGGGCTGGGGAGGTGGGGCAGAAGGGTCTGTATAACAGTGAGTATGGGCCGCTTGTGTTGTTTACGGGGATTAGTGCTGCGTTGGGTGGGTTGAGTTGCTTTGGGAGGAAGCTTGGGTGGTTCTGAGGGGCCGTTGAGTGAAGTAATCGATGCAAGCGCAATTTGCTACAGTTTACGAACAGAACTGATCTTCCGTGTATTCAGCCTGGAGCCCTTCAGCGCGCTAAGATTGCAGCGGAGGCTCTCTGCAATGTGTTCGAAGTCAATGTAGAATAGAATCATCCTTTCATCATCCCATGTGTTCTTTCTCAATCCTCTCGAGATACAACCATTGAAAGCCTCTTCTTTGATGGATTCTATATCGATATCATATATGTAACTAGATAATTACGTGGCTCTGACCTCGACTACTGATGGTTTCCTTCGAGGTCCCTCTGCCCTTGTCTGGTTTTCCCCCTATCAGAGCATGAACGAAGACAAAGTTGCGCACCTCGGCGGGTCTAAGAGATGTAAGAAAAGCAAATGAAGCTGTGCTGAAGATCTGAAAATCTTACAGTCCTGATGTGGTGCACTCTGAAGTTTCCGAATGGGAGGGCTTCGGTGTATTGCTTACACCGCGATACGGCGCCTACTGATCGAGCTTAGCTTAAGTACAATATGATAAGCTCATCCATGATGACAAGGTCTTCTGGAAGTGTTCATGAACAATTGCTAATTCCAGCAATGAAGCATGCGGGGGTACGTGGCATTGGTCGTGCTTGTTGCCGGCTGCCTGTCGCACCACCACGATCGTCGACATGGACCGAGCCACCACCGTGTTCATCATACAACCCATTTCAACGCGTTGTCCAGAGCGATAACTACGAAAAAACTCGATTCGTCAACAAGCTAACTGTCTTGTGAAGTGTCCGAGCCTACATCTTGCCACGACTGTGTACACACGAAGCCTACAGCTCAAAGCGATCATGGCTTGGGTGCCTGCTCAACTACCTTACCTCAAACCGCCCAACCTACTACCGGACCCTCTACCTATTGGATCTCGTTTCTTTGAATCAACAGCCGTGTTTCGGGACGATACATCCTATCACAGGGTGGTTGCGGTCGAGCCTCACTTCACTGTCAAATACGGACGGGGTGTTAAGGAGATCGAAGGCCAGGTACTTCTATTTCTCGAGCACCACCTAGAAGCTTGCCATGGGTTACCGAAACTGTCACGGTTCAGGGTGCTCCTGCCTGTCGAACCTCACCTGCCATGAGAGTGACTGCCACGTCACACTAGCATTGTTTACAGCTACTCACCTATATGTACTGTCCGTAGCTTCACCCAATACAATTCCAGTTCAACCCATCAATTCTTCCTATATGCGCACTGTCCACGCTTCACGACAGAAACTCTACGCAATGTATCGTATAGCAAGTACGGGCCATGTCTGCCTGATCATGCAGCGCATGCCTGGTGTGTCACTCAATCAATTGTGGCCTACCCTCAAGGACTTCGAAAAATCCGATATTTGTACCCAATTGAACGAAATTGCTACATCAATCCGAAGTATCCCAGCTCCTTCGCTCTACAGAAGTATTGACCAAGGCCGGTTCCACCATTATCTGTGCTACAGCTCCGATGCTGACAAAGAAATATGTGGTCCATTCGACTCAAAGACAACTTCGATGCGGCACTGGTAAAGCGTCTCCGGTCTGCTTCGGCACAGATGAAGAAGCATAGCTTTAAGGCAGACTTCTATGAGAAAAATCTTGGAAGGACATTAGTTGGTCATAAGCCGGTTTTCTCGCATTCAGATCTGCAAAGAAAAAACGTGATAGTGCATTGGGATACATTGTAGGGCTTAACCGTCAGCCTAGTAGATTGGGAGGAGGCTGGCTGGTTCCCGGCTTATTGGGAATACTTCACTGCCCTGCAAGGTGTACAATGGGATGACGACTGGTCCCAGCGTATCGAAGATATTATGGAACCTTGGGTCAGCGAAGCGGCAGTCATGAAAATGGTGCATCAAGATCTAATATTCTGAGCGATAATGTTTTCATTTGCTGGCTCTTTGATATGTCTCAGCTGGCTAAGCTCAGAGCCATCCAACGGAATTGTGCTACAGCAAACCGAATATAAAATAAACTAGTAATACAAGACATAATCCATCCAGAGGTTAATGACAACCTGTCTCAACTTTCAACTTTACTTCACAAAGTCGCGTTGTAGTTGCCTAGTCGTTTCTCAGGCATGTCACTGCCAGAACCACCCCTGCCCGTTCCAGTAACGGTAACGCTTCTCAACTTCATCCCATACCCAACCTGTACTCACCGCCGCAGCGGTAGTTGCGACTTGGGCAGTCTGCGCGTGGCTACTACCTCCCCCTAACGGAGCTCGGCCTAGATCGTTGTGCAGCAGCTGATACTGATACAACGCTGGGAGGGCTCGTTGTTTGGTCCATTTGGTACACTTGATGTACGGGGGTTTCTGCTCATTGGCTTCGTAGAATGACCCATTTGGTTTGATTTGCTCAGTGGCCATGGTCTTAGGATTGAATGCCCTCTGACGATGAGGTGGCGGCACTGTCTGCAGCAGTTGGTCCAAACGCTCTGGGTAGTCTTCGAGGCGGATACGTCCGAGGTGGGTCTTTGCATAGTAGGTCTGGGATAGTTCTGGGTTTCGCCCTGATTTGTTTTCACATCTCCTACCCGAGACCAAATCGCTAGTAACGTGAAAGATTTGCCCTCCACCGTCTGCTTGCGTTTCGACAAAGAGAACACTGTGATATCTTGGCTCATTACCCATCAATATCAGAGGACATGTACCCCAATGTCGAGACAAGCCAGCTTTCGCATGTTAGAAAGTGCGACATAATGGGATACTGGCAGCTTGACGTACCTACGCAAGCTCACAAGCGTTCTCAACACTCGCTTGTAGTTAATAAATGTCGCTTCACTGAGACCTGCCGGGCAGTGATTGGCGCTGAGACCGATATTAAGAGCGAAATTAATGCCCATGTCTAGGAAACAGTCAATGCATGTTACACTAGAGCACTGCAATCTTTCGGGGCGCGCTCCACGTACCGACATAGGTAAGCGCTACTGTCGCGTGTCCGATAGTGTCAAAGACACACAAAGCTGCGTTTTACCTCGCCTACTCTATGGCAGCGAGGCATGGTACGGTGGCCGCACAAAGGATCCACACAACAGTACGTGGCGCGAAGACTGTCAGCACGCGGCTTGGGTGGCATGTTGCAACTATTGAGAAAACTCTAGCCTTTGCAGCAAGAGGAGTACTTTCGGTGTACCGAACTACCCCTACAGCTGTCCTCTTCCGGGAAGCTGGCCTCCCATCTGGGAACGTTGCACCTGAGAGCGCTAAGCTACGTTTTGCTGTGCACCTCCAGACGATTGACTACAATCACCCTCTAGCTCAACGCGTAGAGAAACCGATCATACGACGTAGTATCGGAGCTGACAGACCACAGCAGCCACGGACTATGGGTTCTTCTCGAAACACCTGTGGCAGGCATGGCTAGCGCGCGGGGAAAGGCTCGGGATGACGACGATATCTTCCGCTCACCAAACCCTCATACAAATGAGATACTGAGCTCATTCAAGACCTTCTGAATCGTTCTGAATACATTTTGAGGCTCTGTTTTGACCTATCGTGAGCTTTCTTGGTGTTGTGATGCCGTCAACGCGTTCAAAGAAGCCTGCAGCCGTATTGGCAGCCGCGCAGGAGCCGCCTGCCTCGCCTGTTACACCCGCACCTGCACAGAATCGTAAGCGGAAGCAAACTCGACAGTTTGTGGAAGGGTTGAGAGTATTGATTCTTTTAAATATTGGCTGGAATTGATCGGGACTATATAGTAGAAGGCAGTAGCAGTGAAGGGTGGGAAGCAAACTGAACTAACCAAATGAGCTGGACAGTCACTGCAGCAGACCGCTAGCAAACACAATCAGTGCATACCCCAAAGAAGAAGAAGAAGAAGAAGAAGAAGGCACCACAGCAGAGCCGGTTCGCGGCAGACGCACATTCGGAGGAGACCATAACTGGCTATAGCAATGGCGAGGATGAGTAAGGTGGGACAGCTGAATTGGGTGACCCTGCGCCGGAGGAGGTTGTCGCTGCGCGTGCTGCTGTTGACGAATTCGTAGCTGTTGCCAGCGTCCGCTTACATGCTGCTTCAATGATGACAAGCCAGTTCTTGACATTGCTGATAGCGCGGAGGATGTGAAAGTGCGCTCTCTCATGTTGGGACACCTCTGGCGATGGGTTGATCGTGTCGTGGAGGAGCTGAAGCCGCGCGCTGTCTCTTTAGTCAATCTCTGCGCTTCAGTCTATCCGAGAGGTCTTCATAAGACTGACCGTCAGCAGAAGAGGATAGCAAGAGATGAATGGGCATTGTGGGGGGGGGGGGGGTTTCAACACCTCGCTAAGCACGTTGGCTTCAATAATCGCGACAGCGGCAAGGCATTGTGTGTTGATTTTGATCTGGTATTGGAGAAAGCTGCTGAACAGTAGCAGCTACAACAGCCGCCTCTGCCTGTTCAGAATCAGCGTGCGCGGCCATTGACCGCAACGATGCTGCAGGAGCGTGCGCTGGGTGGTGTAATAGCAACGGAGAACGAGGCAACGCCTAGAGTACCTGCTATAAGCGATTAATGGCGTTGTATGGATCGCGGGTGTTCTAACTGGACTCATGTATGTGTTGAGGTCGTGTCTTAAGCAAAGCTCGTAAGCACTAGTCGGGTTGGTTCTCAGGGATGAGTGTAGCGTGAAGGAACAAGGGGTTGATCACTTAAGCGATGCTCGGAGTGATCAGGGGTAGACGTCTAGTCGAAGACTGTGACGGCTGGTAGCAATGAGTAGTACAGAATAGACTGTCTGGCTCGAGAGCGGTTGAGATTCCAATAACAAAGTTGATTGACGAGGTTGAACACGAACCATAAGGGTTGTGTTCCTACTTGCTTATATACAGTCCACCAGATCTGCTCGTTGACGAGCTCGTCATGTGAGTCTGCCTGAACCTGTTAGGCGCCGGCCGGGCGGCCTTGTCGTGCTGTGCCTTCCCCCAGGCTTCCGTGTTTGGTTGATGGTTACTTATTGCCCGTTGTCCTATCGTGGGACGTGGGATCGTAACAGCTCCAAGGCAGAGGCAAGAGCGGCCGCTTTGGTGCGGCACACGAGGTCATCCCAGTGTTTGACTATCTACTCAACACGTACGAGAACATTGCCACGGCGTTTGAATCAGTTGACTACGAAGCTTACAACACACCTGAAGACCACCTTGCAATCAACGTACGCGCTGGCTGGAATAAGCTAGATGAATACCACAGCAAGCTCGCTGACTTGCCGTACTACTACATTGCCACACTCCTCCACCCGTACTATAAGCGATACTATGAGAACGCGTGGGTGGATAAGAGCGAGCTTTTGGCTAGATACCACGCTGGCTTTATGCGCGTTTGGGGCACCTACAAGCCGCAGGAAGCACCTCTTCGGCGGCCAAAGCCAGCAGCGGATAGCTCAATTGACGACGCAATTGACGCTTTCGCTAACTACAAAGTAGCTGGCGGCGATGCTGCACTCAATGAGTACGAGAACTGGCGGGGGTATGAGCCACGATGGACGCGCGAGTACTACTTCAGCGATGAATAGATGTGTGAGTGATCGGAGAGGTTCGGTTCCAGGCCCATGGTGGATGCGAAGGTTGGAGTTTGTCCCAGAGACTAGACTTGCAGTATCTGGGCCGGGTGTGGAGGCCAGCACCACTACTCCCAGGGCTAGGAAGGTGAGAGATGAAAAATGAGCCATGATCTTTCTTGAAACCCGAGTCTCTACAGAGCTGAGTGATCTTTATCATCGGAGTGACGGTCCATGTTCCCCGGAATCGGTACTCGGTCTCATTGGTACTCGCCTCTCGCAAAATCAACGCATCGCAAATCCGCATACTGTACCTTCGTCCCTGAGAACCGAGAGAACGTCTACTGCACACGATTTAAGTAGGGCGCTTTGGAATCACTAACCATCTCAAATCTAAACTTGTAGAAAAACTCCAATTTTACTATCTTGAGCCGGACTCAAAGTTTTTTCATCGTCCAACATTACAGCATCTCATACATTATGTCAACAGATATTCAGGCTCCTGTGACTGCTTCGACTTCCTCAAGCGTTCTCTCGGGAACGAATGCAAAGCAAGACAAAAAGGGAAAGGGAAAATTGCGAATTGAGGATAAGAGAGACACAGATGGCAACGAGAGTGAAGCATCTGTCGGGGAGTCACGCAGAAAAGCCAAAGCAAAGACAGCCAAACGAATCGAAAGAAAGGGCACTGAGGAAGTGCAGAGCGATACCTCACCCGACAACGATGAAGAGAGTGCCGCAGTCGACGAAAGCGAGCTGTCTTCTCACAGCGAATCAGAAAGGGATGCGAGCGCCGATGAGAAGACTAGGACTGCAAGGAGGGGGGAGAAGAATGCAGCCAAGAAAGCGCGAAGGGTAGGGCACTCGAAAGACTAACATGACCAGAAAGACGCCGCAGATAAGAAGCAAGCCGCTGCCACAGCCAACGAAGGCTTCTCAAATTACATGAAGAAGCGATCTGAATGAGCAGCTCCCAAAAAACGACCTGCACCAGTCGAGAAGGAATGGCGAGGTCTGTACCGTTTGCTTAGCCACCAGTGGAAAGAAGGCGGCAGAGCCGAACTATCAGGATCGAAGGTAGAGATTTTCAAGCAAGCGAACCAGAGGATCGAGCGATACTGCGACAAAATCTTGAACGCGGATGTAGCATTCAACACCAAAGCCGAGGCACTTTATCGAGTGAGGTTGAAGAAACTTGAGGAAGACCTCATTCGTAAACCAGAGAGCCACAAGATGCAACGAAGGAAGGCGTTGCATACCCATTGTATCAAGGAAGCAAGACGGCCATCAAGAGAAGACCTACTCAAGAAGTGGAAGTTTCCAAATGATGAGCTCTGTGCCCAGATCTACGCGATAGAAATAGGACTAAAGGAACTCGACGAACTGCCTTCTGGAGAAGCGTACAACAAGAAAATTGCAGACTACGAGCAACGACTCGCAGCAAGTCAGCCTGGTTCAAAGGAGTACACTAATTTGACAAATAAAAAGACCCACAAGCAGAAGTCGCTAGCGATTCGAAGACAAAAAACAGAGAAGCTCCTTCAGACCGCCCTAATCTGTCTGGATAACCTAGAAGGGAAGGGTATTCCACCTTCTCAAGTCCTAACCGATCGCACGAACTCTGTGTTCCAAGATTTTTTCTCGCTTTCTCGTGAGAACACGGAGCTATTCAACGCACTGAAAGCAGATATGGAACGACCAACGTTGGAACAGCTAGATAAATGGGATGTGGCTACCAAACCAATGTGCGATTTTGCCTCCTGCGTCAGCGATGAGGCCATGTCCACAGAGCAAAACATTGTGAGAGCAGGAAACCTGATCAAGGATTTGGAGAGGATCGATAAGCATATCGAAGTTCTGGGAGAGACAAAAGGGAAAAATTGTTTGCCTATGTCTATACTATGCGAGATGCTCGAGCAGTACAAGTCGGCACATTACGAGCAAGTACAGCTCAACGTCACGAGACTTATAGAGCAGCTCCGTCGGCATGAGGCAGCGGTGGATGTGGTGCGCGCTATAGAGTTCGGAGAGTCTCTGAGCGGCCCTGTGACCGATCCAGAAGATGCTGCTAACGCGGGTATCGAAGCTGCATCAAAACCGACTGTCAGAGCGGCAGCAAACGGGACTAGTGCAGCTGCCACAAATCCCGTTGCTGGAGTCTCACTAGTTGCCGGTACCGATCTCTCAGACGAATACCTCCGAAATATTGACATCACGTCACTGGAGTTGGGATCAAACATCGCTGAGGTGTTTCAATATGAAAATGGGATGACGGAGCATGGGCCTCTCGTTGCGACGAGACTTTGGACAACAGAGAACGCAGGGCAGAATCGCTATATTGTAAACGCCGGACTTGACAAACCAGGAATGGAGTATCTCAAGGTTTTCAGAGGAAGTGACTTGGGGCCAGGCGGTGCGGAACAGCTAGCGGATCAGAACGTGGTCGACTTTGATCTCAAGCAACACAATAAGGATGTGTAAGGGGACCACCCAATTGTCAAAATTGGTCTGGTCGCGATCATGCCTCAAGCCCAGGGCTATGTGCGCCGTGGAGCAAAGGAACGCCGTCCAGATTCTTACATTCGGGTGGAGTACAAGAACAAACCAAAACCAGACATGCTTTGCAGGTCGCAATGGGTTCAGCTGGCAGGCAAATTTGGCGAGAAACATTTCTCGGTTTTGGAAGCGGCTTACATCAAGACGCAGCTATATTTCGAGGCATGTAAAGTTCAAAAGCTTCATCTGGAGACCAAGCAGCCTCTAACCGCCGACGACCTTCGAGGGCGCCCCTGGCTTTTCCCGGAGACTGATCAGAACATATCCAGTAAAGGCAGCACTAGTGGGAGCGTTGAGACGGAAGATGATGACGATGAGGATGTTACGAATGGGGTCACAGTTGATGCCGGTGCTTTCTCTGCTAACACGACTGATCCTTTCAAGAAACCTCGGGCAAACCTTGCAAACATCACGCAAGCATCCTCAAGCCCTGGTAACCTGTAGATGGAATCACTGATGTAACTTAGTGTGTAATCTAAGTAGCGTGCCATAATCAATTCATGCAGCATTAAATTTTAATGCGCCCGCTTCCGCATCGTACGTTTCTACGAATACTACATATCGGGACGGGCCCGACCCGACCGTGTATAAGGCAAAGGATCAGGGATGATGGCATCGCGACCTGGCGCGGTTCTGCAGCACGTTGCACGGGTTAGCAACTGAGAACTGGCAGGTGTCAATGTAAGAGTGAATGTTGAGTGTAGAGACATCTAACAAGGCTAGATCCCGACAGGTGTCGTCAGATGTTTTGAGCCTGGAGAGTCTATGGTTCTTGCACCAGTCCCTATGTCGCGTGTATATTCATTCTTGGTAGTCATACAGGGTCCAATGTAGCTGAAGTCAAATGTCCTTGCTTCTGTGTCTTTGTAGTCATGGCACCAGCGTTGTTCACATGAGCGATTTGCGTGTCTGTGAATGCTTTGTCAGTGTCGGAGAGTAGACCCGGTAAGCCAACGAGCAGGTTGAAGAGGGCAATCAGAGCCATCAACACCACGAAGCATATCGGCCCAACAAGTGAAAAGACTGTAAACCCGTACGATGCTCGCTGGAAGTCTGCATTCTTTCCTAGTTTCTCCGTCGCGAGCCCAACTTGCATGGCTGTCAGCACGAAGGCAGCAAAGATAAATAGAGACACGTTCGTTATGCGGTTGATGGCGTTCAGCCGCGAGAGGCGAAGCTCACCGCGATGGAAACGAGAATGTACGTCGCGCAACCGAATGTTCTTGTGGAGCTCTCTTGCGAGCTCTTTCCACTTTTTCCATGTAATGGCAGAACCATCCGACTCGAGAGGCAGTAGATGCTTCTCATTAGCGAAAAAGTAGTCGCTTTCTGAAGACACTAGGCAGATGTATGAATAAAGCAGACCGAGCGCAGCCTGCCTTGGCCCTTTTATACACGTCGTCATTGCGGTAGACTTTCGACCAGGCAGCTGACATTTGCAGCCAGGAGAACATTCTAGATGATCCTTCCAGAAAGACGGGTCGAGAATAAAGCGCGGCAGCGCTTTTACATATAGGGTTCCATTGTCAGCCCATATCAGGTGCAGGTCTAGACGATCCACAAGAGCGATTTGACGACCTATGGCAATTTGGTGGTGAAGCTGTGTTGGTGGGCGTCTCGATCCAGCTAACCAGAGGTGCCTCACGATTCCATCTAGGTCCCCGACGGACAGCTCTGTCCTTAGAAAGTGAGGAACGTCTTTGGTGGGATCTCCGACTCTGCGACGCTTGTGTGCTCCGTTGCCTTGACTGTAATGGTAAAGTGCTGGCAGAACGTCACCACTCGCCACTTCATCGTTGAAAACTTTGGTGATGAACTATGAAGTACATCAGCTCTCTTCGCATTTCCGATGTCGATATTGTCACTCACTGGGCGACATTCCGAAGGACTTGGGCTAGCCATTTCAAGACTGGTCTCCTTGGTCAGCCGGCCACTTCTCCTCGCCCTCTTGGAATGTTTGTTAATGCAGCACCGTATGTTCGTGAAGAGGCCGCCGACGCCTATATCAGATCAGGCCGCTTAGGTTGGATGAAAGACTGATTTCTTATTCCGAGAGTGGCGGTGCAGCTGACACAATCTCTGAGGCATGTTGCAGCCGCTGCCAGCTGGCTGCGCCATTCGGTTAGGACAGCCAAATCGGGTCGAAGAGCCAATGAGCGATCTGGGCATTCGGTTGTACCGTGTCCGTGCGCGTAATGCGCGGATTCGCGTAATGCGCCGAACCACCAAAATAGGTCCACCAAAAATGAGGCTGTAGAGCCACACACAATGGTTATTATCATGAGATTTTCTGGTGGAGTAGTCTATAGACCTATATGAACAAGTTCCTCACTCAAACTTTTGTGGCACTCTGATTGGGCGGCCGCGGCTGTTGTATTTTGCCGGAGGGGATGGGGAGCGAGGCGCGGCAGCAGCACGACTACGGGCAGCTGCACTACCACGATTCTGCTTCTTCCTGGGTGCTGCAACCTCTGAGGCCTTGCGCTTGCCTCTTTGGGACAATTGTATAGGTTTCTTGGTGTTGCGCTCCCTCTGTTGACGCTCTTTTTCGGCCTTGCGTTTGGCAACCTCCTGAGCCTTCTCAGCCTTCCGCTGCTCACGCTCTTCCTTCTCCCTCAACTTCTGCTCACGCCTCTCCTGTGCAATCTTCTCCTTGTACAGCTTATTGGCGTGCCTCAGTTTAGCCATCTCTGCTTTTTTGAGCACCTCTGCCTTCTGCTCTTGTTGTTTTGCCTTCTCACGTGCGCGTGCTTTCTCTACTCTACTAGGAGAGTAAAACTCGGCTCCACCGTGGTAGTCCTTGTGACGCTGAAGCTCAAGAGGCTTGCTCTTCTTCTTGTGCTT